GCTTTCGAGATAATCCAAAAAAAAAAAAAAAGGGACTGCCAGGTTAATGGAAACTAGCAGTTCCCTAATTTTTAATTAGAGGCCCTAATTAGCACCTAAAAAGCACCTAATTATTATATAGTTCTCGAAGTTTTTTTCCACCTTGGGACTACTAGGTTTATAGACCTTTCAAGATTGTAATTTTATTGAACATTGAAAATTTTTCAAAAATGACACCAAGAGACAAACCACCTAGGAATTCTTTGTCAAAAATATGAAGAGTTTGTGGGGAATTTGAAGGAACTTATCGGAAATTGGAGGAATTTATGAGAATTTGGGAAAATTTATAGGGAATTTGGAGAAATTTATGGGACATTTGTCAGAAATGTATAGTGACAAGCGTACCCTGAATGACTCCTTACCTTTTGGTGACATCAATCTTTCCCATTTTAATATACCAATATCATCAATTTATGGAATTTTATCAAGTTTGGATATAAATAAAAGACCTGGTCCGGATGGTCTCCCACCAAACCTTATCAAATATTATAGTTTCATCTTTTCAAGACCACTCCATATTATCTTCAATCTTTCCCTAAAATCTGGAATTTTTCCAACCTACTGGTAAATAAGCTTCATTACCCCTATACTAAAATTAGGTGACAATTCTCATGTCAATAATTACAGGCCTATCAGTATTTTGAGTTGTATTCCAAAAGTTTTTGAAGGTTTATTCTGTGACTATTTGTCTGCTGGTCTGAAGGATTGCTTCATCAACCAGCAATTTGGATTTCTCCCCCTGAGTTAAACTTGAAGATTTTTTCTTGAGTTCATTGGAAGAAGGGTCTCATGTGCATGCCATATACACAGACTTCATAAAAGCCTTCGACAAAGTAAACCATAAAATCCTTATCAATAAATTGAGACACATTGGAATTCAGGGGAAGCTTTTAGAATGGTTAACATTATACCGAGCATCATACCTTACAGATAGAACACAAATTGTACGCATCCACAACTTTCAGTCCACCGAAATTAAAGTTACATTAGGTGTTCCGTAAGGGTCACATCTAGGACCCTTACTCTTCAATGTTTAAATCAAATCAAATCAAATAAAAATAGCTTTATTGATACAAGAAAAAAATCAATCTCATTACCAAAGCAATGTAAAACTAGCAAAAGAGTAAGTACACAATTTTAATTTAAAAATTCTTAAATTGAACAAAACATTGAAATAAGTAACATAGGAAGTACTGGGGGAAGAACAGTACAGACAAGTTAACTACTTACATATGTACAGCTATAAAATATCATGTAATCAATGTATGAGAACAATAAATAACATATAAGACGAAAAATGTATCAAAATTCAAAAATAAACAAAGACTGAAAAACAAATTACAAAATAAGTAAACCAGTAAACAGTGCTTCTCAAATATTTTGTCACACTAAAGTGGGCTTTCTTTAATTTTACAGACAATTTAAATCTTTTTAGGAATTCTAGGGATCTTATGCTAATAGGCAAATGGTTATACATTGTTTTACCAGTGTAAAACAAAGAATTCCTCACAAGTGCAGTTTTTCACAAAACACTGCCGCAGCCGCCTCTCTCTCGTTAAGCTGGAAGTACAGATCCTCGAAAAATGAAAAAACTGCATCACCAGTGCCCACACAACTCTGAAACTCAAACTGAGCCAAACACAACAGTTTATTCTTATTGCAGGAAAGCCACAATTTTGTTTTTAACTTTAACTAGCGTTTCAATAACCCTACCAATTGTGGGTAACAATGTATTTTTCCCTGAGTTGATTAACAATTTTCCAACTCTCGCTCTCTCTGCCCATTCTGAGAATTGACTATGCGATTTTCAAAATAAGTTCTTTTGGCTACCTTCAATGTTTTACGATCGAGTTTACGATAAAATGACCTATATCTATTAAAATATGACACAAAAAACCCAAAGTTCATAAAATATTTACGTAGGTATATAATGTAAAGCACGAAGATTCTTGCCAGACCATGGTTTCCACCTCCTATTTCTAATCCTTACAACCAGAAATTAACATTCAAAGGCACCAGTCAACAAGACATGGAACCTGCTCAAGGGATCCTCAGTACGAAAAGTACCCAACTAGTCCACAGTTAGGCAGCGTTATTCAAAATTTATGAAAATTTCTCACTGAAAAGATCCTACCTGGCTCCTGCGACCGCGGAGCTCTCCGGCCACAAACTGGTATGATATAAAGCACAGCCTCGTGATCAGAGAGGCCTGCGCTCACCACATTGCAGAAGACATCATCATCCAAACCAGTACAAACATAATCCAAAACAGAAGCAGAACCAATTGAGATTCTAGTTGGCGAATTAACATGCATATTAAGATTAAATAGGTTTAACAAATGTTTCAATGACAGAGTGCATGAAGAATCTTCACTGTCAAAGTCAATGTTCAAATCTCCCGTCAAGACATCAATAAATTGTGGACAGAGATTCGACAAAAGAAACTTCAACCTCACCAGAAATACGCTCCCACTAGATTGGGGCAGACGATATATAGAAACTAAAAACATATTCAATTTTTTACACTTACAAACAGACAATTCAAACCCTTTCTCAACAATCAAATCTTGAAACCTTAGGCTATTCTCAACTTCAAATTTCTTAGAAAAGTTTTTGTTTCTTAAAATTAAATTACCCCAATGGGCCATGGATAGAGTTCTTTCTATAATACACTGATACTAAACTATAATCTGGTATAGATATAGGTTCCACATCTTAAAGTCAGTGCTCCGTTAATACTACAAAATTCGGAAAATTACAGCTCCCTGAAAACACCCAAAATTCATCAATTTTGGACTTAGTTATGTAGTTAACCAATAGTTTGCCAAAAGTAGAGCCATTGTGTCTGATCACGCCCTATCCTAAAGTTATCTATCACCCTAATTGAGACATTATTTCTAGTGGTAAAATCACCAAGATGAGAATATATTCTTCTGTACATGGGGTTATTGAAAACACAATCATTCTATCTAAAACGCATTATTAAATTAATGTATTGACCAATTAAAAAAAAAAAACTGCTTCAAAAATGAGCTGGTTGTACAAAACCGTACTACAATTTTTCCCATTCTCGTCACCCAGAATTAAAACTTTATGGTGAAAATCTTTATTTGAAGAGACAGGCTTCACCTCTGGAGCCGTTCTCCCAACACAAACATTATCAGCATCATCCACCACTGTTTGTGAACTCTTTAAACTCCTTGAAAATTCATCTTCTAGTTCCACAACCTGTTCAGCATAAAATTCATTTTCTGCTGTGAGTATCTCTATACAGGTCATCAATTTTCCGCAGTGTCAGATTTAAATGAGCAACTCCCAAAACATCTTCTGACTGAGTATATTGACTTGTTGTTGGACGCAGAAAAGTTGGATTAAGCTCCAAATCATTCTGCATGACTTGAGCTTCAGATGGCCGATATTTCAATTCGGACTGAGAAATCACTCAGTTTGCGTTGCAAATGAAACCATACCAAATTTAGGCTGTATATTTTAGTTCTCTGTTTGTAACTTCAAGCTGTTTAATTTCCGCAACATAGCAATCTGAACCTCATTCGTGAAATCCTGTGTGATGTTAGCACGGGCCGCCCTCAACTCGATTTTCAAGCTCTCGATTATGTCATCCTAAGCAGTCTCTGTTTGTTGAAAAAATAAATCCTTTGAGTTAATTTCCGTCTTGAGTTTCGAAATTTTCAAATTTAAATCCTCTGTTAAGTTCTACGTAAATGATATTGCATCTTGTTTCATGTTCGCACTTTTCTTACTAGTTGCTGATGATCTAAAATTCTACATAAAAATCCAGAATCAGAATGACTGTGCCATCTTAATGGAATGGAACTAAATATTACTAAATACCAATTAATGATCTTCAGCCGTGGAAGAAATCCCATCCATCAAGATAATAATATAAAAGGCTCGCCCTTATTGCTGGCTTCTTAAATAAAAGATTTGGGAGTGTCGCGCATCAGTTGTTTCTAAATCACTGCAAGTATTGGGCTTTATCAAACGCCGTGCTAAGGACTTTTTAAATATCCCTTCCCTCAAACTGATTTTCTGTTTCCTGGTGTGACCACATTTGGATTATTGTTTTTGTGTGTGGTCTCCTTCTTATAATGTCCATATACTGGCTATCGAGAGGGTCCAGCATAAGTTTTTGAAGTACATGGCATTCAAGGAACATCATAGAGTCGATAAAATAAATTACCCTGGATGGGAGAGATCCCTTTGAATTACATCCCTTTAGGTTCGTCGTATGCACAGAGATCTCTCTATATTTTATAATTTACTTCACTCAAATTCTCATGGCCTTATAAAATTGAACTTCATGTTCCCTCTCGCCAAGCAAGACTAAACCATTCCTTTCAAATTGATTCCCATTGTACCACCAACTATGGCTATAACTCGTTCCTGACTAGATCAGCTAGACTAGGAAATACATTTTTAGACGATTTAGACTGTTTTCAAACTCAAAAAATATTTAAGAGGAACTGAGGGCCTGTCTGTGAGCTCCTATATGTAACTAAAATCATTGAAACAGTATTATCTTTCCTTTCTGGTACTACTCCTATTGCCTCTAGTTGAATACCTAGTTTTTAGAATTGTTAAACTCTGTCTAACCAAAGTTGAACGTTGAAGGCCACTTACTCGAATATATCACAGACGTTGCTTTTTGCTGCTGTCTTTATTGCACGCGCACTGCGTTTATCAAACCAAAATAAGTCCGAACGTATGAATCCTATGGTTACAAGGATGAGTAAGTGACCGTCAACGTTCAACTTTGGTTGGAAAGAGTTTACATTGCTGTTCATGGGTGTTTACTGTTGGTTGTTTAGCTGAAGGATAAATTGTTATACTCAGGTTAGGTCTTGTTTAAAAGTATTAGTGTTGTTAACTTTCTTTATATTGGGCAGCTGCCCGTTGAAAAATAAAATAAAATAAATTATTATTTCACAAAATTGTTCTAGATGGGATGGGCCAGCACCTTCTAACCACCACAAAGCCTTCCACTTTGACTCATAATGGACCCAGTGGGTCCCTGGTATGCCTCCTATAACAGACTAGCTGCACAGGCCGCTGCTGGGGAACACCATCCCTTAGCAGCCGCCGCAGCCGCAGCTGCTGCAGTAGCCTCGGCCACTACCACCACCTCAGCTTCTGCCCCTCCTGCAGGTGTACTGCCCGGAGGGTTCCTGTCACCTCCCGCTGTCGGCTATGAGACTGTTTTTAGTCCACTATTTCATGGTGCAGTAGCTGCTAGTGGTGCCAAGCCTCATTATGTTGCACAGGTAAGTAATTTCATTGGAAAATAATTTGAATAAACACAAATATTTTGTGCTTAGGTGACACAGCAGCATAGGGCATTGGCTCAAGCGGCAGCATCTAAACAAGCAAGTGAATCTGGGGAATTCCATCCACAAGCCCAAGCTTTTTTTGAACAAGGTGCTTCAGCCTGGCAACAAAATAGTCCTTTTGGTATATTACCACATGAAAGTGTTGTTGCCACATCTAGTGGAAAAACGGTAAGATACAATTATTATATTATTTTATTATATTACATAATTATTTTTTGTAGGTTTCCTATGAAAATTTTAATGCTCACTTTGCTGCAGCCCAGCAATCTATTAGCAACCATATCAGTTCTATAGCAAATTCAAAACTAGCTGCCAGCAATAGGTCTCCTCAAAGCCCACAAGTGACTACAGCTTCAGTGAAAACTGGACCCAATCCAAGTGCATTTTTTCAAGTACATAATAATTTCTATTTCTATTTGTGACAATATTTAATTATCAATTTCAGGTTCCAGTAAGTCTATCAGATACCAGCAAACTAGCTTCCGCAAACTCTTCCAATCTTCAACAATCTTGCATTGTATCTTCAGCTTCAACTACAAAAGAATACCGTGGGGTGCCTCAAGCACCCAATAGAGCATTTTTAAGGTATATTTTTGCAATAATAAAACTTAAAAATTAATCAAATTTTGTATTTTAGTTCTGCAAACCCACCAAGTCGTAACATTGAAAAATCTTTCACATCACCACCTACCAACAAACAACAAAGTGCTCCACAAATCCAAACTAAAGCTCAAACAAAAATTTATTCTGAACTTGCTAATCAGAGAGAACAGCAACAACAAAGGTAATTTATTTAGGCATTATTTCAGTGAATAATTTCCAAGGATTATAGAGCAAATGAAGAACCTCAAAGCCAGTCATCCCCAATCAGTTTTTCAATTATGGACGCTCCAGGTCGTATGAATTACGCTGGAAGCAACGCTTCCGGAAAACGACCGCCTCACTTTCAACACAATTACAGACACTACCAACAGCCGCAAAATGCTAATTCTGAAGACTTTCAGCGGCCTAAAAGTGGTCCAGATTATCAAAACAGGTTGGAATGACAAACTATTGATCTTAGCAAAAAATTATATGTATATTTTTAGTACTAACGGTTCTGAATGCAATGTAGCAGTACCCAGAAGACCAAGCCCTCTGCAAGCACATTCCCAAGCATCTCCAATAGGCCACGCCCAAAGCCCCGCTTATCCAATGTATAACAGTCCCATGAATTCCATGTCATCACCTCAACAATCGAGTAGTCAACAGGTAATAATTTGCCTTATATATATTTTTTTTTTAATTAATAATCTTTTATAGGTTGCTCCACCATCCCCTTTAGATGTTTCTGTACCAAGACCAAATAGCCAAACTGGAAATGTGGCTTATCCTTCTGTAATTACAAGAGCTTTAAATACTGATAATAAATCTTTTCCTGAAAGGTATGATCACAATCAAACAAATCAAACTAACCAGGTAAGGAAAACTAATTCTTGGAATTTAGGGGAAATTAATGTAACATGTGCAATTTAAGGCTTGTTGGGATGACAGACAAGGCCAACAACAGCAAAGGAAATTTCAAGCAAATACTCAACCTACTTATAATAATTCTAGTACTAATAATGAGCTTAACAACAGGCCAGGAGAGGGACAAAGGCAGCAATACTTTGATTCAACTACTGGTCATCAAGTGAGAAATTTTTGTTTTTATTTTATAATTACATATATTATTCACAAAGTTGCTTTAGGTTACCTTACAAGATTTATCAAGCTGTCGAGGAGACCCAATGACTATAGTAAAAAACTTGCAGCAACAACAGCAAACATGTCAAGTGCCCCAAGTAGAAATCAAGCAAGAAGTGCCCAAGCCGCCCATAAAACGAAGAAAGAGTGCCGAAAAACCTGTCGCTCCTCCTCCGCCTGCTGAAATTCACCCACCCAGTAAGAAACGCTTTTTGGGTTAGTTTTTATGTTAAAGTTAAGACAAAATTAATTTAGATCGAATCCCTCCACCAGCCCACAGTACAGGTGCCAATCAACAACAGCAGAACGGTGTCTATTTCGAATTCGACAGGTGGAACATCCCTCCTCCAACATCAAAAATTTTCAGTAGCCAAGCTTTGCATCAGCAACATCAAGGACTAATGGTAACCAAATGATATTTGTTGAATTAAAGTAATACATTGTTTTACGCAGATTTCTCAAGTTCCTCATCCACACGGCCACCATCCACCACCGCCGCTGCCTTATTTTGCTCCCTTTCACATAGCCAATCATCCGGGAGAGTTTCCTTCCAGCGTAGAATTGACACCTCTGACTAATTATAATGAACAACAGCACGCAGCCCATCAGCAGCAGCAGCACCAGCAACAACAACAGCAACAACAGCAGCAACAGCATCATCAGCAACCGCCGCAACCGCAACAGCCACAATATCAACAGCCCGATGATCAGCCTAAAGTGGTGGTACCAAATATTGAGGAGGAATTGAATTTTTTGTCTGGAGGTAAAGTGATTGGGAATTTTTTGTTGGAAGAATTTCTTAAATAATATCTAAGTAATTAATTTTGAAAAACGCATACCACTACACAATTTAGATAAGTTAATGGTGCTGACATAAATATAACAACACCTCAGACTTTATTTGGAAATTTTTTTGAACTATTTACTCTCTTTTTCCAAATTCACTTAATTTTTTCTTCTCACATATAAGTCTGAAAAAGTTTGTAGTTCCTTGATTGGGATAAAATTCAGTGAAAGTTTCAGCTTTCTATCTATAATAGAAAAAAAGTTATGACCTTTCAAAGTTTTCCAAAATCAAAATCATAAGGTAGCTACCTTCTTACTAAAACAATGAAATTTCAATTTTTTTTTTTTGTTGAGATTTTGTATTCTAAAGGTTATTTGATATCCCCCGAACTTCATACACCAAGTTATTCCCAAATTTGAAGCCGAAATCTATGAGAAAAGGCACTCAGAAAAATGGAAAAATTGATAAATCACCCCAAATTCCTTAACACGATTTCATCTCAGGAACTATAAGTTCAAATGACTTAAAATTTTCAGGGATTGTAGTCCTCTACTGGAATAAGAATCGCTGAAAATTTCAGCTTTCTATCTATAATAAAAAAAAAAGTTATAACCTTGCAAAGTTTTCCAAAATCTAAATCATAAGCTGATATTTTCAGGAATTGTTAGTAAAACATAAGTTTTAGGAAATTTTCTTTTGTATGCTAAGTCCATATTTTCGGGGATAAATTTTATTTAACATCACATACACTGATCAATTTTTCTTACTTGAAACAACTAAAATTTCAGATACAACGCCAAGGTTGCAACCGCCAATGAACCACACAAATCACCAAAACAAACCCCCACCTCCTCTACCCCAAAAGCCAATGGACAAGGTAGGTGGTCCTGGAGTTGGTTTTATGAGCAGCTACCTCAAGTTCCTTCAGGGGGAACGTGACACGTCACCACCGCCTGTCATGAGAGGTAATAACAATATATTCTATAAATAAAATTATATTCCTATATTGTATAGGAGGTCCAGGTAGTCGAAAGCAAGCAGCAAATACGTGGACAAGAAGGCAAACGGAAGATGCAGCTGTAAAATCTCAGTTGCATTCAGGGGGGCCACCTGATACTAATGGGGCGGTAGCGGGGGGCACAGTGTTGCCTAATTTAACCGGACCTCCTCCAGGAGTTACCAGGTTGACTACCAGTGGAGATCCGCAGGACGATCCAAGATATTTTCCTTTGCCCAAAGAACGGAAAAAAGGTTTTGATAGTTCAGATGATGGATTTAGTTCAGAAGATGACTTTTTTGGCTCCAGGAAGCATCTTCATATGAGATCTTTGGATTCTATTAAAAGAGAGTAAGTGAATTATTGTCTTTACCAAACAAGGAAATTATTAATAGTGAATTTTAGAGATTACCCTAGAGAAAGAAAATCGCATAGAGGAGGTAGACCATGTAAACCTGGCGGAGCAACCGAAAGGAAAAGGTTGAAGATGCAAGAGAAAAAAGAAAAAAAAATGAAAGATAAAATTAAAGGTAATAATAAAATTCAAACATTTTTAATTTAACCATTTTAATTTATTTTTCTAGTAAAATTAGAAGATGTGCCTAAGCGAGAACTAACAAAGAGGGCAGTGAAAGGCAAAAATAGTCTTACAGACATCATCAAAGATGGAGAAGAGCCTGATGAACCTCCCGAATATCAAGATTCTGAAGACTCCGATCCAGCTTGGACTCCTGCAGCTATTGTGGATGACGAAGACATGCTTCCAATGAAAAAAAAGGGACGAGGACGAAGTGGTAATAAAACTTTCAATTTTTTAAATAATATTTTTATTATAGTTGTTTAATCATTAGGTCCAAAACACAAGAAACCAAGAAATCTGATAGCTGCAGCCGCCCAAGGGGCGGGCATTAACGATTCTGACGGTTTGGGTGTTTATTCCAGCCCGGAGAAAAAATTGAAATCCAGCCATAAGTTGAAGCCAACAGTCCCTACCTTGGAAGACAATATTGCCGCGTCCATGCAAAATAATCTTTCCAGCGTTAATGATGACAATCCGTTTAAAACAGGCGAATTTGTTGCAATTAAATCTGAACTGTTTCAAGACTGGCCTGCCATTTGGAGGGTTGATGGTAAAACTTTGTTACAGAAGTATGAACCATTTGAACAAAATGGTTTAATGTTATATAGGAATATATCTACGGTAAGAAAAAACGGGTCAACTTTCGTTTAGCAGAAATCAGCTATTAGAAAAAAAATATAGAAAAATGCCTCCATAAAAACGAAAACTCACAATTTTTTTTGCAGAAATGCTTCATTTCCATTTTCCGGACTTTAGAATAGCTGAAATCAGTTATGTGAAAAATTTTTGTTTGTTTTCATTTTCAACATTTTTCTGAACCTACAAACACAAAAGTTTCGCTACGGAAATAAGCTGTTTTCATTTTCCGGAAAAATTTATAAGTTGATAGTTGAAATCAATTACGTGAAAAATTGATATTCCTTTGCATTGTAAACGGACACAATGGTCCCTGTTTGGGAATCGACCCACTGAGCAGTGGACTCAGGCTTTCTGTGCCAATCCTTGACGGGACAATTGAACTTCGTTGACCAGTTAGAAACAACTACTCCAAAGGCAAAAATTTTCTCGCGGAAATACACAGTTTCTCTTTTCGAAGCCATTCAAAAAATGCCTCTTCCCGACCTTTGATGAAAATAAATGCGGAAAATGCACATTTTCCATCAGAAAATTATATTTAAAATTGACGATTTGGCTCACCCTTCGAAAATCAACTACGAAAATTTTATCTTCTATCGGTCGCAATGCGTGCTAGTCCTTGCATGTAAATATTAGAGAGTTCTCGTGTCGTCCAAATTTCAAATACCGCAACGCTATTTGACAAGTATGACAGTTCTTACGGTATTAGCGTTAGCGAAGCCCGCTGTCTAACGGAACTTACCTGATGCCTTACCGTAACGCTATGCTATGTCAAAACTGGTTTACCCTCCATTTGTGTCTGCAAAAACAGAAACTTCTAATAATTTCTCCATAGAAAACACCAAGGGAAAATTAATCAACCTCAGGAATCTTTAGAATCAACACAAGTGAGAAAACAAGCAAAAAAAAAAGGGTTAGATTACTCAACTCAGCTGTCAAAATGTAAACAAAATAAGGGATTAGAGGATTTATGTGTCTTCGTGCCCGAGAACTATAAATTACCTTGTGAAATATTAGAGAGTTATTGGACGTGCAATAAGGACAAGCAGTATTTAAATTAGCCTTATTTTGACATCTGCGCATGCGCGTTTGGGTCTGAAAATAAGGATTCCCTTAATAAGGTTACTGCTTGTCTTTATTTGTGTATGGTTAGTGCGAGGCAGTAAACTTCCCTTATCCAATATTTCTGACATTTTTGATGACTTTGACGTTTCGCTTTTCGACGATGACGTAATTTTACTTAGAGGATTGGTTTTTCACAATAGTTTTTCATTTTATACTGTAGGTAACATCAAAAAATGGGTATCAGAGAAAACTCACAAACAAAAATAAACACTTTTTGAGGTTGAAATTTATAAACGTAGCTATCAGCTGTCAAAATTATGAATACAAAATAAGGTAATACTTAGCACCTACTACGGTCTTCCAATAACTGTTATTTTCTTGGAGAAATAGTGCTGATGCACTAATAAAATAACGTAGATCCTTTAATACTGCGAGGCAGTATTTGATAGTTCCAATAACTCTCTACTGTATTATTAGCGGTACCGTATTAGCGTAGCGTCTGACTATTGAATTTGGAAAAACAACAGCGCGCTTTGTTATTAATCAGTAGTCTAGTACATTAAATCAGTATTAAATGAACTGTACCAAAAATATGCAAATTACTGCTGACGAATTGGTGAAAAAATAATGAGCATTATGTAGGTAGATATATGAATTCTAGACATGGTGTAGTAATAATATAGTGAAATGTAAAATTGCCGAAACCGACTAAAGATCACTAAAGATTCACGTCTATTTGACAATCCATTTATATTCTGTAATTTTTGACATGTTTTTGTTTATAAACATCGTTTTATTGATTATTTCTGTTTTTTTTTTGTTTTTTTTTTTTCTCTGAATAGCGGTTTTGAATTGATGTAAAGTATTTATTTTCTAGAAAATTCGTATTTTAGGATGGAGAGTCCCTATCTTGAGGAAATGTTTTATTTATTTATTTATTTCGTTTATTTAGCAATAGCTAATCGTGCAACTTACATATATAAATTCACAAAAGTTATAATTAGAGTATAGTGTCAATTAAAGTAAACAATTAAAAAAAAAAACAACGAACAATTCAGAACTACGAAAAGAAACATTAAAGGAGACAAACCGAAACAACATGAAAGACAAAATGTAATTTAAATTCAAAATACAAATGACAATCATTCCGAAAGACATAATAAAACTTGAAATTTCGTAAAAAGCAAGTCCATGAAACTCATACAAAATATGGCATTCGTTTTTCACTTCACAAAATACAAGATCAAGATACCGCAAAACAAAAGAAATTCAAATCAACAAAACTCAGATCAACAAGAATAAGCTACTCATTTGTGCTTTAATCTGGAACATATATATCACATTGAGTCCAGATGAATTTTTAATTTTCTTTTGAAATTGCTAATAGTAACACATGACTTTATTTCATCCGGTAGCTGATTAAACTTATTCATACCCTTAAAGAATACCGATCTTGTTGCTGATGCCCCACATCTATGTGGTATATAGAAGTTGTTCTGTTGTCTAGTGTTGTGATCATGCATCTGGCCACTGTAAACTATTTTTCTTGTGAGATACAATGGAGCAAGTCCAATTTTAATTTTAAAAATAAACACCAGTACAATATATTTTGCATATTCCACAACTGGAAGCCACTGAAGCAATCTAAGCATACTTTTTATAGGAGTATATTTGTTACATGAGAGTATGATTCTCATACATCTATTTTGCAACTTTTGCAGTCTTTGGATATCATTCTGGTTAAGTAAATAAAGTATTGTTGCGCAATAATTGAAGTGTGGCAAAACTATAGTGTTAAAAACAACAATTCTAGACCAAGTTGAGAGAGATGCTGAACAGCGCCTAAGATAATTTGTCTTAAAATTAATTTTAGAAACCAGAATGTTGCAGTGATCTTTAAATTTTAATTTGTTATCAAGAATTACCCCAAGATACTTAATCTTTTGAACTTCTTCCAACTTATTGTTACCCATTTTAATTGAATAGTTGTTCATATTAAAAAGACTTCTGTTATTATGTGTACCAATAAACATAAATTTAGTTTTACTAACATTAATCTTCAAAAGATTCGTTGATGCATAATTGTCCATTTTATTTAGGGCATTATTAACAGTTTCCACCAACAAATCCAAATCTTTTGAAAAGGCGTAGAATAGACTATCATCGGCGAAGTTATGCAATTCAATGTCATGTATTACATCTGGCAGATCGTTTATATAAATAATGAACAATAGTGGACCCAAAACACTACCCTGCGGTACACCATGCTCGTTAACTATCTCTATTGAACTAATTCCATTCAGTCTAGTTAATTGTCTTCTTGATGTTAGATAGTCTCCAAACCATCTCAACACCACATCCCCAATTCCAATTTTTTCTAGTTTCTTAAGTAATCTGTGCCGATCGACCGTCTCAAAGGCTCTCTGTAAGTCCAGAAAAACCGCTAGTACATTGAAACCTTGGTCATATTTTATTTTAAATTCATCCAGAATGTACTGTATTGTAGTTTTACAGCTGTGACCATTTCTGAAGCCTGACTGTTTCTCTGTTATAGTATTATGTGTATTTAAAAATTCGAGAAGCTGATCATATACAACTTTTTCAATTATTTTCTCGATGACAGGAAGTGTATTAATGGGTCGAAAATTAGATGCTTCTATTGAGTTAAGTTTTTTTTGAACTGGTATTATTGTAGCGAGCTTTAGAGGATCTGGAAACTTTCCTTGTTCCAGTGAACTATTTATTAAAGTAATCAGGGGTGCTTCAAGAGACGGATATGTATTCCTTATTAATGTTACATTCAAGTCATCGGGACTATTTTTGTTTTTCAATGACATAACAATTTTAAATAGGCAATCAGAATCTATTAATCTGAACGAGCTAAAGTCTGCATTATTTTTTGTGAAGTCACTTAAGGTATCCGTATTCCCTGAATCAGGTTTAATTTGTTCAATTATGGAATCTATGCTGTCTACATAAAATCTGTTCAGTCTTTCGGGCAGACTGTTTTTATCCATTATTATTACTCCTTCCATCTCTATTTTATCAATGTTTGCATGATTTTTCTTTGGTAAAATCTCTCCCAATACATTCCACATTGCCCTAGGATCCCGTTTACATCCATCCACTTTTTGCTCATAGTACTTTATTTTCTCTTCTTTGATAGTTTTAACTACTTGATTTCGCTTATCTCTATACGATCTATGTGCATCTTCACTCTTAAGCAATTTGTAAATCTTATAGCTTTTATCCCTTAGTGCTGCTACTTTTTTGACATTTTTATTCCACCATGGTTTATATCGTGGTAAAATTTTAACCTGCTTTAATGGTGCTATAGTATTCAAGGCCCGATAAACTGTTGACACAAAGAACTTACACTTGTCATCTATATTATTTATATTAAAGTGCCAATCAACCAATTTTAGGTTCTCCCTAATTAAATCATAATTTATATTTTTCCCTCTAGTCGAAATAAAATGTGGAATCTTATTTTGTGATTGCAATATTGCAGCATTGACACATATATAATAATGATCACTCACTCTGGGGGCATGTTTTACTTTAGGAATCAGATCCCAGATAATTTGTAAACAACAAATCAATACATGTACCACCGTCTCTATTTGGCCTTGTTATTTCCTTAATTTGTTGTTGGAATCCTATATCATGTGAGATATTAGTAAGACGCTGCGTATATGTATTATCTGGCTTCAACATGTCAATATTAAAATCTCCCAGTATTACAGTTGGTATGTTATTATCACATACAGAATCATGACTCCATTCTTCAAAAAAATTTAAAAAATCCTTCCCACTACAGCTCGGGGATCGATATAGACAAACTACATACAAGTTTTTGTTACTAACTTCTATCTTAACTCCTAATACCCAATACTTCTTTTCAAACTTAACTCTGCTTATTGATAATATTTTAATAAAGTTCTTTAAATAAATTTGTACACCACCTGTAGATCGGCTTGAACTGTCTAGTCTAACCAATCTATATCCATCTATACTGACTTCATCGTCTTCAATTTCTTCAGTCAAATGTGTTTCAGATAAAAAAATAATTTTAGGATCCAAATCCAGAACTAGGGCATGGATCTGATCAAAATTAGCAATTGTACTACTTGAATTAAGATACAGAAGATCACATTCTGTATCCTTACTCTTAATATTCTTATCCTTACTTCGCGACAGCCTTTCATTGCTGCATCGTTTATTAAACCTATCTATAAAAAAGCCCGCTTAGACTGCTGATCGGCCTCATAAGTAGTCAAATTTATAGTTACTTCAAGTTCTTTATTATTAAACTCTATAAATTTCAAATTTGTATTCCTATGAAGACCAAAATTATCTATTCCTTCTTTAATTCTACTTGAAAATCTATCAAGACCATATCTACTCAGATATATTCCCTGCTCAGTGAAATCGCCAACGAGATAATCACTGGAGTGATCCACTAATATGTCTATATTGGCAGAATATTATTTCAATCGTTCCGCTACGTACTGGTTTTTTTTGTTTATATGAGACAAAATATTTACTTTACTTGATAAATCGTTTTTTAACGGAATAGAGCATAAAAGTAAATTGGTTTGAAAGCATTTATTTGCAAGCAAGACGTAATCTCTGCATCTAACATCCAGATTGTTCACACCCGCAACAACATCCTTTAATCTTGCAAATGGCTTAGAAACTATCTGAATTACAAACCTATTTCCCAAAACTCTGTTCAAGTATTCCCACAAATGTTTACCAAAATCATCTGTCAACACAACTAACTTATTTTTCTTTATACTAGGCAAACTACAATTCTTATTTTCTACAACTATCTTATTTTTCTTATTACTAGGACCACTATCATTCTCATTTTCCACTATAACTATCTCATCTTTCCTACTACTAGAACCGCTATTATTCCTATTTTTGACACCTACAGATTTCCGCAATTCTTCTTTCATTTCATTTATCTGTTGGCGCATATCATATAACTCTTTTTCATAAATTGCATTGTCAGTTTCAAATATCCGGATTGTGTTTACTAACTCTCTATTGATTGTATTCTGATCTTCCACTTCCTTCCTCTTTATTTCAATATCTTCCTCATAGTTCCTTAACTTTATCTCATGTCCATTACAATTTAAATGTTAGTGCATATTTCTCCCTAACTTCCAGAGAGAAATATGCTAAAATATAACAGTTTAGTAAAGGGGTAAGGTTCGTCGAAGGTGAATAGAATCCTTGTGGCGCCAATTTCACTGTTTGATCTAAGCCGCCATAGTGATTCGATTGCCCTATTACAACCAAACAAATGAATAATTATAACGTATTTCCGCAATAAAATTTTCACGTTTTCATATTCAGGAAATTTTTCAAAATGCAAAGGAACATCAATTTTTCACGCAATTGATTTCAACTGTTCTAAAGTCTGATGAATTTCTCCGAAAAATGGAAACAGCTTATTTCCGCGGGAATATTTTTGTGTTTATATATTCAGAAAAATGTTAAAAATGCAAAGCAAACAATTTTTTCAATGTAACTGATTTCAGCTATTCTAAAGTCCGGAAAATGGAAATGACGCATTTCCTCAGAAAAATTTATGTGTGTCTGATAAAAAGAAGACTTTCTGAAAACAACTGTAATAACATCTCTTATATACCTGATTTCAGCTAAACGTTGAGCCGAAAAAACTATATTTATAAATTTTATAATTAACTGATTTTTTTTTTTTAGTATACATCATGGACTTCAGACAGTAAAAAGCAATATGTGTCCGTGCCAGTAAAATATAAGTCTCAAAGTCAATCAGAAACTATAGTAGAGTTTCTAAAAAACGAAATGACTATAACAGATCCGAAATTGCAAGAACAGTGTATGAAACAGTGCGAAAGTTATCAGGATAATTTCGAAGTGTACATTCAAACTTTGATCTCGCAAGCTTTAGATAGCAATTTTCTTATGGAAATTTTTCAAGAGAAAGGTAATACGAATATAGATTTTTTAAATTGTCTTCTAGACAAAATTATTTTCCAGATGAATATTTCCTTACAAATGTTCGAACAATTGACGAAATAACTGATAATAAAAAGCAAAAATTGCTTCAACTAGTCCGCTGGCCGGCAAATTTGCAAGCTGCAGTATGTACGTGGCCATGTTTCAATGTTTTACGTGAAGTCCAGCAAGCAGATGTGCAGACACGCATGTGTGCAGCTTGCGGGCGCAATAACGTAGCTGTTAGGGTGATTATGTATGGACAACCTTATAACAAAACTACTTTGGAAGGTTGCCAACCAGATCCGAATGCCATAAACGAGAAAGTAATTTCTAGGTTTTTTTTTTTTTTTTTGATGTATTACAGTCTTAATTTTTTTGTTTTAGGATTTTTTTATGTGTAGAATATGTGTGAGTCGAGTGGAGCTTGCGAGTAAAGTGATTCATCAGAAATATTTAATGTATATAGAGTGTGCAAAGCGTGTAAGTGAAAAAAGAACCTCAGACTCTACAAAAGATACCACTTGTATATTGAATGAGCTTTTAGCTGATGAACATTGGTTGAATCAGGTTAGTATTTTTCAAATTTGTAATGGCTTTGAAATAAAGATAATTATTATTTTTTTTAGCTATTTTTAGAAGTCCGTACTTTCTGGTCTGAAATCGATTGCATAGAACACAGTTTTAAAGCAAAATGTGTACAGTGATTTTCTTTTTATTTGAAACAATTTTTAAATCAAAAAATATTGTATATATTTTGAACGAGAATTTATATATTATGATAAAAGAGCTGTAATTTTAGGTAAAAAAAAATAGGAACCAGTATGCGCATATAATATTGAAAATATGATTTTTTAAATAAGCGAGGTTGGTAAAACCTAATTTATTTTGTGCTCCAAAAACGTGATATATCTATATTAAATTATACCTTTTTTTTTTTTGTATTGATGAATATTTTTCTTTATACATTTTTCCCATTGGTTATACTTTAACAAAAAAATGAGGAGCACGAAACTAAATAAAAACGATTATTTGTATTATAGTTTTATTAATTATAATCCTTTCTACCATACAAAAAAATAATAAATTCCATTCCGCCCCCCTTGTCCGAATGCATTTCGATGGTTATATAATGATGTCCCAATCCACCATTTTTTATAAACGCTGTACCGCCTCCGTTTCCGTACCTCTTCAAATACTCATTGAGTACTTTAATGCAGTAGATTTTTTCGTCTCCATACCACGTCACCGTCGTATTGCGAGAAATTAGAGGAATGGAATCTTTGTGAACCACTTCGTAATGAGCCATGTCATGGTCTTTTGCTTTGCTACAATTGCCATTGATTATTTCAGGAAACTCTTTGGGCTCTTGTGCTGTTATTGAATTTGCAATGAACAAAATAAGAATCAGGTAATGCATAGTGAAAAAATTATTTGACAATTTTATGGCGTTTAAAATGGTAGTTGAATACTGGTCCAGGTCTGTTCGCACAGTAATCACAAACCAGTCAGACCGTTTTTGATTGGTGCAAATTGCTTCTGTTGAAAGGCCTCACTAGAAGTCTGACGAATGCAACAATGGTTGTTATAGTTTTAGAACTGGTTTCAATTTTTAGGGGTTTTTGAACAATAGGCGGAAAAACCAGTAGATTGTCATGGTCATTAGTCCTTGTGCTGGGAATGTTACTTGCCAGTATACTATTTTACGGCTCACTAAAATATTTATCAAGTCTGTTCTTAAAGACATTCACAGTAGGGGAGGTTACAGCCTCGTCAGGGAGCTAATTCCACTGTTGCATCACTCGATTTGTGAAAAAATAATTTCTGGAAAGTCTGAGACAGAGTTCGGTGGAGAGCTTTAGGGAACGTCCACGCAGATAAGAGTAGATATTTCTGTAAAAGAAATCAATGTCGCATGTGTAATGATTATGTAAAATTCTGTATGTTTCGATTAAGTATCCTCTATTTCTGCGTTCCTCCAGAGTTGTCAGATTAAGAGCTTTCAGTCGTTCTTCATAAGACAATTGATTCTTCTGGCTTCCTCTGGATATGCTCAATCAGATCTATTTCCTTTCTGAAATAGGGACACCAAACCACAACAGCATGCTCCAGCAGTGGTCTGATGTAGGTTTTGTAGGCTTGGAGAAACATTTCAGGGGACATTTCCCTAAAACAGCGTTGTATCAGATAGACTGTTGAGTTGGCTTGCTTCACAGTTGCATGTATGTGCGGTTCCCATTTTTTATTTGAAATATTTACTCCTAAGTGGGCCTGCTCAGTCACCCTTCCCAAGTTGTTATTGCCCATATGCTAGTCCAACATAGGATTGCTGTATCCAATGTGCAACACACAACATTTGCTGACATTAAGTTTCAATAACCAGTCCTTCGTCCACCTCTCCAGTTCAGCAAAATCCTCAACCATGGCACCATATTGAAATGTAGGGACACAGAATATCTTGGTGTCGTCGGCATACATACTGGTCCTACAGGACATGTTTTGGGCAATATCTGAGACATAAATTATAAATAGAAGTGGGCCCAGCACAAAGCCTTGTGGAACCCCACTGACTACATTGAGCTTGCTAGATAAAGTGCTATTTATTCAGACTTGGTATGTCAGACTACACAAGTAGCCTCGAATCCATCGAAGCAGCCGACCCCGTATACCACAATGCTTAAGCTTGTGAATCAGTCTCTCTGGAGGAATAGTGTCAAACGCCTTTTCAAAGTCGAGGTACACAACATTAATTGGATAATGCTCCACAGATGACTTGGTCCAGTGTTCCAGGCTGGACAGGAAATTGGATGTAACTGTGCTGATTGGATAGTCGATCACCATGATGGGTCATACGGAATTCTGTCATTTCAGTAGCCATAATCTTTCCCATACATTTGCAGGGTATTGATGTTAAACTGATAAGCCTATAGTTTTCAGCTAAGTGTTTCGCCTTTCTTATAGGTACAAGTCATTGAAGGCAAAGAAGAGATGATCAAGAGGCTAAGGAGGAAGACTATTAATTTCCAGGATGACGTATTTGCAGCAGAAGAGTCCGCGGAGGAAAGAATAAAACAACAAAATAATATTATTAACGACCTGGAGGTGAAGCTACAGCAAATAAGACAAGATTTTAAAGCTGAACAAGAAAAGTCCGACGAACTCACTAAAACAATCCAGAGGATGGAAAGGGAACTGGCTAGTCAGAAGAAGGAACAGCCAAGATATGAAGAACTTGTAAAGAAATATCAGGATTTGAAAATAAAATTTAAAGAATGTGAGAGGAAGTTAGATGTTTTAAAGAATAAAAATCAGAGTAGTAAGATAAACATGCAAAGGGACGCCAGGGACAGGGAAGAAAAAATGAAGAATAAGGAGACTCATGTGGAAAAAGATCAACTTAACGATAATGTGTCAAATGTGATTAGAGTGGAAGAGGCTGAACGTCTAAGCAGAGAAATTGTGAATAAAAGTGAGACCATTGAGAGTATAAAAAAACAAATGCATATATTAGAATTAAATTCTAATGGACATGAGATAAAGTTAAGGAACTATGAAGAAGATATTGAAATAAAGAGGAAGATCAGAATACAATCAATAGAGAGTTAGTAAACACAATCCGGATATTTGAAACTGACAATGCAATTTATGAAAAAGAGTTATATGATATGCGCCAACAGATAAATGAAATGAAAAAAGAATTGCGGAACTCTGTAGGTGTCAAAAATAGGAATAATAGCGATTCTAGTAGTAGGAAAGATGAGATAGTTATAGTGGAAAATGAGAATGATAGTGGTCCTAGTAATAAGAAAAATAAGATAGTTGTAGAAAATAAGAATCGTAGTTTGCCTAGTATAAAGAAAAATAAGTTAGTTGTTTTGACAGATGATTTTGGTAAATATTTGTGGGAATACTTGAACAGAGTTTTGGGGAATAGGTTTGTAATTCAGATAGTTTCTAAGCCATTTGCAAGATTGACGGATGTTGTTGCTGGTGCCGAATGCTATATTAAAGATTTGACAAGTGCTGATTATGTAATTCTGGTAGCGGGTGTGAACAATCTGGATATTAGATGCAGAGATTAAAATCAAAATCAAAATAGTTTATTGGTGTTATAAATACAATTGTACCTTACACAAGTCATATAAATAAATCTTACATTTATCATAAAAATTACAAAAATTACAAAAATTATGCTGAGCACTATACATATTATTTAGAAGAAAAACAGACCGATAAATGCTAAAACTACAGTGACTAATACAAAGTTAAAATAGACAAAAAAGTCAATTATATAAATTAAAATAAAATAAAATGAAAACAACTATTACAGGTAAAACTCCATTAAAAAAGACAAAACTGCATTTAAAAAGACAAAACCTATACATATAACAACAAACCTATTACACATTAAAATTAAAATTCATGACTTAAAAACTCTGTATAACTATAAAATCCTTGACTACACAGGAAGCCTTTAATTTTTTGCTTGAACTGTTCCTCTGGTAGGCTCTTGAAAGAACCAGGCAACTTGTTGAAAAAATGGATTGAGAAACAGCTAGGACCACTCCTGCACCTCTCAAGCCGATGGTAATTTGGTACCAAACAATGTCTGTTACGAGTGTCATAATTATGGATGTCAACATGAGACCGATAACCATTCAGGTTACTACTCAAGTACACAAGGCACTCATATATGAATAGACACGGAACAGTAAGAATATTGTTATCTATAAAAGCCTGCCTACAATCTTCTCTATAAGACAACCCTGCCAATATCCGAACCGCTCTCCTCTGAAGCCTAAAAACTCTTGTGGCTCCTGCACTGTGACCCCATGCAATGATAGCATAAGAAATATGGCTATGCACCAATGAATAATATCCTTGCTTAAGCACGGAATGCGACACGGAGCCAGTTAGACCACGCAGCAAAAATACATTTGAAGCGAGTCTAGAGCACAGGGCATCAGTATGGGCGTCCCAGCGCAGCCCGGGGTCCAAATGGACACCCAAGAACTTAACACTGGAAGCTTCATTCACATTAGGCAGTGCACGGGTGGAAAAGACGAGTGCTTGGGTCTTAGAGGCATTGAGAAATAAGCGGTTGGTGGAAAACCATCCTTCAGCTCTAGAAAGTGCAGCACGAGTGCGCTCCATAGCTTGATCCAGCTCGTTTTCATAGCAGGCAATTGTGGTGTCATCAGCAAAAAGGGTGTAATGAGCATCTAAATCTATTTGTGGAAGATCATTTATGTATAATAAAAATAAAAGAGGACCCAGGACAGAACCCTGGGGCACTCCGATTTGTACATCCCTTTCATCTGACTTCACCCCAGCAACCTGCACCACTTGGCGTCGTCCAGACTTCTGATTAGGGAGATGCTGGATTGATCAAAGTTGTATTATTATTACGTCTTGCTTGCAAATAAATGCTTTCAAACCAATTTACTTTTATGCTCTATTCCGTTAAAAAGCGATTTATCAAGTAAAGTAAATATATATTTTGTCTCATATAAACAAAAAAATCCAGTACGTAGCGGAACGATTGAAACAATATTCTGCCAATATAGACATATTAGTAGATCACTCCAGTGATTATCTCGTTGGCGATTTCACTGAGCAGGGAATATATCTGAGTAGATATGGTCTTTTGTGGAGGACTATGGACAATTTAGAAAAACTTTAAAGAGATTTCTGGAAAACAAAGCCTATTACAATCTTGGGGAATTCTACTCAGACTAATCATTTAATCTTTTACTGTGATCTTTAAACTGTGATTCTTAAACTGTGATATTTTCAATTTTTCAATTAATAAATTATTTATTCTTAATAGGCTTTAACTGATTCATGTAGTGTTTGACTTTATTTATAGTGATGATTGTTTTTTTAAAATTTTGCTACCATCCCGCGCTGACTCGTCGGTTCTGTGTTGGATTTGCTGAGGTATCTGGACGCTATCAAATCTAGCCTATTTTAATGTTCTTTTATGTATTGTAAACTGTTCAGGTGTTGTTGATTGTATATAGAATTCTCACTGTTATTTTATTGCTTGTCTTTCTAGTTTTTTGTCTTATTTTTACTCTCAACACTGACATCTAAATTTTAACTTAGTATACATTTTTAGGATATAGGAAATTAATTTTAGACTTTTTTTTTTTGGCTTTGTCAATGGAATTTGCATAATTTTTTGGACAATAAAGCTTTTTTAATTTTGATTTGATTTGATAGATTTTCAAGTAGAATTAAAGAAGGAATAGATAATTTTGGTCTTCATAGGAATACAAATTTGAAATTTATAGAGTTTAATAATAAAGAACTTGAAGTAACTATTAGATTGGTTAGACTAGACAGTTCAAGCCGATCGACAGGTGGTGTACAAATTTATTTAAAGAACTTTATTAAAATATTATCAATAAGCAGAGTTAAGTTTGAAAAGAAGTATTGGGTATTAGGAGTTAAGATAGAAGTTAGTAACAAAAACTTGTATGTAGTTTGTCTATATCGATCCCCGAGCTGTAGTGAGAAGGATTTTTTGAATTTTTTTGAAGAATGGAGTCATGATTCTGTATGTGATAATAACATACCAACTGTAATACTGGGAGATTTTAATATTGACATGTTGAAGCCAGATAATACATATACGCAGCGTCTTACTAATATCTCACATGATATAGGATTCCAACAACAAATTAAGGAAATAACAAGGCCAAATAGAGACGGTGGTACATGTATTGATTTGTTGTTTACAAATTATCTGGGATCTGATTCCTAAAGTAAAACATGCCCCTAGAGTGAGTGATCATTATTATATATGTGTCAATGCTGCAATATTCCAATCACAAAATAAGATTCCACATTTTATTTCGACTAGAGGGAAAATATAAATTATGATTTAATTAGGGAGAACCTAAAATTGGTTGATTGGCACTTTAATATAAATAATATAGATGACAAGTGTAAGTTCTTTGTGTCAACAGTTTATCGGGCCTTGAATACTATAGCACCATTAAAGCAGGTTAAAATTTTACCACGATATAAACCATGGTGGAATGAAAATGTCAAAAAAGCAGCAGAACTAAGGGATAAAAGTTATAAGATTTACAAATTGCTCAAGAGTGAAGATGCACATAGATCGTATAAAGATAAGCGAAATCAAGTAGTTAAAACTATCAAAGAAGAGAAAATAAAGTACTATGAGCAAAAAGTGGATGGATGTAAACGGGATCCTAGGGCAATGTGGAATGTATTGGGAGAGATTTTACCAAAGAAAAATCATGCAAACATTGATAAAATAGAGATGGAAGGAGTAATAATAATGGATAAAAACAGTCTGCCCGAAAGACTAATAAACAGATTTTATGTAGACAGCATAGATTCCATAATTGAACAAATTAAACCTGATTCAGGGAATACGGATACCTTAAGTGACTTCACAAAAATTAATGCAGACTTTAGCTCGTTCAAATTAATAGATTCTGATTGCCTATTTAAAATTGTTATGTCATTGAAAAACAAAAATAGTCCCGATGACTTGAATGTAACATTAATAAGGAATACATATCCGTCTCTTGAAGCACCCCTGATTAATTTAATAAATAGTTCACTGGAACAAGGAAAGTTTCCAGATCCTCTAAGGCTCGCTACAATAATACCAGTTCAAAAAAAACTTAACTCAATAGAAGCATCTAATTTTCGACCCATTAATACACTTCCTGTCTATAACAGAGAAGCAGTCAGGCTTCAGAAATGGTCACAGCTGTGAAACTGCAATACAGTACATTCTGGATGAATTTAAAATAAAATATGACCAGGGTTTCAATGTACTAGCGGTTTTTCTGGACTTACAGAGAGCCTTTGAGACGGTCGATCGGCACAGATTACTTAAGAAACTAGAAAAAATTGGAATTGGGGATGTGGTGTTGAGATGGTTTGGAGACTATCTAACATCAAGATGACAATTAACTAGACTGAATGGAATTAGTTCAATAGAGATAGTTAACGAGTATGGTGTACCGCAGGGTAGTGTTTTGGGTCCACTATTGTTCATTATTTATATAAACGATCTGCCAGATGTAATACATGACATTGAATTGCATAACTTCGCCGATGATAGTCTATTCTACGCCTTTTCAAAAGATTTGGATTTGTTGGTGGAAACTGTTAATAATGCCCTAAATAAAATGGACAATTATGCATCAACGAATCTTTTGAAGATTAATGTTAGTAAAACTAAATTTATGTTTATTGGTACACATAATAACAGAAGTCTTTTTAATATGAACAACTATTCAATTAAAATGGGTAACAATAAGTTGGAAGAAGTTCAAAAGATTAAGTATCTTGGGGTAATTCTTGATAACAAATTAAAATTTAAAGATCACTGCAACATTCTGGTTTGTAAAATTAGTTTTAAGACAAATTATCTTAGGCGCTGTTCAGCATCTCTCTCAACTTGGTCTAGAATTGTTGTTTTCAACACTATAGTTTTGCCATACTTCAATTATTGCACAACAATATTTTATTTACTTAACCAAAATGATATCCAAAGACTGCAAGAGTTGCAAAATAGATGTATGAGAATCATACTCTCATGTAACAAATATACTCCTATAAAAAGTATGCTTAGATTACTTCAGTGGCTTCCAGTTGTGGAATATGCAAAATATAATGTACAGGTGTTTATTTTTAAAATTAAAATTGGACTTGCTCCATTGTATCTTACAAGAAAAATAGTTTACAGTGGCCAGATGCATGATCACAACACTAGACAACAGAACAACTTCTATATACCACATAGATGTGGGGCATCAGCAACAAGATCGGTATTCTTTAAGGGTATGAATGAGTTTAATCAGCTACCGGATGAAATAAAGTCATGTGTTACTATTAGCAATTTCAAAAGAAAATTAAAAATTCATCTGGACTCAATGTGATATATATGTTCCAGATTAAAGCACAAATGAGTAGCTTATTCTTGTTGATCTGAGTTTTGTTGATTTGAATTTCTTTTGTTTTGCGGTATCTTGATCTTGTATTTTGTGAAGTGAAAAACGAATGCCATATTTGTACGAGTTTCATGGACTTGCTTTTTACAAAATTTCAAGTTTTATTATGTCTTTCAGAATGATTGTCATTTGTATTTTGAATTTAAATTACATTTTGTCTTTCTATACTATACACTAATTATAACTTTTGTGAATTTATATATGTAAGTTGCACGATTAGCTATTGCTAAATAAACGAAATAAACGAGATCGAAATGACAATTGCATTTTTCCACGCCTCTGGGACTGTGCCATCTGTAAATGATTCTGACAATTTTCTCGCAAGGATTCCACTCATGGTTACACTGCAGTTTTGTAGCAATATTATGGATACATCATCAGGTCCTGGACTGGCAGAGAGCTTCAGATCAAGCAGCACCTTTTCCACCTTCTATGGGGTAAAAATAATATTTTCAAGTGTGGGTCCTGACCGTCTGGCTGCGGGAAGTTGTGGTATAGTTGTTGTATCTTCGTGTATAAATACTCTATCAAATTGATTGCTGAACTCTTTGTGGTTCAGACTCAAGATGGTTGTCTGAATCTCTTGAGACAAAGTTTTGGAGCCTAGATTGAAGTGAACGGTTGATATACTGGTAGAACCTTCTTGGTCCTTGCTCTAGGAGACTGCTCTCAAAAGTCGACCGAGCATTTCTTAATGTTTAGGTGATTCGCTTTTTTAGCACATTGTATGCCTGTAGACCACAATTCTCACGAAAAAATTTATACAAATGTCATGTTTTTCTTTTTTGGTTTATCAATTTTACATGAGCTCTATCTAGTAATCTACTGTTTTTTAAAGGTCTCCACTTGACGCTGAAGAAGCACATAAACTTCTGATATGTAGTCCACTATTTCGATAAAGTTATCATAATAGGTTGTGCTGTTGTTGTGCCCATTGCTCAAGAAAATAATGTATGGCGTCGTAGTCGCCCTTCCAGTGGTCTTTTTGTCTTTTTACAGTTTTGACAACTGGAAGTAGGGTTGAGCACCCACGGAAACGTAAACAGTGGGTGCTTCGCAGACTTCCTGAAAATGAGTATTGAAGTCGATTAACTGATGCAGTCTTGATTCCTGGGAGGCCAGTAAAAATTCTTCAGTAGGAACACTACGTTTAGTCACTTTACCGATGGACCAATCTATTTCAGGATAATTAAAATCACCATAAATTATTGTGGTAAAAAAATTGTTTGGCCTGTTTAGCATATCCATAATCAAGTTTTTATCCTCAGACAAACATCCAAGAGGTTGGTAAATACACTCCACCAGCAGCCGGACATGCAATACCAAACCTCAGGTCGACAAAAACACTATCCACCACAGTTAGCCCAACATTAAATTATTCTTGACTCACACAGGAGACTTGATAGTTGATGGCCCTGGATACAATTTCTGAAATATAGATACCCACCCCTCCATCTTTCTTCATTCGCCCATGGTCAATTATGGTTGCGCAATCCTTTCTGAATAATGTCTATGTAAACCAATCAAAGAGTCTTGGTATGTGTGTGTTCAACCATGTTTCAGTAATAAAAATATTAAATAAAACAATGATTTCTGTGATTAACAGATCTATTCACAATCAATTCCATGAATCTCCTTCAAATGTACACTTCTAAACTCCAGTGTAACAAATTCTGAACAATGTGCACATTTTTCCAAACCGTGTACCCTTGAGTTGATGTGAGCTCTGAGACCTTGTTGCGTGGAAAATCCCTTTTGGCATATTTTACAAAAAATTGTTTTCTCCTCTTCGATGCCATGAATCCCTTTCAAATGGGTTTGCATGGATTGTTTGATTTTGAACCCTTTGCCGCAAACTTGGCAATGAAAACGGTTTTCTTTGGTGTGCACCAGTTGGTGGGTGACAAACTGGGTGCGTCTACCAAAGTCTTTGCCGCAAAATTCGCATTTGTATGGCTTGATTTTGTTGTGGGTTATTTTTATGTGAGTGTTAAGACGCACTGGAAAAAAATATTGTAAATAATTTACCTAATTAAAAAACATTATTACTTTTCTCAAAAAATTTCTTGCCACAAATTCTACACTCAAAGTCTTTTTCGCCGCTTCCGTGCTCCTTTTTTTCGTGTCTTTCCAACATGAATCGTACTCGGTAACCTTTTCCACATTTATCACAAATGAACCGGTCAGGAGTAGTTTTGTGATAATAATTAATATGATCTTGTAGGGCTTGAGCGTTTTTTGACATTTTCCCGCATATATCGCAATAAACTGGAGCATAGTTGTGGGTGATTAAATGATTCTTTAGATTGATACCAAAAATTTCCCTTTTGCATTCTGGACAAGGAATTCGGTCTTTTTTATTGATGGTTTTTAAAAGTTGTTGATATTCTGGTTTAATTTCTTGCTGAACTTTTAGTTTTTTGCTTGTAAATTTAATTTCATTTTTAGTTTTTTTAATTGATTCTTGTTTTAGTTCATTTTTAATTACTATTGTATCTTGAAAATCAGCATTAGTTTTTAATTGTTCTAATAAAATATTATTTGAGTTAATTATTTGCTGTTTAATATTTATTGCAGCCTTAACTTGTTGGCAGCATTTTGTACAGGCAACTGTGGGTAGGCCTTCTTTAGGCTTGACCTAAAATAATTATTATGTTTTAATTGTTTTTATGTAATATTTTAATTATGTTTTGTTTCACCTCAATTCCAGTTAAACTTTGTATCATTTCTGTATAGTTTTTCTCATGTAATAGGTCAATATGATACGGAATTGATTCTTCTAAACATAATCTGCATGTATGTTCCATTTTGAAAAAATTAAATATTAAAAATACTATTATGCCTAAAATAAACAATAAAACAATATAACAAATTAACAACAGGTCATTGGCAGGAATTAAAATAGAAAGGTTTTTTTTTTGTATATTTATCAATTTATCTGCTTTGTTTGTTATATTTCTTCAATAGAGATGGTGTTAACGATACATGAAGGCAACTAAGGCAAGAGGGTATCGTTCTTGATGTGAAATATCGATACAAGATAGAAAAAGTACAGTTTTTACCGTTTTTACCTTAATAATCAACACTTAAATTGAATACAGTTATGGAGAACCAATATTTATATTTTTATTTGTTTGTTTTTAAACTAAAGTACCTATGTACCTATTTGTAAAATGTTTTAAATCAAATCAAATCAAATTATTCTTTATTGTTATGAAACATGGAATGTTGTTAACAAAGCTCTAATACAATAAAATAAAAAATAAGGAAAAAAGACATAGACATACAAAAACTATAAACTAAATGAGTAAAATAAAATAAATGATGCATACGACTACAAATTATAAGATAATCACAACATAATTCACAACTATAAAATGTCTCAATACTAGAAACACTGAAAAGAAAATTAATAAAAATTATTGTTAAAATCATTGGTTAACATATAAAAATAAAAGAGGTTATAAGAGCACTCTTACACAAAGCTTAGACTAACAAAAAAAAAAAACAGAACAAACGGAGCAATATATGGAGCAACATAGAGGAACAACAAACAAATTAAAAGTTACAAAAACAAGTTTTGCTGAATTGTACAAACAAAAACAACAGATTAAAATGTCTTGTGGTAAAATTCGTCCACTGAATATAATATGCTTTCGATTGGAAAAGCTTTTTCACTGCCACCCTGAATTTTTTTAAAGAGTTTATAAGTTCTTTAAATTCATAGGCAGGTGATTATACAACTTCAAACCCCCATACACTATTAACTGCGCAATTCATTGATTCATTGCCACGCCAGGTATTGTGAACATTTTCATTTGAAACATCAGCATACTTCCTATGTATTAGAGTAACCGTTTCCAATATAAAAAGACATACTAAAGTCAGTATCCCTTTCCTTCTGAAATGTTCCCTAAAATTTAAACCACAAAGATACCTGAGTGCTCTCTTCTGAAGTACAAAAGCTGACTGCACAAGTTGTTTGTTAGCAAATTCCCAGAATGGAATTCCGTATCTTAAATTTGACTCAGTTACGGAAAACTTCAATGATCTTGCCATGGAATGATTTATCTGTTTGCTTATCATCACCCTTTTTGCATAACAATCTGCAGAAAGCTTTTTATTAAGTGCAGTTATATGTGATCATTGAGTCTCGTACATGATTTATTAACAATTGTGTCACTCTCCATTGCTACATCATCAAAACTACACCTGAGCAACATTATATATTTGTTTTTTTTTATATTAAATGTCAAACAATTTGTATCGTACCACTCTTTCACCTTTATGATATCGTTCTGCAAGATCTGTGGCTCACGTGCAATCCATAATATATAGTGGTGTCATTGGCAAACAAGAAACAAGGTCAACTTTCCATCAATATCCACGTTAGTCAGATCATTTATATACAGAAGGAAGATCCTAAAACTGGAACCTTGGGGCACTCCGTGAGGATTAATAAGAGCCACTGAGTTTTTATTCTGACACCTGAAGAATCTGCTCCCTGTTGGTAAGGAATGATTCAATCCAGAGCTGGGAGTCACGACAAAAAATAGGTAGGTACTTTACTTTGACGAGTTACTAAAAGTAACGTGTTACTTGGTAACTTCGTTACTTTTCAGATTGATTGATAAGTAACTGTAACGACGTTACTTTCCTGAAGTAACTGCAGATCGTTATTTTGTTAAAGTAACGAGTTACTATGAAAGTAGCACGTTACTATGAAAATAACGCGTTTATATGGAAGTAACGCATTACTAGTTACTATGAAAGTATAACGGGTTCTGTCAATTTGTTTATCTTCTTTATAAATAATTGACGATTGAGGAAAAGGGAAATAAGTAATCCAAAAACTTTGTATGTCAAATAAAATGTTGGTAGTACAGAAAATTTGTTTCGAAAGCTCAAAATCGTTTTTGGGCGTGGCAGGCGCCGTCCTGCTCTAAAGACACTATGCAGACACTGGGACGCTCCAAGAAGCAGGTTTGTTCAAAACCAAGTTCTATATTTAGTCGCCTAATCCTTAATCCGTTTGAATTTTGCAACAAAACTCTTCCACATATTCGGACTCACAAACTAAAAACATATTAGCATTTCGTAAAGGTCTTATTTGATTGTTTAGACTGCTGTGTTGGTGAGTCAAATTAAGAAATAACGCAATTTTCGACGTAAATAGTTATATTTGAAGTAACGCGTTACTTTAAAAGTAACGCTTTATTTAAAAGTAGCGCTTTATTTCAAGCTAACGCGTTGAGGTAACGGGTTACTTTCAAATAACGAGTTACTTTCATTAACGGATCGAACTACTTCTAAAGTAAAGAAGTTACTTTCAAAGTAAAGAAGTTAAAGTAACTCTAAATTTTAAGTAACGAGTTATTTTTAAGCAAAAGTAACGCATTACTTTTTTCAAGTAACGATCGCAGCTCTAATTCAATCCAACCAAGCGCCACCCTTCTAAAACCGTAATTGTAAAACTTCCCCAGCAATAGTTCGCGATTAGCACAGTCGAATGCTTTCGAGAAATCGCAAAAGACTGCTGCAGCAACATCACCATTATTCAGACCCAGAAAGAGTGACTCCAGAAAATTAAAAATCGCATCACATTTATTCATTTTAGCTCGGAACCCAAATTGGCAATTATTAAGTATTTTATGTTTCTTTAAAAATGCGATCATGATAAGGACTTACATCAGAACGTAATTCATCCATTAGGCCTTGTGCCACATTGCAGTTATATTTATTTAATATATTTGGCTCAATATCCACATGATTTGAACGCGAAGAGAAAGTTCCTGTGAGCTCATGAATAATTTTCCACACTTCTCTAGGTCTATTTGATGCTTCATTCAACCTACTTTTGTCTGTAAATCGTTCTGTATCTGTTAAAATAACTGCTCACAAAGGCATTGAATAGAACAAACTTTCTTAATATATGAAGAAATCTTAAGTTTTTGGATGATGTTTTAATTCCTCTTGTAATCCAAGGTTTTTTATTTTTAAACTTTATCTTTCTTGGAGGGAAAGCTACCTCAAATAGTTATTTTAGGCTCTAATAGAATTTATTTAGCGGATCAGAAGCATCCAGGATAAGATTTCATTTGAAAACAGCAGCTGCTGAAATAAACGCTTTAAAATTTCTTGTGCTGTAAATTCGGCCACATTTAACAGTTTTTGATTTTTTGTGCTTGAGTGAAATGCTAGCCAAAATGGCTTCATGATCTGAGAGACCAGAGAGTATTACAGCTACATCAAAGTCAATCCATAAAATTAACACAGAAATAATCTATAAGACTCTGGGAAGTACTTGTGATACGAGTTGGTTCATTAACCAGCATACTGATATTAAAAGAACCAAATAAATTTACCAGGTTCTGAACACATGCTGAACCCACTTCATTATAATTGATATTCAGATCACCCGCCAATATCACTCTTGAGTTTAGTGGAAAACGTGTGAGCAAAGATTCCAATCTCTCCAAAAAGTCAACAATATCACTCTTGGGGGATCGGTAGACGTGAACTATGTATAAATCATTTATACAATTAAAAACCAAGGAGAACTCGAATACACCTTCCTTTATCAGGTGCTCATGTTGTGTCACATTGGCCAAGGGAAAGTCCTCTGCAGCATCATCTCTCACTAAAATGATTCCCATGGATAGAAGTTTTACTACAATATAAACTTAAATGCACTATAATTAACTAGACTTTACTTTTTTCAATGTTAATGTTTTCAAAATAGGAAATTCATATTTTTTTCTATTCCAGGCTCTTGAAGTTTCTCTATTTAGAGAAATAAACGAAATTCGAGAGATATTGAGAAAAAATTGATACCTATAAGAGAGGATATTGTTGTTTTTCTCTCAATATCAATCGATATACCTACTTACCAACTGGTACATTCCTTCCAGTTACCACCGCTTTTGTCTATCCAGACATATAGCACAGCATCCAATAATGGATATTCGGTATTTAGTTGCTCCAAAAAATTATTCAATGAATAAGGAGTGTAGTGACGTGGAAATAAACCACCAAGAAAATAATTAAAGATTCTGATTATTCTAAAGGATCCAACTACCGAAAATTAATCAAGAATAACAAGGACTTACCAAACAACCATCCCAGGAGAGATCATCACTTAGACAGCACAACCAGAAACTTCAATTAAAAATTATCTGATCATCGATATCCAGAAATTATTGAAAGCCGATATTGACTAATACATTTGAATGTGAATAAAGCAAAAGTTCATTCACAATTAACATTCCAAAGGAGCTGAAAAATTTCTAAAAGGATCAATAAATCATGCACGAGCCTATATGCTGATACCCACTTAACAAACCACTTAGCGACGCCCTTGATAATTAATTAAAAGGGGACCAAATACACTAAATGATCGGATGATTCAACCACGAAAAATCGAGGTCAGAAACAATAAAGAAATTTAAGACAATGGAGGGACAAATGACGATATAAAAAGGCAACTTTCGCAGGAGAAAATCAGTGTTCGAGAAAAGAGTGTTCGAAAAAGAGCAAATAAACGGGCAGAACTACGGCGTGATAGATCAGTATGTCGGTTGAGTAATTAAGAAACAAGTAATAATCGAGATACCTGTGTCCAAAAAGTCAGAACTACGGCGTGAAAGAGTTGTCGAATTAACCGAGAGAAGAAGCACGACGTGAAATAACAGCGCAAAAATATTCGAGTTTTTTATTAAGTGTTCATAATTAAAGTAAAATTCCTTCGACCAATAAGATTTCCATGTAATTAGGTGTGGCCAGCAGTAAATATATTATTGTTAAATGTAAGTAGAGTTTTTTTATGTTCAGCCAGAAATTGTGAAGGTAAGAGTGTAAATCCAGTCAAACTGTAAATAAAAATTTTTACTTGGAATCATATAAATTTTCCTCAACAGTTAATTGATATACTTATTAGAAATCTAACAATTTTATTGTAATGTAATATTATTTATCACCTATGTTATTTAATAACAAGCTTTATTTATTTTAATAAAATAAACTTTATTTTAATTGACCACAATATTTCTGTGTTTTACTCTCTCCACCCGCAAATAGGACCCACTTCAACTTGTGTCTCCACTCAGAAACTAATAGCGTTATCTATTTGTCGAACCAGTGCAAAAAAAATGTATCCTTATCCTTACATGTTACATGCTTTTAGAAAAAGATGGCGGATACACTCAGTGCGCACTGATTGACAAATGGAAATCGCCATAAAGTCACCGCTCGTCAATTTAACATCTTGCCAAGTATCTGAATTTGGGGTTTCACAGGAGTCATAGATAATCAAAATTTGAACTATTACCGGCTCTTGATTCCCTGGGAAACTTTCCTAGAGCCGGTGAAAGTCAAACTTTTATCAACTCTTGATTCGCTGGAGAATTTTTCTAATCTAATGGCACTCAAAGCTCAAGAGCATATAATAATCAAAATTTCGAATGATCATTAGCAGCTCCTAAAGTTGATAATAATCAAAATTTTTACTTGCGTAGCTTCTAATTGGCTCAAGAAAAATTATCCAATGGATCAAGAGCCACAGATAATAAAAACTTGAACTATTACCAGCTTTTGAATCTTTAGAAAACCTTCTTGGAGTCAATCAAGAGCCGGTAATAGTCAAAATTTGAATTTTTATCAACTCTGGTTTTGCTAGAGAATTTTTCTAAGAGCATTTCAAAGCTCAAGAGTCAATAAAAATCAAAATTTCGAATGATCATTAGGAGCTTTTATGTTAATATTAATTAAATTTTTTTCTTCCGCAACTTCTAATTGGCTCACGAAACATTATTCAATGGATCAAGAGCCACAGATAATCAAAATTTGAACCATTACCGGCTCTTGATTCTGAAAAACTTTCGTAGAGCCAATCAACAGCCGGTTATAGTCAAAATTTGAACTTTTATCAACTCTGGTTTCGCCAGAAAATTTTCCTTAGGGAATCCGAAGCTCAAGAGCCAATAATAATCAAAATTTCGAATGATCATTAGCAGCTCTTGTTTCATTATTACAAGGGTAGGGGGGCCTAATTGTGATATTTGCTTAGGTACCCAATGCATCCAAGCGCCGCGACTGGCTACTATCACATCAGAAAAGAATGACTATAAATAATAAAAATTTTACAAGAAGGAAACAATTCAGAAAGAATAAATAGGGCAATCCAAACAAAATGGTGGTCAATGCATGGCCAATGCCAAAAAATTGGCGCCATAAATTTAATTCAAGCAATCGTGACATTTTTCATCTAAAAACTGTTTTTTGTGGTGCTTTTAGATGATTTTCTAGTGTTTGGGAGGATAATTTTCGTATTCTAAGATGGAAAGTTTTTAGTTTAAGAAATTATTAGTAGGAAAAAGGCATTGGCCTCCATTTTGAATTCCATTTTGACAAGTCGTTGGATTGCCCTATAGGTATAATAAAAAAAAGGTTATCCAAATATATGAAAAACACAAAATAGTCAAAATACCTATAATAAACGAAGAAACCGAGGAAGAATTAAATCAAGAAAGGAATTATTAAAAAATTAAAACAAGCACAAAGATTACGAAGATACAATATGAATGAGATATCAGTTTTACATTGAAAATCAAAACAATTTGAAGAAAACCCAAAGAAATTATACCTAAAACAAGAAAAAAGTGAGGTAAAAAATAAAATTTCATTGAATGAAAAAATACGAAAATTCTGGCAAAACAAATGAGAAAAGGAGAAAAATCTCATTTTTGATTGTGATAATTAAAAACTGAGAAGATGGATGAGAAATAATGTAAGAGAAATTGAGAAAAAATTGGTTGATAAATCGAGCACTTGGAACAGTGGAAAATTTCTCATATAAATAATTATTTCAACATCTCATAAAGTGTTTTAGAATCAATTTATTTTATATATTTTTAGTAAAAATTGTAACAGAAAATTTGATTAAAAAACAAACCTATCGATTTGTTCAAAAAGTTGCCATCCCTAGTCCAAGCAGTCAAAAATAGGCCTCCAGCAATGTTGCCAAAGTTTCATTATGGGCGAACTCTTTTATTCAGCAATGGATCAACCTGCTACCAGCATTATGAGACAACGATTCCGTTTTTTTATTAACTAGACAAAGATAGACTGATTATCATTGATCAATCATTGAATAAAAGAATGCGCCTTTTCTGTGTACGCTCAGCTGTAAACTGACACAAAATTGACGTACATAACCTATAAGCTTGACATTTCAACAATGGCAACAAAAAAAAACAATAATTTTTTTCAATTTTCCAAATATTTAAAATTCTAAAAAAAAAAGTCCGTATAGTTTTCGTCTGCACGTGTAAAGTCGAACTCCATTCGCTATGGATTTCGGCCGGCAAAGGGACTTTTCCGAATTCTACGACCAACTAAACGAACTGAGGGCGAAATTTCGCAACTGGGATAGCTGCGAAAAAACTGTCGCCCTGTACTACATGATGGTCGGATTGCCTTTTGCCAACGCAAAGTTTCTACAAAACTCCTTGAACCAACTGGTGAGTACCATCACCACTTCGGAAACGCAACTTATGGAGCTGCACGCCAATGATCCAGAGGTGATTAGAAACTTTTTATCGGAAAATCCTCAATCTGCTCTTTGTTCCTTATTAAATCACTTACCTTTGCTAAGGCCTGGCAATAAGAAAGCAGCTCGATGCTATTTGGACACCATTCAAAGGATTTTAACAGAATTTATAACCCCACCATTCAAAAAAATTTATAATGAATGTGTTGAAATCATGTCCTACGTTTATATTCATCCAGCATTTGATAAAGAAGACAAGACAACTTTCAAGCATCTATTGAAACAAGTCTTAAACAAAGTAACCCCAGAAAACTTCATTCATTCACCTGTAAATGAACCAGTTGAAGATTTTTGTGAAAATGGCAAAAAACGATCAAATAGTCAACCATATCTAACTGATACAGAAAGTTGGTCTTCACAAGAAAATTTAGTGCAATCTTTTCAAAAACCAAGAAGTTTTTCCTTGTCTTGTGAAAAAAACATTATCCCCCCTACAAATATCCAATTGAGCAGATCTGAAAGTAAGTTGGAAGAAATTTTACGAAACAACTACCATTTAATGAAAAGCATAACATCTTGGCTCAAATCTTTAAGATTACACAAATACAGTTACATTTTTCACGATCTAACACCAAACCAAATGCTTAATATAAACGAAGACTACTTAACAAGTGCCGGAGTAACCAAAGGAGCCAGACAAAAACTACTAATAAGTCTACAAAAACTAAAAAACAGACGAAAACTATTATTAGATTTGGAATACGGCCTCACAAACAACATGGATGTATATGAAGCCCTAAAAGAACTAAAAAGTGTTCTACAAAGCCCCATGCAAATCTCCTCAAGCGACGATTTATGTTCCTTATTTGTAAAAGTAATGGGCAAAGCTTGTAGCCAACTACTAATGCTCAGACAACCAAACGACGACATTTTCCTTTTATTCAACTCCTTATGTGACAAAGCAAACTCACTAGAATCTTTTACTGCAGAACAAAAAAGGAAGCTAAACATGTGGAAAGAACAATTAGATGCAAGAAATGTGTTTATTTCGTGTCCTCAAAAAATATCAGGACGTAAAAGCCGAAATCAAATAAAAAATCATGTCTTTGAAATCTCTATGCAAGAAAATAATGCCCATAAGAGTTCGTCGTATCCAAACATGCAAGTGAACACAAGTTTATCCATGCACAGACATTCTGTTGATAGTGTAACGTTGCAAAATCAACTTGTACATATTGCACAGCCGGTTAGCAAGAGAAAAGAGCGGGAAGTGACTACTACAAAAAATAATTGTGATATTGAAAATAGTCTTGAATCTTTATGTATACAAATGATGGAGCACGCTTTGGGGCCCTAATTTATTTTTAAGTTTTGTGTGACGATGTTTTTTGAAATGTTTTTTACTTCTATATGTATCTTTGTCAATAACTGTATTGATGTAGGTATCGAGATACCGTTTGTTTTTTTTTTATTTTATTTGTGGTTTTAAACAGGTGTTATTGCCATGTTAGACAATTGGAAGATGCTTTATTTATTTTTATTATTGTTAGTAAGACGTGAAATCTCTATTTGAAGATTAAAAAGTGTTTCAATCTTGAATAAACTTGTTTGATTTGTTTTGTTTTCTAACTTTTTAAATTATAACAGTTTTTTAATTTTTTGCTCTAAAAACGATTTAGATTTTGATATATAGTTTTTCCAAAGTCAATTGGAACAAGGTGAACATAAATCATAACTGGTGGCAGTGCATTTCTTATGGAAATTTTCAGTGACCAGTCAGCCACCAGTTGATACTTTATTCCAATTGAGTTTGGAAATACTATACCTACTTATTTGCAAATTAATTCTTAAAAATTCCTGTGATTCAAACGCGCGCCAAAACGATGTAACGTCATTACATGACGGTGTTGTCAAGTAATCGTATACCTAAAGTACAATTTTGTCTATTTAGAACTTTTTTCTCGATTTTCTCCTCTCTTTTTCTCAATTTTTATCTATTCCCAACTCTTGAAATAAAGAAAATTTAAGAGCATAAATAGAAAATACATTAACTATTCACATAACCATTTATCTACCAATTTTTTCTTAAATTTCTTCTATTCCCATCTCTTGAGTTTTCATTTTCTTATAGATTTCTCTAAATTTTGGTTCTTAAGGGAGTCTGCTGAATACAGGAATTATAGTTTCTATTTACACTTTCGGACAGATTCGGGTCATCAATTGGTCACATAGCATTATGCTGTACAACTAACTGCAACCTGTTTTTATAAGACTTAACTACTGCATATAGGTACCCATTTGAAAAAAGCTGGAAACATGAAACATGCAACATTTCACATTTCTGACATTCAATTTTTTTTTGTGACCATGGATTCTAAAAATTTAGCCAATACTGTACAACTTTTGTATTCTCTTCTCCATCTTCCATGTATTTGTAAAGGTGAAGGCTGTAGGTGGGGTGTCAATCGTGTCAATATATAAAAAACCATTCTGTACTTGAATAATAACTTTATTATATAAAGTCAGACTTTGTAAGATTATCCACCTTTTGTCAATTGGCCTTTCAACAGGAATTATAGTAATGTTACTTTACCAAACTAGTAACATAATGTGACAAGTTATACAAATACAAATGAGTGAATTGTTGCGAAACTTATGGGTGGACCTCTGAGGGACGAGCGCAGCGAGTTCCGCAGCCATCTATTCATCAATATGTTGTTTAATTACGATACTAACCTGACTCCCTCAAATGTGAGTTATTCTCATTAGCTTAAAAACTACATGTTTCAGGTGAATGTCTTACTTGAACAGTTCAACAGTATATTGGTAAGTAGATGGCTGCGGAACTCGCTGCGCTCTTCTCGCAGAAGTCCTCCCATAACTATTCCGCAATAATTCACTCATTTGTACTTGAATAACTTGTCACATTATGTTACTAGTTTGGTAAAGTAACATTACTAATTCCTGTTGAAATGGCGAATTGACAAAAAGTGAATAATCATTATCTTACAAATTTCGACTTTATATAATAATGTTATTGTTCAAGTACAAATAAGTGGATTATTGCGGAACTTATGGATGGACCTCCGCAGCCATCTTACTCACCAATATACTGTTGAACTGTTCAAGTAAGACATTCACCTGAAACATGTAGTTTTTGAACTAATGAGAATAATTCACATTTGAGTGAGTCAGGTTAGTATCGTAATTAAATAACATATTGAGGAATAGATGGCTGCGAAACTCGCTGCGCTCGTCCCGCAGAGATTCACCCATAAGTTCCGCAATAATCCATTTATTTGTACAGGGTGTTTTTTTATATATTGACACTCCATACCTACCTCCTTCACCTTTACAGGTAGAAAAAAGGTGTAAATATAAAAGTTGAACATTATTGGCTTTTAGACTTTTAGAAACCATGGTCAGATACAAAATTTGAATTTTGAATGTAAGAAATGTGAAATTTTGCATGCCTCCAGCTTTTTTCAAATGGGATACCCTATATCTCATTCTATATTCTTGAAGAGCACAATGCTCCGATTCCAAAAATATATAGTTTGTCTATATTTGATTGAACAGTTTCCCATATATTCGGCTCCAAAAATTGTAAAAATACTAATACTATCCTGATTTTGTGATCCATTCAACCTGTACAGGTGAAAGCTGCAGGTAAAATTTGAGGTAGGTACTTGGTTTCTCTGAGACGGCCATTTGCACCGCTATAACTTAATAATGGCCATTTGCACCGCTATCACTTAAGGGAAATTAAGGGATATTTAATTCAAGTGGAGCTTTTGAATGTGACTTTTGTTTCTACGAGAGTCACATTCAAAGCTCCACTTGGATTAAATATCCCTTAAGTTATAGCGATGCAAATGGCCGTAAGGGATATTTATTCCAAGTAGAGCTTTGAATGTGACCCTTAAAGAAACAAAAGTCACATTCAAAGCTCGACTTAGAATAAATATCCCTTAAGTGATATTGAGTGATAGCCGTGCAAATGGCCATGATAGATAGTATTTTTAAAATTTTTAGATCCAAATATGTTGGAGCTGGCTCAATCAAATATAGACAAACCATATAAGTAGTTTTGGAATCGGGAAAATGTACTTTGCAAGAATATAGAACCAAATATAGGGCATCCCATAGGTAGTGCATATTATTTAATAGGAATATCTCATGTGTGTTAATCTTAATAAACTATTTGGTGTTTGATTTTCTAATGCAAGTTTTCATAGTCTAATACACAGTCTAATGATTCAATGATTTAAAAAAACAAAGTTAAAATAATTGAGTATACCCTAATGGTTTACCCCTTTAACAAGGCAACTTAACTCTCTACGGATATTTTTGACTGGTAATCTACTGACAAAACAAAATAACTCATTTTTGTTCAAAAGTGGATAATGCAACTACACCCCTCTTTTCTGTGCGCAAAGTTACACTTTTCAGCAAACATCCATACAAACAACAGCAAGCATATTTTGTAATTTTTTTTAATGTGATATGTGATATGAAGCTCGTGGGAAAAGTTTGCAACACGTGCGCAAAATCACTTATTAGTACTTGAAGCTGCTTTGGTGTGCGGGAAAGTACCTAGTACTAGTTTGCGTACTGGTTAGGAAACATCTCTAGTTTCTACCCGTAAGTCTTTATCTAGGTAGAGATGAAGTTGGTCATTATATACCGAGTAGCGCATTTATAAACCGAGGTGCGAATTTGCCGAGGGGCGAGGTTTATAATGTGCAAGCCTATAATGACTTTCCTTACCGCGGAGTATATAGAACTTTTTTACTACTGCTAGTAGAGCAATGAAATAGTTGACAACAAGTTTTGAAAACGTCGTAGGCGAGTTCCACAAGTCGAGCGAGTGTGAAAAAAGGTTTTCAAACGAGTTTTTTATAATGCTTTTCCTACAACTGCAAGATAAAACAACGACATATGTAGTTTTTGTTAGAAAACAAATCATCAACATCAGAAATTGACACTGGCAATGGGGATAATTCCGACAAGCTGGCAACACTGTGGCTGACTCGTTATCAAACGCAAGGATATCAACAAAGCATTTGATAGGTTGGATATAAGCCCCGCCCCTTTCCAATCAGATGCGAGTGATATCAGCAGGGCATTCAATTGGTTAGTTGAGCCCCGCCCCTTTTCAGGGTTTATGTATCGTCAAGGTATTTGATTGGTTGTTTCCTTTTCAACCCTTTCCAATGGCCCCGGCCCACCTACAGTGACTTAACCTTTTCAAATAGAAATTCGGTACCGCCGCCATATTCTTGCAAATTTTGAATATGAATATAGAAGTAATAAGCCACGCCCCTGCCGTCATATTTTTGCAAATTTTTTGATGTTTACTCAGGTAATATTATTAATATTATTATTATTTAAGTACAAAAAAAATTATTTTTCTTTATAATTTCTCAATTTTTCTATCTCATATTTTGTCTATTCCCGGATCTTAAATTTCGTTTTCTTCTTAATTTTTCTAATGGCCATTTCCATTCCACCAACCATTTTATAAGGGCCGTTTCCACCAACCATTTTAGGGGAGCCCTAACGATAAGTATTCCCTGAAATGACATTTTTACATGGAGAAATGTCAGTTTAATACATATCTATCGTTAGGGCTTCCCTAAATTAGTTGATGGAAACGGCCATTAGGGAAGTTCTAACAAGGTATGCCCACTGATCTCAAAAATAAATGGATAAACAAAGAACGCTTCTAATGCTGCTAATTTACGAGGTCATAATCTAAACAAAAACAACTGACTGGGACAGCTATGAGCATGCGCAGTAGATACATGTACTGTGTATGCACAAAATCTGGCCAATTAAAATGAAGGAATTTCAAAATTTAGAACAGTTGTTCGAAAGATAAGACACTGCGCAGGCGTTAGGTTGTTCCGTTGCACAACTGTTCGTAGAATATTGACCCCAAATTTTCGCACAAATTTTGCCAATAAAGCCGTATGATTATCCATTTATTTTTTAGATCAGTGGGTATGCCTTAAACTGACATTTCTCCATGTAAAAATGTCATTTTAGGGAATACTTATCGTTAGAGGGCTCCCCTAAAATAGTTGAGGTTTATAATGCGTGAGGTATGTAATGACTTTCTCTACCGAGGAATATACAGATTTTTTTTACTACTGCTAGTGGAAAATGAATAATAATGTGTAATCTGTGCTCTAATTATTTTTTTTTGAACGCCCTCTTGAAAGTTGTGCCCTCTATCAATAGCTTATGATAACTTCCTATGTACCTACAGAAACTTGTTTTTTGCGTCATGACGTCATTCTCATTATTAACCTAGGGAGAGAAATTCAATTTTTTCCTAGAAAAATCAGTGATGTGCCTGTAGACAATGTCAACGTAAACAATTGATTGTCTACGTGTAGACAATTCGAATTGTTTACGTGGGTATTTGTCTACACATTGTCTACATGTGACGTAAACAATAAACTTATTTTTTTTACTACTAACCTGAGAAATAGACATTATTCAATCTATTTTTCTAAGAAAAAGTTGAATTTCTCTCCCTAGGTTATTAATGAAAAAATACCTAGGTCAATAATGAAAATGACGTCATGACTCAAGGATCTTGTCATGTTTCTATTGGTTCAATTTCAATTTCATGCGTCAATTTGAAAAAAAATACAGGTTTCTGTAGGTACATAGGAAGTTATATAAGCTGTTGATAGAGGGCGCCACTTTCAAGAGGGCGTTCACAAAAAATAATTAGAACACAGATTTTAAACAAATTTTTTTATTTTCTACTAGCAGTAGTAAAAAAAATTCTATATATTCCTCGGTAGAGAAAGTCATTATATACCTCAAGCATTATAAACTTCGGCGCTGCGCGCCTCGGTTTATAAAAGCTTTTGGTATATAATGACCAACTTCTCTACCTAGGTATATAATATACTATTAGAAAATTTAAAAAAAAGTTCCAAAATTACTACTACCTAAGTAGCTTATACCTATCACTTTGATATTAGCATTCACTGATTATAAATATGAGGAAAACCGATAATAAAATAAAAATAATTTTCGAAAAGGAAAGTGTGAGGTTAGAATTAAACGTCATTTATATTATTTGACGCGTTGTCTACACGTAAAGTAGACAATGAAAGTCTACGTGTAGACGCACATCCCTGAGAAAAATAGATTGAATAATGACTATTTCTCAAGTTAGCAGTGAAAAAATAACTATTTCGCACGCTCCAGAGTGTGTGATAAGCACTTTTCGCACACTGTTCAAAATAATTAATTTTTTAGGTGAGGTAATCTTTCTTGAATCTTGAGCAGTCGTAGACAAATTTGTATCGATATGCACCATTATCGATATTAATGTATATATCGATAAGCTCTCCTCTATTTTAACCATCATAACCACACTTTTCCCATCTCATCCTGCCTCCTCTTGTGACAGACAGAACAAGAAAAGTTGTGTCTTTTTACAGAATTGATTTTTTCCTTTCCGCATTTAAACGAAATTACTGAAATAAAATGCCTAGAGGCGGTAGCGGCTTCGGTTTGTCCTCCCTAAGATGGCAAATAGCCCTAGGCTTAGGGGCTGTCGGCGCTATCGGCCTCACGTACTGGTACATGAAATCCAGCAAAAAGCAAACTCTGGTACCAGTCGAAGAAAATGCTAAACTTACAGAAGAAACTCCCTTCCAAAAGGCACAAAGGTATAAAACGGAAGGCAATGCGTCGTTTCGGAGAGGCAAGTACGATCAGGCTATAGCTTCGTATAATCAGGCTATAGAAATTATACCGGAGGAGTACAAGTTTGATTTGGCTACGTTTTATCAGAACAGGGCTGCGGCTTATGAGCAGTTGCAAAAATGGACTACAGTTATTACTGATTGTGATAGAGCTATTCAGTTGAATAATAAGTATGAGAAAGCATTGTCCAGGTAAAATTACATTTTTTACTAAATAATTCAAATTTAATCATTTTATTGCTTTTTTATCAGTATTTTAGAGATAGGGTCATTAGCTTGATTACAGGAAATAGAAATAATATAAAAAATAAGGAAAAAGCATTTAAGTATACAGGGTGTCCCAATAGTCCCAGTAGAAACGATTCTAACCAATTTCAAATGCCTATTATATCGGGTCTTCAAAAAAAAAAAACAATCAAAGATTGCTATGGTTTTTTAAACATATGTCTTAGCAACATTTTTCTTTAATTTTGACAATGTCAGTTAATGAAATTTAATGTCAAAATGTCATGTCAAAAATCCTGACCAATAAAGAAACAATAATGCGACCGTATGTTTTCGTAACCAAATAATAATAATAATAATAATAATAATTTATTAACAATCAAAGACCATTTACAATAACATTCATTTACATTAAACTTAAGTAATTCTTAATGTCTATCTTAAACTTATTGAAAGAGGAGTTAAAAAAATCAACAGTAGGTGGAAGCCTATTTGCTTCTCTGCATATTCTAGATATGGGTGAATAAAAACCATAATTTGTTACATGGGAGGATACACCAAAGGTTATATTTTGTCGAGTTTGTCTTGTTGGTACCTTAAAATTAATTAGTTGCAATAATGCCAGTGAAACAATTAAACCGTTCAAAACCCTGAACAATGTGCATAGATCAAAATACAATCTTCTTTTTTCCAGTGACGATATTTCCAAGAGAGCCAATATGTCACTATATTGAAGTTCATCTCTTGGAATATTTAGTCGATATCCTACATGACGCAGAAACTTTTTTTGGACTCTCTCAATTTCATCGATCCATTTTTTATAATAGGGAGACCATACAGGACAAGCATATTCAGTGACAGATCTGACTAATGCACAGTAAACATTTTTCAATGCATATATGTTATTGAAATCTTTCAGTGAACGAATGACAAATCCAAGCAATTTAATCGACCTATTTTTTAGGTATTCTATGTGAGGTCCAAATGTGAATTCTTTATTAATCATCACCCCAAGGTCCTTTATGATCTCCTCTCTAATCAGTTCCTGATTATTGAATACATAGGAGTATACAATGGGTACCTTCAATCTGTAGAAACTGATTGTACAACATTTACTTACATTAAGTTCCAACTTATTAGACTGACACCACATAGCAAAGCTTTGTAGGTCTTCTTGAAGTTTTAGACAATCACTTTCACAACAAACAACCTTAAAAATCTTCAAGTCATCTGCATACAATAAAATTTTGCTGAAACGAATACAGTCCTGCAGATCATTTATAAAGCAGTTGAATAACATAGGCGATAGATGGCTTCCCTGAGGCACACCGGAAGATACATTGATTATTGACGACACAAAATTTTTCACTTTCACAACCTGTGTTCGACCAGATAAATAACTGCTCAACCAAGTCAGCAGAGTTCCGTGAACACCCATTGCCTCAATTTTTTTAATTAAAACTAAATGATTTATTCTATCAAAAGCTTTTGTAAAGTCTGTGTACACAGAATCCACTTGGGAACGTTCTTCCATAGCTTCAACTACAAACTGCTGATATTCTATAGCAAGTTACTTATAGTGGATTTTCCTCTTAAAAATCCATGCTGTTCTGGGATTATCTGAGATGAAAGCAGTGGGTATAGGCATTTGTTTACAAAAGATTCCAACATTTTGGACAGAATTGAGTTTTTTGAAATTGCTCTGTAGTTTTTTACATCAGATCTGTCACCATTTTTGAAGATGGGTGTTACATAACTTCGCTTCCATACATCTGGAAAAACTCCACTCGACAAAGAAAGATTGAACAACATGGGCAATATATTGGATAATACAAATTTTGTGCCCTTCAAAAATTCAACAGGTATGCCATCAGGTCCACAACCTAAGTTGTTGCCTAGCTCTCCTATGGAATTAAGAACATCTAAACTGGTAATATTACAGTATTCAAAATTGAAATTTAGGAGTTTTACATCTACATTTGGGAACATAAATATCAATATCATAATATACAACATCATAAAATTTGGTTAAAGCTTCATTAACATTAGAAACATTCAGGATTTCATTCCAATTCATATAAGATAAATACCTATTAATATCCACATAATTAGCCCCTCTAAAATTGTAATAAAAATAGTCATAGTTAAAATAATCACATTTAGTATCACAGTCCACCACAACTGAAAGAGCTGGATGGTAAGTATCACAGACAGTTAACGGTATATCATTTGCAGACACATTAATATTGACATTAGTAAAAATTAAATCTAGGAAACCTCCATACACATTTGATACATTATTCATTTGTTTCAAATTGAAAAATGCCATACATTCGGACACAGACTGTACTTGAGGGGTTATATTGCCCATTGGCATCGAACCAAACTCATCATTGTTCCATGATACCTTTGGTAGGTTGAAATCCCCACAAATAAGAACATCACAATTTTCACTTACATGAACCTGAAGAACTGAAGTCACAGCAAAGGAAAAATCATCATAGACATCGATGGATGATGAAGGTGGAATATAGGCTACACATAAAATGATATGTTTGTTCTTAAAAGTAATTTTCATGAACAAATGCTCCACATGTTCAATAGGGCTTCTCAATTGAGTGGTCGCTATATGCTCCTTTGAGGCTACCAAGACTCCGCCACCTCTGGTGCAGGCACTAGTTTTTGTAGATCTGTCACAGCGATAAACGTTATAGCCAAAAAGATCCAGTTCACTGCTATTTATGTCCTCACACAAGAAAGTTTCAGTTAATACAATGACATCTATATTTTCACACATTACTGCTTGGGAAAAACGAGTTAATTTTGTTCTTAGACCTCTAACATTTTGGTAATAAAACTGCATCGAACCACCAGGTTGTTTTTCTATCTGTGAAATATTCTGCCCTGATAGCCCCGGTGAAAATTTCTTGAGCCTGGCAAGCCTTTTTGTCTCCTTGGCCTGAAAACAAATGGTTTAACTGTGACATCCAACGGCCATTTATCGCTACTCAAAATCATTGATTCTTGCTCAGTAGGAATAGCAATTTTAAAACAACTAATATGGTCTTGCTGAGATTTAAGTTTCTCACAGCCCATGGGTGATAGACCTACATCAACCAAATGAGACTTCAGGGAGTCAACAGTGCAATCAGGACTGAGGTTACCAACATAAAACCATTTACACGGCTTTGCGGCAGTTATATTCAAGTTGTTTGTGTTTTTCCCAGATACGACATTCCTGGCAGCCTTTAAACTACTTTTATCAGCCGCTGAACGCATGTGAGTGAGACCAGCATCAATGGCCCGGCCTACTTGTGATGATGTAAATATTGTAGGCTCATTGCCATTTTTTGTCTGAACAGGTTTTGCCATCGAGGCGCGGGGCTGTGCAGGATCTACCAGTTTGCTTGACGCATTATGCTCCATTTCCTCCAAGCATGCAGGGACATTAGTAGAATGTTCATGCCTTTTTATTGAAGATAGCAGTGGTATATAGGATTTGGACATGAATCCGATAAGTTCCTTATTCGAATCCAGAATGGCTTTGCAGGTGCCTTCCAGTCTATTTGAAATAAGTTCAGCCCGACCATCAAGAATCCTCTCAAGTATTCCAGTGATCAGTGGGGCCATTACATTTCCAATGCCCTCTAAAGTAAGTTGGCCATTGGCAGGAATAGGTGAAGTTACTTCCAAATCATTATTTAATTCTGCTACATCATCCTCAAGAACACAATTTTGATTGGAAAGCACTACCCTTCGGTCGGCTTTAAGCTTTTCCACTTCTGCTTCCAATTCGTGAAGTCTTATGCTTAACCCTGGCAGTGCTTGGAAACTGTCCGTGCAGCTAGGACAAAAATATCTCAGGCAGCGTTCTTTCATTATGAGAACTCGGATCTCAGAGCTCCTGATTCCAGAGCAATTTCTGCATAAAATTTTGCGACAAATGTCACATGGTAAGCCAAAAAGCTCATTTTTGTCTTCCTTTTGAAAGCAGGCCTTATCACAAGTGGAACACTATAAATCCATATTTGGATCGTTATTTGGTAAAGCAGAATAGAACTTAATTTGGATATTTATTTGGTTTATTTTTATTTGCAAGCAAGAAGCAAAAAAGATAATTCGTATCAATAGAATAAACAACCAAGCATATACAAAATTTGGTGCTGATAAGAAATACAGTTGTTTATTTAATTTAAATATTTTTTTTTTTTTCCTTTATTTGAGTTTCAATGATAGGAACTTATTTTGTTTTAAACAATTTGTTGGCTCACCAAGAAGGAAGTCCAGCACACTTTTTACACAGTTAAAAGCATCACAATTTCACAAACAAAATGACTCCACACACGATAAATTTGACCAATGTAGACCCACAAAAATTTAAAATTTATATGGAGCGAATGAATTAGGTACGCACCAGATCGAAGGCCGATCAAAGCAATCTTTGATTGGTTTTTGTTTTGAAGACCCGATATCAAGTAGGTATTATATGTATAAGTTAAAGTATTTGAAATTGGTCACTTTCTATTGATCTGTATTATTGTAGAATAAAGCAATCATTTTGAACTATTCACCGCACTTCTGAATCATTGGTCTGAACTGTCATAGATAGGTTTAATCCTTATCCATCAGTCTAATCCTTGGTCTAATCTGATGGCATTTCTGATTAATAGATTAAATGTGCAGTGAGTGAGGGAAATAAATAGAAATACAATTTTCTTTGCAAGAAGTTTTTGAAAATTTCTATTGGGTTTTTGTGGGTTATTCTCATAACTCTGTCAATTTTAATCAGATTTCAATGTAATTAGGCTCTAATTGAAGCCAATCAAATTCTCTATAAATCTGTTTATTGAGATTTTGATTTTGTTTCAACAGTTGTGCAGCTGAGAAGTTTTACTATTTATTGAATTTATCTCGGAATTTATAGAACATTGCAAATTTTTCAAAAATTGCACTATGACAGTTTTTACCTCACAGCTCTGTTAATTTTCAACTGATTTCAATGTAATTTGGCTCTAATTGAAGCCAATTAAATTCTCTACAAATCTGTTAATTAATATTTCAATTTAGTTTCAACAGTTTTGCGCCTGATGAGCAGCTTCAAAATTTAATTTATTGATCATTGAAAATTTTCCAAAAATGACATTGAGACAGTTTGTGCTTCACAGCTCCTTTAATTTTCATCTTATTTCAATGTAATTAAGCTCTAATTGAAGCGAATTGAATTTTCTTCAAATCTATTAGGATTTCAATTTGGTTTACTAGTTTCACACCTAAGAATCTTCAAAATTAAAATTATCGAACATGATGATTTTTGGATATTTTTGTATGATTACCAGGTGATTTCCATTTTTTTCTGGGGATTCTTATATCATTCCCAATTGATTATTCCTTGATGATTTCCTACAATCATCCGATTTCTAGCTGATTTTATTATGAAAATAATGTCTAATTGTTAAGTTTTGCATTGATATGCCCAAAATAAACAGTCTTTTTTCTTATAAAAACACGTTTCCACTGAAAAATTGGCAACTTCTGTATTTGCAACTCTTCCCAAAAGATTTATTTTCATGGTTGTCTACACCTACACCGATTTTATTGTAGGTATAAATAGGTGTTGAGCCCTAGATACCATTGCATGTCGACCGAGGTGTCGACATTGCATAATATGGATCTAAAATACCCAATGGATATTTCTTTGATTTCACTAGGACGTTGATCTGAATCAGAAATACCTTCAGTTAGGGTTTCACTCAACAAACTTATTCCTGATTCTGATTCAGATGTGCTATTGTCTCTGCTTCTCGCACTGCCTAGTATTTATTCTACTTTCGTGAGACTTTCCCTTTTCAAGTTCTTATCGCCTTGTACTCCCGACACTTTTTCTCTTGTATCTTTCTCAGCTTTTAATACTCGATCGACAAACGTCTCTGCTTCTCTGGAAAGAACCAAATTAAAGTTTAGCCCTGGATAATCTCTTAATTGTAGCGAATCGCTAAACCGTGATGTGTGAAGAAGTTCTGTGTCTTCTTTTGGCAAGTCAGATTCGAGAGAGGTTTCAAAATTCATGTTTTCATTTTTATGATCTACAACATTTTCATACTGTAGATATGTTATCACAGAAATCACAAACCAGTCAGAGCGAATTTAATTGCTTGGAAATAGTCAGAAAACTTGTTAGCGATTTGCACCAATCAAAAACGCTCTGAATAATTTGTAATTTCTGTAAGAACAGGCCTAATCTTTATCTAGTTCTTCTTCTTCTTCAAGTTCTAAACTCTTACACAACTGACCAGTACACTATATTGTTTAAAATGTATGATATGTAATGACATTTCATGATACACCATTTCTGGGTTAGAATGAGATGATATTCTCAGCAATTACCACGTGATTCTCAGCAATTGCCAATGGATTCCCATGGAGTCCTAGGAAATTTCTAGCAATTCCCAAGGATTTCCAAGTGATTTCCATGTATTCCTGATTGATTCCCAGAAAAATTTACAATATTTTCCATTAGTAGTTTACCCCTCGTTTCATTTTATTACATAGTTGATTAGTACAAATTCTTTTTTTAGTTACTTTACCACTAGTAATTATCTTGAGAATAGTAAGTTTTGATTTTCACTTTTGTATCTAAAAATTGATTCAATCATACCTATAAGTTGACCATTTTTCTTTAGGATTTATATTTTGTTTAATACCTATAGTCAATATAGACAAGAAAAATGTGAATAATCTTAAATTTTGGATTGATATTTGGCATTATGGTAAAAATGAGTTCTGAATGAATGGGGTTTTGACACAAAAGACCCAAAGCCCACTGGGTTTTTGTCAATATTGATGGATGGTGGATTTTTGTGCATGCCAACCCTGATCCAAACTCAATTTTTGAACTATAGACAAGAATATTCAAAATTTGAATTATAACTAAATTAACTATGTACCTATATGAATTCAACTTTTGAATATTTTTGGCTCTTGTTTGAACTGATTTGAATAACTGAATTGATAAATAGAATTGATTTTATCTTTGGAACTATAAGTCCAAATGAGTTAAAAATTTTCAGGGATTGTAGAATAAGCTCCAATAAAAATATCAGCTTTCTATCTATTATAGCATTTCAGTTATAATTTGTTAAAAATCCAAATCAAAAAGTAAGCTTCAGATTCTATGATTTACACATATTTTTTCAGAAGTAGAATTTTATTCTTGAATTGGAGATTCTGAAGTTAATCTCTGATAATTCAGTCTTCAAGGAAAACTTTTGAATTCTCTGATTTGAGGAAATTTTCAAGATTCATTTCTGAGATCCAAAATAACGTGTTTAAGCTTCAGATTTCTCAGAAGCAGAATTTTTCTGGCCCAGAACGTGAGATTCTTCCATTGTGAGTTTTGAATTTGGAATTTCTGAAGCTCGTCTGCTCAAATGATAAAGATTGAATCTTTAGGAAGAAAACTCAAGATTGTACTATACAGGGTGACTGGTAAGTGGACGTAGAGCCCATTTATTACCGATTAAACATCATTTACCTCTATACCATTCTCAACAGTTTTGGAGATATTTTTTATTTTTAAGAAATTCACTTTTTTGGGAGGTAAATATTTAAAATTAACAAAATAATAAGGAACATACCTTATTTAGGTAAATGTTAACACCAATATTTGACAACATTTCTATTGTAACACTTGGTATGAAAAACAAATCGAGTAATTTTTTCCTAATATTGGTTACTCTTACGAATAAGACCTATTTATTTAATAATAAAACAAAAGACTAATGCTAAAATAATGTGCCTTATTCTGAAGACAATAATATCGAGAACTTTTATTAATAATTTGTACGCTTGATTTACTATAAATTTTTCGAAATTTTTAAGCATGAATGTAACGACTAGTTTGTAACTTGACAAGAAAAGTTAAATTTAAACCGAAATAATTTGATAGTTAATGTTATTGTTTCAATAATTTTCAATGGAAATATTTGTGTGAGTGTGTCAGTTTATAATTTTAAAAGCGGCCTTTAAAATGGCTTTTATTATTTTCCTTAATTTTAATTATTTACCGCGCAAAGAAACGAATTTCTTGGAAATTAAAAAATAATAAATGTCTCAAAAACTGTTGAGGATGGTATAGAGGTAAATGATGTTTAATCGGTAGTAAATGGGCTCTACTTTCACCTCCTCAAAAGAATACTTCTACTTACCAGTCACCCTATATATTTATTTGACCTATTTATTTGTTTTAGATCTAGAGTAACGTCAAACTTTTATCATTGTAGATCTCACATTTGAAAATTTTAAAGTGCAGTTCTGATCTTTAAAAGGTGCTTCAGATTCTACTATCTAATCATAATATATCCTACAGGCATAAGTCTGTTCTTGTTCTTAGGTGCAGAGTGCAGATTCTTTCTCTGAGAAACTTAAATTTAGAATTTCTGAGGCTTGTCTCAAATTTCGAAGAAGCACTGAATTCTGTAATTTGCACAAATTTTCTAGAGTCTGGAATCTATTCTCATTTTCACCTTTCATTATTTTGAATTTTCAATTTTAACACAATTCAGATTATAGAAATGCAGTTCTCTAAGCTTTCTTGACAGAATTTTAATTTTGTTCTCATAAGATTCATAAAGAAAGATCCTTTCATTGTGAATCTTGAATTTGAAGATTTTGTAGCTCGAATAAAAATTCATTCTTTAAAAAGAAATTTTAGATTCTTCAATTTTTAAATTTAGACACAGAGTGTTGTTCTTATTCTCAGGTCCCGAACTTCAGATTCTTTAATTTTTTTTTCAATCCTGAATTTGAAGATTCAGAACTTGTTCTCAGATGATAAGAATTCAGTTTCCAAAAACAAATAAATAAGCTTCAGATTCTACTATTTGGTGAAATTTGTTGGTATCTGGATATCATTTCTTGTTTTTAGGTCAAAAATGTTAAGATTCTTCCAATTTGGTTCATCACTTTCACACCTGAAAAGGTTCAAAATTGAAATTATCAAACATTGAAAATTTTCCAAAAATGACATTGAGACAGTTTTTGCCTTGCATCTCCATTAATTTTCATCCGATTTTAATGTAATTAGGCTCTAATTAAAGCCAATTAAATTCTCTACAGACCTGCTAATTAAGATTTAAAATTTGGTTCTCCAATTTTATATCTGAGATGCTTTAAAATTGAAATTATCAAACATTGAAAATTTTCCAAAAATGACATTGAGACAGTATTTGCCTTGCAGCTCCGTTAATTTTCATCCGATTTTAATGTAATTAGGCTCTAATTAAAGCCAATTAAATTCTCTACAAATCTAATAATTAAGATTTCAATATCCTCTCAACAGTTTTGCAGCTGAGAAGCTTCAAAATTAAAATTATCAAACACTGAAAATTTCCTAAAAATGACACTGAGACAGTTTTTGCCTCACAACTTTGTTAATTTTCATCTGATTTCAGTGTAGTTTATCTTTAATTAAAGCCAATCAAATTATCTACAAATCTATTAATTAATATTTCAATTTATTCTCAACAATGTTGCAGCCTTGGTTGCAGCTGAGAAGCTTCACAATTGAATTATTCATTGAAAATTTTCCAAAAATGAAACTGAGACAGTCTTTGCCTCTGTATGTATGTAATTAGGCTCTAATTAAAGCTAATTAAATTCTTTACAAACCTCATAATTAAGATTTCAATTTGGTTCTAACAGTCAGTTTTGTGCTAACAGTTTTGCACTTGAGAAGCTTCAAATTTGAAATTACACAGCTACGTTAATTTTCATCCGATTTCAATGTAATTAAGCTCTAATTAAAGCCAATTAAATTTTCAACAAAACGATTTAATTAAGATATAAATTTGGTTTCAACAGTGTCAAAAACCTCTTTGGTTTTTGTGTATGCCAATCCTGAACTTTTTATTTTTGCTTATTTATTTATTTTTTTTTTTTTCTAGGAGAGCCAAAGCCCACGAAATGGTCAAAGACTATGAAAGTGCCCTAGACGACATCACAGCAGTTTGCCTATTGCAAAATTTCGGCAGCCAAAACTCCCTTTTGATGGCCGACAGAGTCCTCAAAGAACTCGGAAAGAAAAACGCCTCAGAGGCAATGAAAACAAGAGTTCCTTTAATCCCATCCAAAAATTTCGTCAGAACATATTTCGCCTCATTTTCACAAGATCCTGTCCATACAAAACTTTTAGAAACCACTGATCCTTTAGGCCAAGGCGAACTAAAAGGATTTTTAAAAGCAAAACTCGCTTTTGCTACAGAAAAATACGAAGAAGTCATTCCAGCCTGCACTGAAGAACTTAATCTTAGCGAATCAGAGTCAAACTTTAAAATCGAAGCATTGTCTTTGAGGGGCTCATTTTATTTTTTGACTGGCCAATTTAAAGAGGCTCTAGAAGATTTGACTTCTATTATTGACTCAGAACAAGCAGATGTAAATATTAAAGTGAATGCGTTAATTAAGAGGGCTTCAATTTATATGCAAACTGAAAAATTGAGCGAATGTTTGAATGATTTTAATAAAGCTATCGCATTGGGACCAGATATATCAGGTAATTTTGATAATTATTAACACTAGAGCACATATTAATGTTTTTTTTTAAAGATGTGTACCATCATAGAGGCCAAGTGATGCTTTTGACAGAAGAACAAAACGAGGCAGCAAGGAAAGATTTCGAAATGGCAGTCAAATTGAATCCAAATTTCCCTATAGCAGTTATCCAAAAATGTTTCACGGATTATAGATTTGCATCTCAAGTTCATGATGTTAGCACGCTGATGAAGAGTATTGAAGATTTTAGGAGCGCCATTACGAAATTCCCTTCCTGTTCAGAGACTTATATTATGTTTGCTCAAGTAAGAATTTTTCAAATTATATATTACTAACGTCCCACGGTGGATGGCGTATTAGGCGTTAATGGAAAACTAAGAAGCGGATCATTTTGAAAATTTGGCAACCAGTATAAACGACCATAATCTACATTTTAAAAATATTTTTGTTTATGCGGTGTTGCCGCTTCTACTCTAAACTAGTGGCAACATCGCTATTTTAAATGGAACACCCTGTATGTGATTGCATATTTGGATTCTACATAAAATTCTGAGCAGATTTCATGTGATATATCCTATACCTAAGTTTAACTGTTTTGGAAATATTGACAGTTGAAAATTGGCTTTTTGCAACTTTGACAGGCTGTAAAACCTAAACGATTAATTCTAGAGGAAAACCGATTTTACATTCCTATCTTAGATTTTCATGAACTATCATTTAACACCAACTTTGAATTTAATCTGAGATTAAATTTTATTGGAATTTTTAAGCATGGATTAAATTCAAAGTTGGTAGGTTTTCCTCTAAAATTAACCGTTTAGGTTTTACAGCCTGTCAAAGTTGCAAAAAGTCAATTTTCAACTGACAATATTTCCAAAACATTTGAACTTAGGTATAGGGTATGTCATATGAAATCTGCTCAGAATTTTACATAGAAACCAAATATGCAATCACATACAGGGTGTTCCATTTAAAATAGCGATCTTGCCACTGGTTTAGAGTAGAAACGGCAATACCGCATGGTCAAAAATAATTTTAAAGTGTAGATTATGGTTGTTTATCCCAGTTGCCAAATTTTCAAAATGATCCGCTTTTTCTTTCTCCATAAACGTTTAATATGCTATCCACCATGGGACACCCTGTATTTCTCAAATTGCCTATATTATAGTTAGGGATACGACCGCATTTTTCCTACCCCGATCGAGTTATGTGTCGACACTATTATCAATATACAGGGTTAGTAAAAAGTATTGCAACACTTAAATATCTTCAAAACTGCTTAAGCTGCGTTCACACAATTCGGAATCTGACCGTTTTCAGGCATGCGGAATTCAACAGTGCTATTTTCAATGTTGCCAGATTTCCCAGTTTTGCGCTACACGTAGTCTTTTTGTTATCTTGAATAGAATGCCCCATTTATTTTTATTGCAATAAATTGGACGTGCCAAAATTAATAAGATTCCAAATTTTCATAATTCTATCTCCACTAGTTGCTGAAATATGCCAACACCGCATTTTCAGTGAACGGTATCGCAACGCTTGAATATCTTTAAAACCCGCTTGAGCTCGTCCACTTAATTCGATACCTATCTGGGAATTTATAGGCAAGCGAAATTCAACTGTGATATCGGCATTGTTGCCAAGTTTCTCAGTTTCGCGCTACACGTAGTCTTTTTGTTATCTTGAATAAATTTATTTTTATTGCAATGAATTAGTTCAAATTTTGATGAGATTCTAAATTTCCAATATGCTGCTTGTACTGTTAAATACTACTATAGTGATAATCATTCTGGGATAGTTACCTACCTATTTCAGGAGGAGCCGCAAACTTATCGGAAACTCCCGGAAATATGAATACCTCATGAACAAGTAACTCGTATTATTGAAGGAAAAAAAAACCATAAGCCACGAGTAAGACTATGTGTAGCTCGAAACTGGGAAACTTGGCAACAATGCCGATATCACAGTTGAATTTCGCTTGCCTATAAATCCCCAGATACCGAATTTAGTGGACGAGCAAGCGGATTTTTAAAGATATTCAAGCGTTGCGATACCGTTCACTGAAAATGCGGTGTTGGCATATTTCAGCAACTAGTGGAGATAGAATTCTGAAAATTTGGAATCTTATCAAATTTGACACGTCCAATTTATTGCAATAAAAATAAATGGGGCATTCTATTCGCGATAGTAAAAAGGCTACTTGTAGGGCAAAACTCGGAAATCTGGCAACAATGCCGATATCACGGTTAAATCTCACTTGCTCAAAAACCCCCAGATGCCAAATTTCGTGAACGTGCCTTTGAAGATATTCAAGCGTTGCGATACTTTTCACCGAAAATACGGTGTTGTCATATTTCAACAACTAGTAGAGATAGAATTCTGAAAATTTGAAGTCTTATCAAATTTGGCATGCCCAATTCATTGCAATAAAAATAAATGGGGCATTCTATTTAAGATAACAAAAAGACTATGTGTAGCGCAAAACTGGGAAATCTGGCAACATTGTCAATACCACTGTTGAATTCCGCATGCCTGAAAACTGTTAGATTCCAAATTGTGTGAACGCGGCTTAAGCAGTTTTGAAGATATTTAAGTGTTGCAGTACTTTTTACTAACCCTGTATAGTATTATGTGCATGTTTTAACCGGTATTCCTGATGATGTGTCAAATTAAAGGTGTCAATAAGTTGATTTAAGGTCTCTTCGCACAGAAATCTCAAACCAGAAGGAGTGAATTTCATTGGTTGAAACTAGTTTCCTGACTGTTTCCAACCAATGAAATTCACTCAACACCTAATGCAGGTTTTTCCTTACAAATTGCGCAGAAATAGCGGCTTTCACGTCGTATTTTCTTATTTTCGCCTGATCTGATCTGATCGTATTTTCATATTTTCGCCTGATCTCACGAGTTAACTTGAAGTTGGCACATGTATACAAATTTTCATATACAGGTGCCAACTACGAGATAACTCGGAGGGTATTTTCTTGCAAAAATATGGGTCAGGTACTACTTTGGATGAATATTTTATGTTATTTAGACCTATTCCGATTATAAAATATAAGTTTTCACATTGGCATTTTGGACCCGATCAACCGAAATCTCTCTGGCAGCGAACATGTTAATAGATGCACATAATACTATACAAGGTGGAAAATTAAAAGGGATCCACCTGGATTTTCTCGAAAATTATCAGGAAAAATTATCAGGAAATTAAAAAAACGCTGAAACACGTCGATTTTGTTTGCAAGGGGGACACTTTTTGGCTATTTCAAAATTTTCCTAGATTGCACCTCCTGAGCGGGGTGAGTTGCACCCTCAAAAGTTGAATAGGGAAACTGGGTCGAGTGGTACCTTGTTTGAGAGGTATTTGCGATGACTTTACAGATCTGGTCATTTTTTTCGAAATCTGACTTCTAGTTTTCAAGATGTTGCCTCGGAAGTTGCCATGGGGCGAAAAGAGAATGTGTGTTTCGTGAAAATATGAAAAGTGGGTCATGTTTGAAAGGTTGTTTCAAGAGGTTCAAACTAACAAAGAAACAAAGGTTCAAAATAAACAAAATTGACGTGTTTCAGGAATTTCAATTTTTTCTTGTAGAAATGTACAAAAAACATTTTCTCTTTTTGCCACATGGCAACTTCCAAGGCGAATATCTTGAAAATTGGTAGTCAGATTTCGAAATAAATTACAGATCTGTAAAGTCATCTCAAATACCTCTCAAACAAGGTATCACTCGACCCAGTTTCCCTATTCAACTTTTGAGGGTGCAATTCACCCGGTAAGGGGGTGCAATCTAGGAAAATTTTGAAATAGCCAAAAAGTGTCCCCCTTGCAAACAAAATCGACGTGTTTCGGCGTTTTTTTAATTTCCTGATAATTTTCGAGAAAATCCAGGTGGATCCTTTTTAATTTTCCACCCTGTATATTGATAATAGTGTCGACACATAACTCGATCGGGGTAGGAAAAATGTGGTCGTCTCCCAGACTAATAGGAAAATTACAAAATTGTGATCTATTGAAAACAAATTAAATACATAATTTCAGGTCCAAACTGAAAGACAAGAATTCCAACACGCTGAAGAATTATACCAAAAAGCTATGAAAGTAGATCCTACCAACGCCTCAGTTTACGTACACAGAGGCCTACTATTGTTACAATGGAAAGGCGAAATTGAAAACGCAGTTCAACTAATGCGACAAGCCATTAGTATAGACGAAAAGTGCGAATTTGCTTTTGAGACTTTGGGAACTGTAGAAGTACAACGGTAAGTGACTAATTTATAATACAAACACTGTTTTTGAAATAATAAAATTTTAGAGGCAATTTGGTGATAGCCATTGACTTATTCAACAAAGCTATCGCTCTAGCCCGATCAGAAATGGAAATGGTCCACTTGTTTTCGCTTAGAGACGCAGCAAGTTCGCAACTTAAAATTGCCGCTAAATTGAATATTGGGCCGCAGTTGATGAAAGGATTATCTTAAAATAACAATAGCTATTTTCTGCTGTAAATTATTTGTTAATTTTGTTATGTAGATTTCCAAAAGATCGAAATAGATGTTGTTAGTAGAAAATTAATTGTTTTGGGGACCAATATGTCGCATTTCCTTATCTTTTATTGTCTGTTGATTTGTTCTATTAAAAATACAAATATTTGTTAGCAGTTTGATTTTTGGCTTGTTAAAGGATGTTTTGTGGAAGTAGGTGAAGAGTTTTGAGAATTTCACATCAACATTTATTTTATTTTATATAAAAAAAGTTATAATTTGGAAAAAGCCATAATAGTTATTTTTGTCACAAGTACCTAAAATGAAGTTTTTCAGGACGAATCATTGCTATTTCAAGACGAGCCCTCAGCTGATTCCGGAATAGCAGATAAGTCCTGAAAAACTTCGTTAGGTACGTGTGACAAACACTATTTTTTTTCATACGCTTTTTAGAATTCTTCAGAACGCTGAAATTTGCACAATTTCCTTAATTTTTGAAATCATAAAGGTGCATCCAGAAAGAAAAAAAAATCCTAAAAAGAAGCATTTTACGGACTTGAATGAGTCCGTAAAATAGCTGTTTTTGGGAGCATATGACAAAAATAAAATAGTGTTTGTCACACGTACCTAACAAAGTTTTTCAGGACTCATCTGCTATTCTGGACTCGGCTGACGCCTCGTCTGGAAACAGCAATGGTTCGTCCTGGAAAACTTCATTTTAGGTAGGTACTTGTGACAAAAATAACTTTCTATTCTAGCTGAATATCCTGTTTGTGCGAAAGTGTGAGTCTCGAGTCTACCCCTCTGCCCGTAGTGCCAGACAATGACACCCCTTCAATCAATATCGAATTTACCCTTTTCACCGTTATGATAGCATTGTAAAGAAACTGCTAGACAAATCAATACATCATTTGAAACATTAATATTAATGTTCCAACAAAGGAATAAAGGAAGGATAAATTTTCTTTTCACAAATCATAAAGATTGCATTAATTTAATAAAACAAACAAATACTCAAAATTTAAAAAATAGACACACATTAAATGCAGTTTATTTTCATTGACAATTGTACAGGCTTGGTTAAGAAGGAAGATATGCTGGCACACCTCAAGTGTGCCTCGTTATAACTTTCATCAGTCGAGATTCAGTTTTGTGACCTGTTGAATTATCCACTACCTCCAAGAAGTAGTTCAAATGAACAATAATACTGATAAAATGAATAATGTGTTCCTATCACATTAAAAAATACAAAATTATTTACACGTTCAAAAATAAATTGCACAGAACTAAAAAAAAAAAAAACAGTTTTAGTGTTTATTTAAGACTAAAAAGGGTCCTAACAATTTAGAAGCCTTTTTTTTTTGTTTCAATCGTCACCCTAGTAAATTATATATAAAAATAACAACAGGCTCTTAACCTTACTACAATTAACATTTTTGTACAATTCAATTAAATAATTTACAACTTAACTACTATACACAGTTGTTCACATTCACACTCTTTTCACTTGGACAAACAGGTCACCTATGGTGGGTAGTTCCGTCGTTGATGTCGTACAGTATTTGTGCTATTGTTCTTGAAGATTCTACGTTACTTAAGGCGATATTTGCTAAGTGGGACTCGTACGACTTTAAGTACCTAAAGAAAAATGGAATTTTTAGACTCAAATATTCATTCAAGTTGGAATAGAACTTTTTAGTGTAAAATTGAATTATTGGAGAAAGTGTTTTGGATATTAGAATTGATGTTTGGAGCAAGGAATTTGGCAGTTAGAGAATTGAAGTATTGCCAAGGAAAAATGAGGAAAATGACAAAGTAAAATAATAAAATCACATGATTCATTATCAAAACTTGTAAAATTCAATTTAAAATGTACTGATTTAATTCAACAAGTAAAGGAATATAACAAATGAGTTACAATTTGCTAAAACCCACCTTAAGCCTTAATTTTTGAGCATTTATTGAATAAGTTCTATTCCATCTTAATACATTTCTACTGCAATGTCACCAATAAACTATACAGGGTGTCCAAAATAAGTTGAAGTACATGGGAAATTGGGCAATCGTTGAAGATACACGGTGGACCAAATGGGGAAAAAGTTGCTCAATCAATAATAATCTGTCATCAATTTCATTAAACATCAGATATACAAGATTAAAGATATAAAGGATTTTAAAACACGCACTTTTTTATTTTTTGCCCTGAACATCCGTTACTATTTAGAGTTCAAAGAAGTTGATGACAGAATATTCATAGGCACTTGAATGCGCAACTTTTTCCTCATTTGGTTTACCCTGTATGGTATCTTAAATGGTTTCCAAAATCCCCATATACTTCAAGTTACTCCAGATACCCTGTATATAGGGTGTTTTTTTAATTTGATGTCAATATTTAGGGAAGCGATTTTTGAGTTCATTTTGAGAAGAAAACTTCATATTATGAATGTATGTCCTAAACGTCTTACCTTTTGAATATTATTTGACTTAAAGTTTAATACCAAACATGCTCATTCATAAAACAACGGTACAATTACAATGTTCTACTTCCTAATTACAAATTTTAGCAATGACTGCTACTGCTTATGAAGTAGCACTCGCAGCCGAAATCTATAAAAAAAGGCACTCAGAAAAATTGAAAAATTGATAAATCACCCCAAATTGCTTAACACGATTTTATCTCAGGAACTATAAGTGCAAATGAGCTGAAATTTTCAGGGATTGTAGTCCTTTGAAAGGGATAAAATTCAGTGAAAGTTTCAGCTTTCTATCTATAATAGAAAAAAAGTTATGACCTTTCAAAATTTTCCAAAATCTAAATCATAAGGTAGGTACCTTCTTACTAAAACGATGAAATTTCAAATTTTTTTTTGTCGAGATTTTGTATCCTAATGGTCAATCAACATCCCCCAAACTCCATACACTAAATTATTCTCAGATTTGAACCCGAAATCTATAAAAAAAGGCACTCAGAAAAATTGAAAAATTGATAAATCACCCCAAATTGCTTAACACGATTTTATCTCAGGAACCATAAGTGCAAATGAGCTGAAATTTTCAGGGATTGTAGTCCTTTGAAAGGGATAAAATTCAGTGAAAGTTTCAGCTTTCTATCTATAATAGAAAAAAAATTATGACCTTTCAAAATTTTCCAAAATCTAAATCATAAGGTAGGTACCTTTCTTACTAAAACGATGAAATTTCAAATTTTTTTTTGTCGAGATTTTGTATCCTAATGGTCAATCAACATCCCCCAAACTCCATACACTAAATTATTCTCAGATTTGGACCCGAAATCTATAAAAAAAAGGCACTCAGAAAAATTGAAAAATTGATAAATCACCCCAAATTGCTTAACACGATTTTATCTCAGGAACCATAAGTGCAAATGAGCTGAAATTTTCAGGGATTGTAGTCCTTTGAAAGGGATAAAATTCAGTGAAAGTTTCAGCTTTCTATCTATAATAGAAAAAAAATTATGACCTTTCAAAATTTTCCAAAATCTAAATCATAAGGTAGGTACCTTTCTTACTAAAACGATGAAATTTCAAATTTTTTTTTGTCGAGATTTTGTATCCTAATGGTCAATCAACATCCCCCAAACTCCATACACTAAATTATTCTCAGATTTGGACCCGAAATCTATAAAAAAAAGGCACTCAGAAAAATTGAAAAATTGATAAATCACCCCAAATTGCTTAACACGATTTTATCTCAGGAACCATAAGTGCAAATGAGCTGAAATTTTCAGGGATTGTAGTCCTTTGAAAGGGATAAAATTCAGTGAAAGTTTCAGCTTTCTATCTATAATAGAAAAAAAAATTATGACCTTTCAAAATTTTCCAAAATCTAAATCATAAGGTAGGTACCTTCTTACTAAAACGATGAAATTTCAAATTTTTTTTTGTCGAGATTTTGTATCCTAATGGTCAATCAACATCCCCCAAACTCCATACACTAAATTATTCTCAGATTTGGAGCCGAAATCTATGAAAAAAGGCACTCAGAAAAATTGAAAAATTGATAAATCACTCCAAATTGCTTAACACGATTTTATCTCAGGAACCATAAGTGCAAATAAGCTGAAATTTTCAGGGATTGTAGTCCTTTGAAAGGGATAAAATTCAGTGAAAGTTTCAGCTTTCTATCTATAATAGAAAAAAAATTATGACCTTTCAAAATTTTCCAAAATCTAAATCATAAGGTAGGTACCTTCTTACTAAAACGATGAAATTTCAAATTTTTTTTTGTCGAGATTTTGTATCCTAATGGTCAATCAACATCCCTCAAACTCCATACACTAAATTATTCTCAGATTTGGACCCGAAATCTATAAAAAAAGGCACTCAGAAAAATTGAAAAATTGATAAATCACCCCAAAATGCTTAACACGATTTTGATTTTTACAGGCTTTTGTTTTTGGGATTATTTTTCTTGAAGTAATCAAGACCCAATGAAAATCAGTTAAGACGATTCTGGCTACTAGTAGAAATATCTAGCCAATCAAGAGCCAGTAATAATTCAAATTTTGATTTTTACAGGTTTTTAATCTTGGGATTGATAATTTTTCTCCGAACAATCAAGAGCCAATGAAAATCAAAAAGTTTCAACTATTTTGGTGGCATGGTGAGTCATATTAACAATATTGTTATGATCATGCAAAATTATTTTGAGTGAAAATTATTTTTTATTTATTTTATTTATTTATTTTTTTATTTCATTTTATTCACCTTAGATTTACAATGTAAATGTGGCTTTGTCACAATATTGAATCATGATAATAGTAAAAAATATAGTAATAATAAAAAAATAATAGAAGGCACTTAATAATAAAAAATTCACAATAATAACATCAAGTATTTCAATAAACTTAGTATATAAACAGTCACAACAATTATTATATAACATAGAGCAACTAAATCGCGTTGACGTAGAGAGACATAGTATTAAACATTCCCATTTACATTTTTATTATAAAGTCACTAAAGGAATAGAAACAATTTTCGCAGAGAAATTGCTTTAATTTAACTTTGAATCTTTTTTCAGTCTGTTCAGTCTTTATTTCTCCTGGTAGTCTATTGTAGACCTTTATACATGCATATTGAGGAGACTTCTCAAATAAAGCAGTGCTATGTCGTGGAAGGCTAAGTTCGTTGCTTTTCCTGGTAGAATATAGATGATTTTCTCCATTTTTTAGAAATCTATCTTTGTTTTTATATACATATATCGCACACTTATATATATAGATGGACGGAAGAGTAAGTAGTTTTTGGTCCTTGAAGGTTGGACTGCAGCTTTCCTGTGGTTTAAGGCCATATATTAACCTTACTATCCGCTTTTGGATGATGAATACTCTACCCACGCCAACAGCTTGTCCCCATAGAATGATATTATAAGACATGTGATGGTAGGCTAGGGCATAGTAAGCTGACAATAGCGCGTGTCTTTCGACGACTTGTCTAAGCTTGAGTAGGGCAAAATGGGCGGAATTGAGTTTGGAGCATACATGATCCACTTGGGTGTGCCATTGAAGTTGTTTGTCAAGATAAGTTCCTAGAAATTTTACAGCTTCTTCGGTTTCCTTGAGCTCAATTTTCGGTTTGGAATTATAAAAATGTATGTATGGTTACTGTTTTTGAGTTGTTGAGAATAAGCTTATTACTAAAACACCAGGAACTCATATGGAAACAAATTTCATCCAACTTCTTCATCGCTTCTTTTTCGTTATCAGCCGATATAGCTGCAGTTGTATCATCCGCAAACTTAATTGTAAGGCCAGGTAGTTTTAGGTCATTGATGAAGAGCAGAAAAATCAGCGGCGCCAGCACTGAGGCCTGGGGTGCTCCAATATTAACAGAGTGAGTGTCAGACAGATCTTCTCCCAGTCTCACCTGTATTTTTCGCTCTGATAAGAAGGACATTATTAGGCATCCGAGATTTCAAATCTTTCTAAGAAGTGGGTTATTCTACTGTGTAGTACCTTTTCAAATATTTTTGAAAATACGGATAATATGGATATCGGTCGATAGTTTTCGATATCCGTTGACAGGCCTTTTTTGAAAACAGGAACTACGGTAGCTAGTTTTAAGCTGGATGGAAATACTCCCTCAGAGATTGATTTATTCACTAGTACTTCTAAGGGGTAAGACAACTCAGGACAGACCCTCTTTACCACACTGGTATTTATTCCATCAGGGCCACAACTTGTTTTGTTTTTGAGACCTATGATGATGTCGGCAATTTCTGTTGGAGTCACTGGATGGAGGAAGATGGTGTTTTCGACCAGATGCGAGGTGGTTGGACGATTCGAAACAGTGGCACCGAAATGGCTTGATATTTTTATTTCCGCAACATTCGAAAAAAATCTACCAAAGTGGTTTGAGATTTCTTTATCATTTTTGATTAGGGTACCATCGATTTTGAGGTCGATTATTTTGGAATGCTTAACTCTGCCCAACTCATCATTTACAATGTTCCATATTTCTTTTGTTTTGTTTAGATGACTCTATAATCTTTTGCTCATTAAAATTTATTTTCGCCTGTCTAATATTTTGCCTATACTTTTTTCTCTCTTTATTGTAGTCTTCCTGACCTGCCCTAGAGTTCGTTTCCCTTGTTAGATTATAAAGTTGCTTTAACTCTTGCTTTTGATTCTTTAGTTCTTCAGTGATCCAGTGTTTTTTTTTGTCTTTTTTATTATTTATATTAATTCTTTTTACGGGGCATGTGGTATCGTAATGCCATTGGAGTGTTTGTAGAAAATTATCAAATGCGGTTTCCAGTTCTGGCATATGAATATTTTCCCAGGTTTCCAGTTTCAGGTTGTTTTTGAACCTGTTCAAATTGTCATGGGATTTTATTCTGATATTTTTAAATATTGGAGTTATTTCGTTTGCAACCTTTGCTGATAGATTAACTTCAAGTCGCTGTAGAAGATGGTCTGATATGTGGGCTTGAGATGACTTGCAAGCTAGAATATTCATTAGAAAGTTCGTTGCCATGTAGTCGATTGATGATATAGATAATCCGTTCTGTGCAGGAAATATTCGTGTTGGACCTAGACAGTGGTTGGTGAGTTGATGTGAGTCGAACATATCTTGCAATATCTTGTATTTTGGATCCTCTTTTTTCATGCTATTTATATTTAAGTCGCGATCATCTTGGGAATTTCAAGAATATTTGTCATTTTAAGGAAAATCAGTGATGTATTACCATCAATGTCTGCCAAAATAGGCAAGTCAAAATCCATACGACCGCCACTGGTGGAAATTTACTGAAATATGTTACATTAAAAAATGTCTCTTTTTCACATACTTCATGTAGGCCAGGATTCATTAAAATATCTGAATATTACAAATATTAATAATAATTCTGAAAACTTTATCACCTTTTATTTTAAAAGCTAAGACGTTTAGGACATACGTTTAAAGGTAAAATGAACTCAAAAATTCTTCCCTCAAATATTGACATCCACCCTGTATCATACTTTATGTACACATTGTATATTCCAATTTTGACTTACCTTTTCGAATTGCTACTGTAAATAGCCAAATTCCGTAGAATCAACGACGCCGTCAATCTGATACTTTTTGTTACGGGCCCTTCATTGTCGTCCTGAAATAAATTTTTCAAAAATCAAAAACAATGTCTTTGTTTTTTCTATCAAGTCAATCACCAACATTTTTCTGGTTAAAAAACAAGCTGCGTTATAAAGAGCAAAAAAAAAAAATAAAAAAAAAACACCTCAGACATCAGTGCAAAAAGCAAAATTAGAAGAAAAAAAAAAAAATTCCATCCACTATTTAAAGGGGTTAGAGAGGGTGTCTCACCTGATCTGAAGGTGGAAGTGGTACTTTTATAGTTGCAATGGCGCCTTGCTTTGATGTTTTGATCTATGTACAAATTAAAATTGATTTAAGGCTACCACAGAAAAAGTTTAAGTATAGGTACTCTTAATAATTATTATCCCAAAATGCACCCAAGATCAGAAATTACATAAAACAAAAATCCTACCTGCAATTCTTTAGGATTAACAAAATCCAATGCGTGTCTTTTGATGGCGTGTAGGGCAGCGTCAGGGGCGTACCCAGGGTGGGTCGTAGGAGATGGCGGAGGAGGTTCCACATTAATTCCTTGGGATATTTTCTTGCGTCGTACCAAACTAGCTTTCATTGCCTATAAAAATAGTAAAAAAAAACAAATTTGAAAATTTCCAGTGTAGTAGATCTTTATTTCCCAACTTGTGATATGCAATTGACGTTGTCAGATAAACCCTAGCAGGGAATTGGGGGAATTATTAAAGGGTTGTTGACAACAATGTAATAGGTTGCAGTATCAGGGTTGCTAGAAAATGGTTGTAGGGTAGAGTTTATTATTAAATTCTGATGTTTTTTGAATGACATGGAAAATATCCTCGATTTGAAAAAGAAGATAATTAAATTTGGAAATGAATGGATGTGATGTTTTAATTAATTTCAAGACCGTTCAAGTTGAGAATCAGCCACACCAGCAATAGTATTACATGCGGAGGTGGAAAGTGTTTAATTATTGTCGAGAGATACTATGGTTGACCAAGGTGCGAAGCGCCGAGGTCAACCAATTCTCAAGACAATAATGTGAAAACTTTCCACCGAATTATGTATACTATTTTATTTTGAACCATTAATTTTTGAAAAAATAAGGTAAAAATATGACAAAAAGCTCATGATATCACACTTTTACATTTTTCCTGTGGAAAACAACGACCTGGAAAATTCTTGAATATCAACCTCTAAAAAGCAAATGTATCTCTCTACATTTTCATATTTTTTTGGAAATTCACTGAAGCGGAAATTTTCAAATTTTTGTACTGAAAAGTGGAAGGTTAAGAGCTCATTATGCCACTCTCTTACATTTTTCCTGTAAAAAACTACGATCTGGGAAATTCTTGAAAATCAACCTCAAAAAAGCAAATGTATCTCTTTACATTTTCATACTTTTTTTTGAAAACTACGAAGCAAAATTTCCCAAATTTTTCAAGTGAAAAGCAGAGGATTAAGAGCTCATTATGCCAAACTTCTACATTTTCCCTGTGGATAACTACGATCTGGGAAATTCTCGAAAATCAACTTCCAAAAAGCAAAATGGAGCAAATACATCTCCCTAACATTTTCATACTTTTCTAAAAAACTACTAAAGTGAAAATTTTCAAATTTTTGTAGTGTAAAGTGAAAGGTTAAGAACTTATTATGTCACACTTTAACATTTTTCTTGTGGAAAACTACGATCTGGGAAATTCTTGAAACTCAACCTCCAAAAAGCAAATGTATTTGTCTACATTTTCATACTTTTTTTGAAAACTACTGAAGCGAAAACTTCCAAATTTTTTAAGTGAAAAGCAGAGGATTAAGAGCTCATTATGCCAAACTTTTACATTTTCCCTGTGGAAAACTACGTACTGGGATATTCTCGAAAATCAACTTCCAAAAAGCAAAATGAAGCAAATACATCTCCCTAACACTTTCATACTTTTCTGGAAAACTACTGAAGCGAAAATTTTCAAATTTTTGTAGTGAAAAGTGGAAAGTTGAGAGCTCCATTATGTCATTCTTTTCCATTTTTCCTGTGGAAAACTACGATCTGGAGAATTCCTGAAAATCAACCTCCAAAAAGCAAATACATCTCCTTAACATTTTCATACTTTTCTGGAAAACTACTGAAGCGAAAATTTTCAAATTTTTGTAGTGGAAAGTGGAAGGTTAAAAGTTTTTTATACCACACTTTTATATTTTTCCTGTGGAAAATTATGATCTGGATAATTCTTGAAAATCAATCTCCAAAAAGCAAATGTATCTCTCTACATTTTGATACTTTTCTGGAAAACCACTAAAGCGAAAAATGTCAAATTTTTGTAGTAAAAAGTAGGAGGTTAAGAGCTCATTATGCCACTCTTTTACATTTTTCTTGTGGAAAACTACAATCTGGAGAATTCCTGAAAATCAACCTCCAAAAAGCAAATACATCGCCCTACATTTTCATATTTTTCTGAAAAACCACTGAAGCGAAAATTTCCAATTTTTTTAAGTGAAAAGTAGAAGGTTAAGAGCTCATTATGCCATTCTTTTACATATTTCCTGTGGAAAACTACGAAGCGACATTTTCCAAATTTTTCAAGTGAAAAGCAGAGGATTAAGAATACATCTCCCTAACATTTTCATACTTTTCTGAAAATCTACTTAAGCGAAAATTTTCAAATTTTTATAGTGAAAAGTGGAAGGTTGAGAGCTCATTATGCCACACTTTTACATTTTCCCTGTGGAAAACTACGATCTGGGAAATTCTTGAAAATCAGCCTCCAAAAAGCAGAATAAAGCAAATACATCTTCCTAACATTTTCATACTTTTCTGGAAAACTACTAAAACGAAAATTTTCAAATTTTTGTAGTGAAAAGAGGACAGTCTGACACCGACATTGACATCTTATGAAATTTCCTTATATTTGGCCGAGTTCGTTTTTGTCATCTTTTTCGTGAAATTTTGACAGGCATGTGATTGGATGAGACAGTTTCAAGTTAAAAATCACGCGCCTGTCAAAATTTCGGAGGAAATCGACGAAAAAGATGACAAAAACGAACTCGGCCAAATATAAGGACAGGAGAACGGTCACTTTCAGCCTGCGTTAAAGTAACCAAAAGTAAAGTGACATTTTCGAACCTTCAAACCAATAAGGAATGTGAATAGTATATTACAATTCGAGATGGGAAATTAGCTATTACTGTCGAGTAATTAAATTTCCTGTCGAGCATAGTATACTATTTTATTTTTAACCATAATTTTTGCTAATTTAAATTAGAAATGAAATTGAATGTGAACGTAGCTTCATGCTATTTACCTTAATTTCATGTCATTGTCATCAACTTTGAAAAAAGCTCAACAATACTTGCCATAAAAACATATTGAAATGAGGACGGGAAGTGAGGACAGGAAATGAGGACGGGAAGTGGAGCAGGTGAATGAAAAGTCAGTAAAGTGACATTTTCAAAAAGTCGGTAATGTCAACATTACATATATGGTTAAAAATAAAATTATATACAGAGTGTATATTTTAAGTGATACGACTATTGCTATATCCGAAACGGTAAAAGCTATAAGGGCGGTTAAATTAGAAAAAAGTTGCCCTTTTTGATGCCTATTTACGACTCGTTTACAGTGTTGCCAAATTCCTTTTAGTTTATGAAATACAGGGTGATTCCTAAAAAACACCCAAAAATATTTCATCAATTATTTCGAAAACTGTTGATTTTCGAGACACAATTTAAATTTGAAAGTTTTATATTTTTTTTCGTTCTACAACATGGCATGGCATCTTCAAATTTTAAATCCGACGTTTCGTGATCGAGCTACCATCATCAACTTAATTTTTTTAAATACGGATCTGGATTTTTTATGTCATTTTCAAAAAGCGCCCCTCTTTCCCTTTCTAAAAATAACATAAAAAATCCAGGTCCGTATTTATAAAAATAAAGTTGATGATGGTTGCTCGAGCACGAAATGTGGGATTCGAAATTTGAAGATGCCATGTTGTAGAGCAAAAAAAATTATAAAACTTTCAGATTCAAATTATGTCTCGAATATCAATAGTTTTCGAAATAATTAATGGAATAATTTCAGACGCTTTTCAGAAATCACCCTGTATTTCGTAAACTAAAAAGAATTTGGCAACGCTATAAACAAGTCTTGAATGGACATCAAAAAAGGCAACTTTTTTCTAATTTAACCGGCTTTGTAGCTCTTACCGTTTAGGATATAGCAATAGTGGTATTACTTAAAATATACACCCTGTATATGGTTCAAAATAAAAATAATTCTTACCTCTACATTACAATGTTTATCATGCAAATGTGTCATTAGAGAAAACCGTTTGCGCTTCAAAGCATCACATCTGTCCCATTGGCAAATGACTGCCTCATCATCTTTGGGACAATGAACTTCGCAGGCGTGCATGTACACTTGATTGGCAGATTTGAATTTTGTTTCACTATAAAAATAAAAAATTTGTTAATTATCATTCTAAAAACTAATAATGTAGGTATTATACTTACACTAAACAATCGCCCCATTCGCAAACAAACGAAGTAGTAAGGTCTCTTATAATTTTAACTTTAGGCACAACTTCATCATGTTTTTCAACTTTAATCCCATTACTTAGTGACGAAGAAGATGAAGCTGTACTAAGAGCGGGCGACGGTGTAGGACTCGGTCTAATGCTTTTCATTTGTTGTACATTATTCGAAACGCTTGAGGATTGAGCCGCAGGCCTAGGAACTTGGGTGACGACCATTTGCTGGCCCTGAGGCGTGACGACCATTTTTTGGTGGTGCGCCGCTGAACCGGCCGATTGTTGCTGCAGTATTATGATTGTTTTCGAGCCGACCGATTGTCCTTGCTGGGTCACCAGGACGGTTTGGGGTTGGCCGTGAACGACTGCCGTTTGAGGTTGGGCCACCATATAACCTGGAATAATGAAGGAAGGATGTAGAAATTACCAAAAAAATTGAGACCCATAAATGCAGTTCTATTAGTCAATAAGCAAAAAAAAGAGTCTTTTCACAGGAAAAATAAGAATATTTTCAAAGTAATGACTCAATACATATTCAGGTTAGAAATATTCTAAAACTTTTGTCTTAGAGCTAAAATTCAATTGAGAAGAATAATAATTCTATTCCAGGCTCTCCTAGAATATCCAACTCTCATGATTTCGGACCATCAAAAGAGAAAATGACGGATTTTTGATCCTCTTGGAGCTGAATATGAAATAGAAGAACAGTAAAATTTCAATTCCTGGCTCTCCTAGAGTAGAAATTGAGCTGGAAAAATATCGATTAGAGCTACAGTTGAAATAGAGCGGTTCGAGAATGAGCTAATTTTGCATCCCCATAGAGCTTGTAGTCCCTTAATTGTAGTCACTTGCTTGGGATGAAATTCAGTGAAAGTTTCAGCTTTCTATTTATAATAGAAAAAAAGTTATGACCTTTCAAAAATTACCTTCTTACTAAAACGATGAAATTTCAAATTTTTTTTGTTCAGATTTTGTATTCTAATTCTAATCTTGAAAGGCTAAGAATTCATTATACTTAAATTTCAAATTGATCCAGCGCAAAACAACGACATAAGAAATTCTAGAAAAATCAACGAAAATACACACTATATTATGGTTTCAAGAAATCTAAATCAACTTACCTTGAGATGAATTAGCAATGACATACTGTCCACCCTGTCCACTCTGAACCAGTTGCATTTGCCCCTGAAGCCCTTGCGACAATACAATTTGTCCAGCAGCATTAGGTTGAATAAGTACCGACTGCCTTTGTTGCACTCCGGCATTTTGTACTATAACCGTTTGACCAGATGCTGTTTTAATTGGGGTTCCTGAAAAAAAAAAAAATCAATTTGTTTACTCAATGGCATCGCCCATACATGTCAATGCTGTTGTTCCAAAATAAATCAGTAATTTAGCTGAGCAATTTTTCTAGACTTAAATCCTTACCTGAAGAAATGACAACGGATTGAGTGGACGTGTGCATTTGCGGTTGCGAAACGATAATTTGCCTCGATTGCGACAACATAACTGGCTGATTATTGTCAACAATCAACTGCTGAGGAGCGATTGGAGTTTCAACCACTGCAGGCTGAGCAGGCGGAGCCTCTTGCATCAACTCCTCCTCGTCTTCGTCTTCCAAAATATCAGCTGCAAAATCGGCAAACAGTTTAGCTGCCGCTGTAGACACCGTACTAGGCCGTTCCTCTTCGTTTGAACTGGACGAGTCGATGACTTCATTGCCATTCATTGTCAATAAATGCGGTTTTTTTGCGTCAACATTGCTTATTATGTCCATAGATGGCCGTTTGAGGCCTTGTTTATTATCCACAATGGGTGCTTGTAATTTTGGTTCTTCTATTTCAATTTCTTCTGTTTTAATTATAAAAGTACTGTGGTCTCTTTTTAAAGCTTTTTCAATATGATTTTCAATTAATAAATCTGATTTTTCTAGTTTCAGATCCTTGATTAATGTTCCATTTAATAGGTTTGGGGTTTTTTCGAATTTTTTCTCCAACAAATCAGCTAGTCTTAGAGGTTTATCCATGCTGATTTCGCTGCCTGGATTTTTTATAGAATCTTTGGAATTGCTGCTGTCATTTAAGGTTTCTTCTACTATAGGCATGCCGTTCAGTAATCCTTCGAAACTAGTCAAGGAGTTTTCATTGTCTTCAGTCGATGAAACTATGCCCATAGCCCCAACACTTAAAGAATGATGTCCTAAAGAGTCACTGTCCTCATTTATTATTGTGTTGGGTTTTACGTTGTTGCTTAGTGGGGCCAGTGGCGGAGGTGGAGGCTGGGGCGGCTCCTTTTTGCCTTTTATTGTACTGAAATGAGTTGTTGATGATACTGAAGGATCTCCAGTTTCTGTGTCGTTAAATAGTTGCCGCACTCCGTTGATTCTGTGCATTTTTAAGACGTTGAGTCGGTTTTGGTCTTTTGGGGGAGGATCTGAAGGGGTTTGTTGATTTAGTAGTCTTTGTTGACGTGCAGCAACCTAGAATTTGTGTTTGTGATTGAATTTTAATTGAAGCAAATTATTATTAGATTAATTAGAAAAATTTACTACTGTTTACTGTTTGAAAATCTACTTTAAAAGTAATATTTTTACTCTAGGCGTAATTTGTGGATCCTTTTTCTAATAACCTTATACAGGGTGTCTCAAAATTGCTATAGTAGAAAATTTGATTATGGCAGTTAATTCTAGTTATATACAGGGTGTTTCTAATTGAATGTCAATATTTGAGGGGGCGATTTTTGAGTCCATTTCAAGACGAAAACTTCATATGAATGTATGGCATAAATCTCTCAACTATTGAAATACAGGGTGATAAAATTTTCAAAAATAAATTATTATTAATATCTTTAATCCTACTGAAATCCCATGCAATCTGGAATATGGAATCCCAAGGAATCTTAATGCAATTCAATGGAATTTCTTGTGATTTTTCAGAATTATTTTCAGTTCAGCCATCTCTACATGTAGGTACAAACTGAAAACATCAACATTAAGCAAACTAAAGAATCCCATTGAAATCCCACTGAAATCCCACGAAATTCCATTGGAATTCCACATGCTTTATGTACAGGGTGGCCCGTTTATTTTGTTCTATCTCGGAATATGGAAATCTAGATGTTTTATGATAAAAATTTAAATACAAAAGCCTTCTCATCCTACATTAAATATACAGGATGTGCAATTTCAAAGAATGAAGAACAAAGACAATTTTCAAGGTCAACAACACCACAACACAAACTGAATGAACTTATTTTTGACAATTAGTTGACAAAGTAGACGATATATGTTTCCCTTTGGTCAAAATCCAACTTTAAAATATTTATTTTTAACGTTTCTACAATAATCTAAAAATTGGCCGTTCTCTGAAGATAACCGTAAATAAATTCGAAACCGTGTGTAACAACCCTACTGTAATTCCACTGAAAACTATACAGGGTGAGTTACTAAGCGCGCGGTGCGCGGTGGTCCATATCTCCTATACTAACGGAGATCGGAGAAAAAACTAAATACAAAACTTGTAGATAAACATGAATACTACATTCCTAAATTATTTCCCAGTATACAGGGTGGCCCAATAACTAGTAGTGACACAAGGTTATGTTTTTTTTTAAATGACTCCTCCTGTATATTATGACATTTCTGGATTCTGCGGAAAATTCTAGACATAAAGTATGTTTTTTTTTTAAAGATAATTCCCCAAGTCAAAAATTTAGTAACTATGTTGGCAACGCAAGCCTTTTCTACATAAAAAATTTGAAAGCATTGACAATTTACATAATGTCAGTTTGACTTTTATCTTTAAAAAAAAAGCACGGTTTATTTCATGTACAGGGTGTCCGAATTTGGATGGTTTTAATAGGAAACATCAATTTCTGAGCAAGATACTAAAAAATGAACCCCCCACTCCGAGGCTCAAATTTCTTGAAATTTTGATTGGTGCAAACCGCATTTTGATATCTTCAACTGTTTAGCCGCTAGAGGGCGATTCTCGATTTTGAGCAATAATGTGAAACCATCATAACTTTTTTGTTTATAAAAATTATTGATTTCCATAAAAACTTTCTAGAAGCACTTTTTCAAGCAGAATTCAATGACGTTCTCAGTTTTTTTCTAGTTGGTCCCAACTCCGAGATATTGACCAAAGTCTGGTTTTTTTCAATAGGACACTCTATATATTAATAGCTCATTAGAAAGCTCGGCTTTTTCTGATTTCAATGATAAAAGTTCGATAGGTTTATCTCTAATAGTTTTCGAGAAAAAAAATTATTTCGGTTTTTGTCATAAGAAGCAATGTGTTAGAAAAGGACTTTATATCTGTAAGGAAACAATGTGTTAGAAAGAGAGCTTTCTCATTTTCCTTACAGATATAAAGTCCTCTTTTCTAACACATTGCTTCTTATGACAAAAATCGAAAAAAAAAAAAATCTCGAAAACTGTTGAAGATAAACATATCGGACTTTATATCATTAAAATCAGCAAAAGCAGAGCTTTCTAATGAGCTATTAATCTATAGGGTGTTCCATTGAAAAAAATCGTATTTTGGTCAATATCTTGAAATGGAGGCCCAATAGAAAAAAACTGAAAACGTCACTGAATTCTGCTTGAAAAAGTGCTTCTAGGAAGTTTTTACGGAAATCAGTTATTTTCATAAACAAAAAAGTTATGAAGATTTCACAGTATTGCTCAAAATCGAAAATCGCCCTCTAGCGGCTAAACGGTTGAAGATATTGAAATGCGGTTTGCACCAATCAAAATTTCAAGAAATTTGAGCCTCGGAGTGGGGGGTTCATTTTTTTGTATCTCGCTCAGAAATTGACGTTTCCTATTAAAACCATCCAAATTCGGACACCCTGTACAATGTCATATACCTATCTTCAACTGTTTCGGAAGTATTGACAATTGAAAACTGACTTCTTTGCATCTTTGACAGACTGTAAAACCTGAACCGTTAATTTTACAAGAAAACGGATTTTACATTCCTATCTCAGTTTTTAATAAATTCTCATTTGGCACCAATCTTAAATTTAATCCATGATTAAAAATTCCGCCTAAATTATTAATCTTCGGTTAAATTCAAAGTTGGTGTCAAATGATAGCTTATGAAAATCTGAGATAGGAATGTAAAATCCGTATTCCTCTAAAATTAACCGTTTAGGTTTCACAGTCTGTCAAAGATGCAAAAAAGTCAATTTTCAACTGTCAATATTTCCAAAACAGTTGAAGATAGGTATATGACATTATACATGAAATATATCTAGACTTTTCCACAGACTCCAGACATGTCATGATATACAGGGGGAGTTATTTTAAAAAAACATAACTTTGTGTCACCACTACTTATTAGGTCACCCTGTATACTGGAAAATAATTTAGGAATGTAGTATTCATGTTTATCTACAAGTTTTGTATTTAGTTTTTTCTCCGATCTCCGTTAGTGTAGTATAGCGCGCTTAGTAACTCACCCTGTATATACAGGGTGTCCACTTAGTACGATATCGGACGATATCTCCTTACAGGGTGATGCAAGAAAAAAAAATTAAATTACAGAGTTGTTTGATACTCTAATGTGTATTAGTTAACAATATTTTCGAATATACAGGGTGCTCCGTTTATGGAGTGTGCAACAGAACTTTGTTTTTTTAAATTGAATATCCTGTATGTGATTGCATAATTGGATTTTATGTAAAATTCTGAGCAGATTTCATGTAATATACCCTATACCCTATACCTAAATTCAACTGTTTCGGAAATGTTGACAGTTGAAAATTTACTTTTTGCAACTTTGACAGGCTGTAAAACCTAAACGGTTAATTTTAGACAAAAAACCGATCTCACATTCCTATCTTAGAATTTCACAAACTATCATTTGACACCAACTTTGAATTTAATCCATGATTAAAAATTCCAGTAAAATTTAATCTCCGGTTAAATTCAAAAATGGTGTCAAATGATAGTTCATGAAAATCTATCAGTTTTCCTCTAAAATTAACCGTTAAGGTTTTACAGTCTGTCAAAGTTGCAAAAAGTCAATGTTCAACTGTCAATATTTTGAAAACTGTTGAACTTAGATATAGGGTATATTACATGAAATCTGCTCAGAATTTTACGTAGAATCCAAATATGCAATCATATATAGGGTGTTCCATTTAAAATAACAAAGTTCTGTAGCCCATAAACGGAGCACCCTGTATATTCGAAAATATTTTTAACTAATGTATATTAGAGTATCAAACAACTTTGTAATTTAATATTTTTTTCTTGCATCACCCTGTAAGGAGATATCGTCCGATATCGCACTAAGTGGACATCCTGTATTTATATTTGTATTCAAAAGCGTTATCATAAAATATAATAATAATGTTCCTTTAAACAAAATTAAATCTGATGTGTTACACTTCTTTGACACCCCCTGTATATGCGCAAATACAAAAAAAAAAAACAAATTGATGATTTATTAAACCCTACAACTCTTGTATTGAACTTTTTGTCATAAATTATCTAGATTCCTATATACCGAGATAGGACAAAATAAACGGACCACCTTGTACGTACACTATAATTCCAAGGTAATTTACCCCTCGGGACATATGTGCATATGAAATTTTCTTCTTCTTAAAATTGACTCAAAAATCGCCTCCCAAACACCCAGTATTTTTTCAAAACATTGTAATATCCATATTATTATTATTACATACAGGGTGTCCATATAATCGACCAACGACGCTTGACAGGCGACAGACCTCGAAATTTAATAAAAATTGCAGCTTTGTGCGGCTAGATCAATCACTTGTTAAGCCATTGTTAGTTAACCAAGACCTTAGAACGATTGATGTCAATATAACATTTTTATTGTGTAGAACATTCTAAAGGCCAGTTTCACAGACAGTGGTAACCACAAAACATACTACATATATATTTATTTCATAGTGTCTGGTTGAGCCAAAAACATTAACCCGAAATTATAGTTCCATAACCAGTGCAGGTTAACACAAATTATGAAAGTGGGCCCAAGGTTATTGTTTACTAACGAGCAGTTACCAAACGATTGATCTAGCGGCCCTAGAGTGCTTAATTTTCAAAATACAGGCTGTCAAAATTAGCTTGTATTTTTGATTTTTGTCAATTATTCCTCCATAGAACGACACACATATAAGGGTGTTTGTCAAATTGAGATGGAGAATGTGGGGGATACCTATATCTATTTATCTTATTAGCGAATTATGGAAATCATTCCTTGTCTAAAAAATATTATACTGGAAGTTAGAAATATACCAAACCTAACAGCAATGAACTAGAGAGAGAAAGGTATCCCAAACTATATAGCTATCTTTGGACACACTAAGAGAAAGACAAATGCTATATCTGACAACGATGGGTGCCATTCAGTACGTATACGTTTCAGTTCATTGATGTTATGTTATGTCACTACATAAACTTTCCTTATACTTGACATATTGCTTTGCACTTTCATTGTATGTACAATGTTGCCAGATGGAGCATTTATCAAAATAGAAGTGCAAGCGATGTCAACAGACACTAGCTCTTAGAACAATGCAATCTGGCTACACTAGAACCCATTAGTTGCCTACGCATGTCATGTTTTATTACTTTCTAACTTGTATTCATCACATTAAGCTACTTTTTATAGAAATGCGAGGTCTAGTACCTATCAAGAGTTGTTGGTCGAATATTCGTTCACCCTGTATATAAATTGCCTCTCCTCTCTAGGCAATTTCGAAAACCTTATAAATTGTTTATACACAAAATAACACATCTATTTTTAGTTTTTCTTGTTAAAAAAAATCCCATGCATTTTATCGAACACATCAAAACGATATTTCTGACATTCAAAATACAAAATACAACAACAAAAAGCTACACAAAAAAAAAAAAAACTGGCAGTAGTTAGTGGTGTTACCTGGGCTACATTTTGGCAGTCTGTGGTAGTAGTAGTAGTAGTAGTACTCTTCATGCTCACTGCTGGCAAGCATGCATCGTTTACCTTTGTTGCCAATAGGCTTTTAATAAGGGAACTGCTATTACTCTGTCCGAGGTGATGCTCTTGCTTGATTTCGACCACTTTAACCGATGACGTAGTCCCAGTAGTCGAGGCGCTGCTACCTAGTAGCGCGTTGCTCAAGTGAGGGTGGGCTATCGCCTTTTTTGGGGGGGACAAAATTAGTTAATAATGAGGAATTCCATTAAAAATAGTTAGTACTCAAATCAATCTAAAAAAACTGCTAAATGTATGGATACAAAATTTAAAAAAAATGAAGGCAAACAAAAACATCTACACAAAAAAAAAAGAAAAAAACAAACTACACAAGAGGATTGTATAAGGTTAGGATAGAAAAAGGCTCCACTGTTAACTGTTATTCTATAAGTTCAGGTACCCCATATAAAAGCGCTTTTAATTAAAATGATGATGAAAAGACAGAGAAAGAGTGTTGTCCACTTTTCTATTACTAGCAACTGAATATTTTTAAGCATGATAACAATATTATACTTTTTTTTTCAGTCAGAGAATTTCCGCCTCCACCATATAAAGAAAGCGATTTTTTCTTTTAAAGTAATAATTATTACCTGACTTTTAGGGTCATTGGTGGTCTCTCGTGGTTTTGGCGGAGCGCTCAGCTGAGCCTTCAAAATAGGAGAGATGGGAGATAAAACATCAGTCTCGGGTTCCGGTTCGACAACCAAAGGCGCAGTAGTACTGGTTTGCACCACTGGCGCTACTTTAGGTTTTCGCCTTACCGTTGCCAAAGACGTTGGTTTGGTCTGAGGAGGAGGGGCAGCGGTGACGCTAGGAACGGGCTTGGGTGATAGAGGAGGCGGGATATTGAGTTTAAGTGGTTGGGAGCGCACCTTGATACCATCGTAGTACTGCGGATCGCTCGGATTGGCCGGTTTCATCGGGTTCGGGCCTACTGTTCCACCGAATACTGACCTGTAACAATGTGTTTATGTGAGAAAATTAAATTGACTTCACGAGACTAGAGGAAACAATCAATGTGGCAACTTGATGTGGTTAATACATTTTTTACTCACAGATTTCGCATCCACATCTTTTCTATTATGCCAATAAAGACGAACGTTCAATGTAAACAACTGAGAGTCGGTTTCCCAATAGCCAGGTTGGTTTTAACCTTAGATTATATACCTACAATACTGTAGACAGTACAAGGTGCCTGTTTGTTTTTCTCCAACATTGATGCATATTATAAACACCACATTACTTTGCGTAGTAAAATAGATCCATCGTATTTATGCAATGTCCTTTTCCAACTTCTTATACAAGACAAAGATACCGCTAGACGTCAAGGAACGCACCCCTGTTGGCTGCAGCCACAACAAATTTTTAGCTGCGCTCATCAGTCATTGATAAGTAATTTTAAGCGCTTGTTGATGTTAGGACAAACAATTTGGTGATTTATGAATGAGTTGTCTCGTCTCTACAGTATTGTAGGTATATAGTCTAAGGTTTTAACTTCAGATTAAACATGTCCAGTTGCAATGTTTACCTTGGAGTTAGGCTTAAGCCGGGGGTAACTTGCTATCGAGAAACCGGCCCTGACAACGATAAAAAAAAAGGTTGAATCAGTCGATTACGGAAATCTTGATTACAAAGACCTTTGCTAAATACCAAGTGGCTCAGAAAAATGCTGCATTGGCAACCAACAGAGGAAGTCCAAAACTGGAATGCCAGAAGACCATACAAAATTACATGATTGAAAGAAAACTTTCATCACAAATTTATGTCGATAAAAGAAGATGGAAATTAAGTGTCAGATAACGCAAAAAGACGTTCGAAAACAACATAAAGTAGGTACCTTACTAAAACGATGAAATTTCAATTTTTTTTTTGTCGAGATTTTGTATCCTAATGGTCAATCAACATACCCCAAACTCCATATACTGAATTATTGTCAGATTTGAAGCCGAAATCTATGAAAAAAGGCACTCAGAAAAACTGAAAAATTAATAAATCACCCCAAATTGCTTAACACGATTTTATCTCAGAAACCATAAGTCCAAATGAGTTGAAATTTTCAGGGATTGGAGTCATCTACTGGAATAAGAATCGCTGAAAATTTCAGCTTTCTATCTATAATAGAAAAAAAGTTATGATCTTTCAAAGTTTTCCAAAAATTGATAAATCACCTAAATTGCTTAAGTCTGACAGAAACTAGTAGTTTTTTTGACCCATGTATGGCTGCCACGCCATCTTCAATGTCACGTGGTTTGGATTGCCTACCATAAACTTTTGTCATTGGGTTTACCAAAACTTTGAAGAATTAAGTAATGCTTTAAAATCACACTGCAACAAAATTCTCACCTGACACATCTTGGAAAATGTAAAGGAGAAATCACACCCCTTCGTCCAATTTTCTGACAAGAACTGATGTAATGCTTGTACAATTCCTGATGATCAATCCTAGACTTATTATTCGCAGCAGTAATGGGTTCGTAAGTGGCTCTCAGCCAAGCCAAAGCAAACTGTTCGTTTTCCTGGACGGTCTGCTGGTGGGCGTGTTGCTGCTGAATCAGCTGCTGCGGAGTCAACGATGACGATGCTGCAGGCGGAGTCACTGCTGGAGCGATTTTGGTCACTGCTGGTTTTGCTATAATTGGTTCTGAAACAAAATTATTATAAAAATCAAGACTAAATTTCTACAAACAAATAACTCACCAACTTTAGCTGGAGCTAAAGTAGTATTCAAAATCCTTTGTGGAGCAATTGATACATTTCTAGCAGGAGTGTTTTGGTTATTGTTCATTACTTTCACTGGAGTGACACTGGGTGCAGGTGGTGAATTAGTCATTGAAGTGAGTACTGGAGTACTATCTACAGTGGTAGGGGTATTAGTAGTTGCTGCTGGGGTTGGTGAAGTATGCTGAGGAGTAGCTTGCTGTGTCTGCGTTCCAGCAGGAATTGTTTCAACTAATTTCATACCGATACAAGCTTTTGGTCCATAACTTTTTCCTTCTACAGTTACCAGTGATACTAAAGTATCAATAACGCCATGATTGCTAGCAATAAAGTTACACGACCTTTCGCCTAAAGATGACAACGAATATAGACATTCTAATGTGTAAATTAACAACATGACATCGTGAATTGTAAGGAACGAGCAGACTCTTTTATATACACTGGATTCCAAAGAACGAATAAGCACGTCTTCGTTTTTGTCATTTTGGCTTAATTTGTTTAATACTTCAACAGATGAGAGACAAGATGCACGATCATCACTTTGCAAATTCTTACTAATTAGTTTTAAAAATGAGGCGGCAATTAAATCAGTGCTAGTGTCTTTCAATTCGTATTCAGTAGCTATGTTCCCTAACATATCCAGGCCTAAATTTTTCAATGCACTCCACTGCGAACACGAACATAATAATAAAAACCTAATAAAAGACGTATTGTTTGATAAAACAGACAAATTGTCTTCCATGAAACACATATTTCGTAAAATGGTGGCTATTTGTAATACTCGTTGGCCCATATAATCTTGGGTGCCCAAAGTTCGTCTTAAACAAAACAATTCTTTATCGGCTGTGTCAGATTTAAAACTAAAATACTTTGGCGGCTTTAAACTATCTTCTATTATTTCACATTCACAATCGTTTTCACTTGCGTTATTCTTTGACGTGCTTTCTGTTGTAGAGTCAAGACCGGCATATTTTAAAAAATCATCTTTTATCAACGTATCACAGGCTTTTTCTTCATTAATTTTCCCAGAAAAGTTAGCTTCGTTTGTGAGATCCAAAAATTCATCTGATTCGAGCACGTCATTCCAAAAATTATGTATCGGCTTTTTCCTCACTTCGTTATAAGTATATACAAAAAGTTGTCTAAGAGAGCCTAAAAAATCGATCAAAATATTTTTTTTTTATTTGTTACAATGCTTAAATGCTCATACTCACTATGATTAAAAATTCCCGCGTGCGCCAACAAAAAATTGATCACTCTCGGATGTTTATCCAACTTTATAGTGTGTCTGTTATCGTTCGAGAGTAAAGTGCACACGTTAATCGCGAAATCTTGTTCGTTGGGCAACGACGATATCAACGAGAGAGCCAGTCTATCGTAATCGGACGCTTTGTACAGATTTTGGTCCAAACGGTGTACTTCACGTTTGTCGTCTAGAATGGAAATAATTTAATTAGTTTTTGGTACTTTTTCTTTGTTGCATAAATTCCCAGTCTCAGACAATTCAATAAACTTGCCATTTGTAATCGAGAAAGGTTATTGGCCTTTTGAAGCTATAATTAAACATACAATTTTATTAATAAATACAGGGTGATCCCCTGAAATAAAACCTTCATCAAACAAAATTATTCCCTTTCCAATCAGAATGTAAAGAGGGTGTTAACTAAGGGGTGAAGATTGGGTGTAGATTTCACAGCACATGGGAGTCAAAATAAGCTGAAAAGTGAGTTCATTAAATGCTCAGAGGGCTCAATTCCCGACCCCACCACCAAACAACAAGCAGAGAAAGGGTAAATCAATATGCTGTTTGCACCTCCGATTCGCCACGTTGCCGCCGCTAACCGCACAGGCACGACCGAAAGGAGAAAATGTTTTATTTATCGATTTTGAGCTTCTCGATGCAATAATTTTCGTCACGGTGTGGGAAAAATGCGCTGGATAACGAGTTGGACATTAGAGGGGGATGGATGTTTATATGTAGAGAGATATTTATATTGTCTCTCTTTTGCAACAAGATAATCAATATGTGGAATAAAAATTTGCCTAGAGAGTTATTGAGAAATAATACTTTTCTATTATTATTTAAGATGACTTATTTTGCTATTTTTGAATTTTATTGCTGGAAAATTACACTTAGGTTTTCAAAAGCCAAATGCACCTATAAAACTCGAAAAGCATATTAAAATTTTACATTTTAACAACTGAATCGAATTTCATTTACCGCTCCATATAAATATGCTATGTAATTTTCAACTAAAATTCTAAATATACAATGGGGCGTTAAAAATTCGTGAGTAAGCATGGGAATCTTGGTAACTACGAATTTGTAGAGAATTTAATGCTCTTCTTAATGGTATATAATTTATTTTGATTTGCTTGAATTTTAATGAAAATATTGGCAATTTTTCTTAACCTTGTCAAGAGGGATCAACCACTATGCTTACAAATGTACAATAATTTCCATATTTGGCAATCATCAGATCAATGGATCTCATGTATTCCCATCCCAAGAATTGCGTCTGATTGCCAATGATTTTTAGATATTTTCATATGATTACCATATCATTGCCAATTGATTACCTGATTTCCTCGATTATTTCCTACAATCATCCAATTTCCAAGTGATTTTATTACAAAAATGATGTCTAATTGTTAGGCTTCACATTGATATGACTAAAATAAATTTTCTCTTATAAAACTACATTTCCACTGGAAAATTGGCAACTTCTGTATTTGCAACTCTTCCAAAAGATAGCAACTTTTATTTTTATGGTTGTCCACACCCACACTGATTTTGTTGTAGGTATAAATAATTATTGAGATACCATTGTGTGTATACACTGCATAATATGGATCTAAAATGATGGATATCTCTTGGATTTCACTAGGATGCTCATCTGAATCCGAGACATATTCAGTTAGGGTTTCACTCTACAAACTTATTTCTGATTCAGATGTGCTATCGTCTCTGCTTCTCGCACTGCCAAGTATGTGTGAAAAAATTCTGTGTCTTCTTTTGACAAGTCGGAACCGATTCAAGATTCAGTTTTTCATTTTTATGCTCTACAACATTGTCATACTTTAGGTCTGATCTCACAGAAATCACAAACCAGTCAGAGCGAATTTCATTAGTTGAAAATAGTTAGAAAACTGGTTGTTGGCGATTTGCACCAATCAAAAACACTCCGAGTGGTTTGTAATTTCTGTGAGAACAGATCTAATCTTCATCTTCTTCAAGTTCTAAACTCTTCACAGTCTCAGGTTCAGTTATTGGGAAACTCATTAGGATATCAAATTCATTTCGAACTGTCTACCACTCAATGTTGCCTAAAACTTAGTCTTAATACAACACTGACCAGTACGCTGTATGGTTTAAAATGTATGATATGCGATTTCTGGGTTAGAATGAGATGATATTCCCAGCGATTACCACATGATTCTTAGCGATTACCAATGAGTTCTTATGTAATTCCCATGGAGTCCTAGGAGATTCCTAGCGATTCTCAAGGACTCCAAAGTGATTTCCATGTATTCCTGATTGATTACTATGTGATTCCCAAAAAAATGTACAATGATTTCCACTAATGGTTTACCCTTCGCCTTGTCAGGATTTTTAGAAAAATTGAAAAGTTCCTTTTTAATTTTTTTCCTCTTCAAATTGGTTACTTGGAAATGGGCTTAGGGTTTTTTTTGACTAAATCAAATATGCTCTATCGATTGTGGAAAGGTTAAAATGCGAAAAATATAAACAGTTTAAATTTTAATTTTTTTCATAGGGTGTCCATTTGGATTCTTATTTCAAAATCTTCAATCTTCAATATCTTGAAATCCGTGATTAAGCTCAAGACCTTATCATTTATAGTACAGAATATACTGGCACCAAGGCCTGAGATAATAATTACCATATCCCCATCTTACGAATTTGTAACACCTTGTAAACATGTTGGTCTTACATTTTAGGCATAAAAATAGATTGATTTCTAGGTCACTGATAAACACACAATTATCAAAATCCATAATTATATTTTACATTGTGAGGAATAATGATTGAAAAAGGTTACCTGAAACATTATGCTGCGAGTAAATGTAAGCGTGAGGCACAGAGTGCAGCGCCCGTGCGGACCAGCGCTTATGCCTGCTTTCCTCGTCGTCGTCGCTGCCTCGGTCTCCATCCTCGCCGAGAAAGTGCACTTTTTCCCAACGGTCCAAATACCTGAAAGAAACATACATTCGATGCATATCAAAATTGCTTCATTATTGAAGATATAATCTTATTGACAAAGCTAAATTACAGATGAAAAGCCTTAAAACTGGCAGTAAAAAAAAATAAAAATAACGCACACTTATAATACAGATTAAAATAAAAGCAAAAATTAAACAATAAAACCGGAAAACAACCAAGCAGTGACCCAAGAATCACTGGAAATTCTCCTGAAAAAATTCTTTAATATCAACGATTATGTGTTATAATTGTTTATGAACTTTCACTACAGTATGTATTACATAGTTTCTCTTCAAGTTTGGATTGTTCTTATCAAAAGAAATCTGCTGGGGAGTACTGTTTTAATGTTGAATTTATTTTTCATTAATTAAGTATGTGGGATTTAATAATTCAGCAGTTTTTCAGGAAAAAATTAACATTTTTGTAAATACATTTTGATGCCTCACAAAAATTCACAAAATCAATAATAAATTCATCATTTCTAATTTGTTTCTTGTTTATACAATGACAAACCCTCCTCAAGTACATACATGTATTTGTCTTGTCTTTGTCTGATATGTATTGTTTGTATGTTTTGATGCTTTTATATTGGTAAAAGCGTGTGAAATTTGTCAAAAACTGATGTATGTGGGAAAGTGAATATTTTTTAACGTTCAGAGTAACGTTAACTAGCCCGGAAAACCTTGGAAACAACCATCCAACAAGGTACCACATCCATTGTTTATAATTAATTTCCGAATCAGCTTATTAGCCTTCAGCGATTAGTCAGGGTCCCTGTTACCGCCGATAAGTGCACTACATCAACATCACAGCAGATGCTGTACTGATAAAAAAAAACCACACCGTGTGTTCACATTGTCTAAACCATGTCAAGGAAATTCAAGTGTTGTGGCAAAGACTTTTCCAGTTTTTGTTGCATGTACAGCCGTATAAGTATCATCCAAGCTGTCTTGGCTGGAAAAGTGGTTTTACAAAAGTAGAGGATCAGAAAATTTACTGCTCTGTAGCCTGTCAGAAAAGTATCAACCCAGACAAAAAAAAAACAATATAAGCTCTTAGAGAAGTTAAAGAAACTAACCTCTGAGGCCAACAGCCTAAGGGAAGAAAACAAAAACTTGAAAGAGGAAAATGAGGCAGCACAAAAAATCATTGAACAGGTCAGAAAAGAATCAAGGAAATAAAATTTGAAGTTTGAGGAAGTTGAAGAAAAACTGGCAAGTAAATCAGACCAGCAGCTTAACAAAAACAAGATTGGAGCTATCTTGAAAGAGTCAATTAATGAAATCAATGAAAGCCTTTCTAATAAAATGCATAGGGTGGCTGAGAGTATCAAGGAAACAAATGTCGAATTGGTGAAATTGCTGAATTAGGTGACAATAGCTTTGTTTTGGTTCGAAATTTGGACCAGTTCTGGGATTGCGCAGAACTGCTTGCGCACAAAAAATAATAGAGGACTGTTCTAATACTAGTTCTGAACCGATTCGGAACCAAAAAAACCAAAACACGCCGCAAATCACAAAATTCTAAAACAGTTCCTCCTTCAGAGCAAGAACTGAGAGAACCGTTCTAGAACAATCACAAAAAAATCTGTAACTCAGTTAATAATCAATCAATTCTATTTTTTCTTCTACTATTTAGGAGCACCTAAAAAGCACCTAATTCTGATACAAAAGAAAATTTTGGAAAAATATTTTTCACTATAGAGGACTACTAGCTTTCATAAACTTAGCAATCCCTTAGTTTTTTTTTTGATTTTCTCAAAAACTAGAGGAGCACCTAATTTTTAATTAGAGGCCCTAATTAGCACCTAAAAAGCACCTAATTATTATATAGATCCCGAAGTTTTTTTGGAAAAATATTTTTCACTATAGAGGACTTCTAGCTTTCATAAACTTAGCAATCCCTTAGTTTTTTTTTTGATTTTCTCAAAAACTAGAGGAGCACCTAATTTTTAATTAGAGGCCCTAATTAGCACCTAAAAAGCACCTAATTATTATATAGATCTCGAAATTTTGTTGGAAATATTTTACACTATAGGGGACTACTAGCTTTCATAAACCTAGCAATCGCTTAGTTTTTTTTTTTTGATTTTCTCAAAAACTATTAGAGTCCCTAACTAGCACCTAAAAAGCACCTAATTATTATATAGATCCCGAAGTTTTTTTGCCATTCTGACACACAAACAAGTAAACGTAAAGCCAGCAGTCCCCTAATAATTAAAAAAAAATCTGTAACTCAGTTAATAATCAATCAATTCTATTTTTTCTTGGACTATTTAGGAGCACCTAAAAAGCACCTAATTCTGATACAATGAAAAAATTTGAAAAAATATTTTTTACTATAGGGGACTGCTAAGCTTTTATAAACCTAACAGTCCCTTAGGTTTTTTTGATTTGCTCAAAAACTAAAGGAGCACCTAATTTTTAATTAGAGGCCCTAATTAGCGCCTAAAAAGCACCCTATTATTATATAGTTCCCGAAGTTTTTTCCACCTTGGGACTGCTAGGTTTATAGACTTCCCTTCTGAACATTGTCAACTCGTCTCTAATTCCCAGGCGCATGGAAAAACTCGAAGATAATACCCCTCCAGAAAAAAGAAAATATCACAGATCCATCAAACCTTCGGCCCATTAGCATTTTGCCGCCTGCTTCAAAGATACTTGAAAACTTCTCCTTCAGCAACTTTCGTCATTTGTTGAAGAAAACAACATAATATTGCTTAATGAACAATCAGGATTTAGAAAACCGTACAGTACCAGCACAGCATTGTTTAAGACAAATGACGACATACTGACCTCTTTGGACAGGAATCGAATAACCATCCTTATCCTTCTAGACATGTCCAAAGCATTTGATAGTATCATTCAGGACCTTCTGCTCTCAAAGCTTTCATGTTATGGTGTTCAGGTGGAATGGTTTAAGAATTACTTGTTTAACAGACACCAAACTGTCGAACTAAGGAGCAAAAATCAACGAAGATTTGCGAAGTTTAATCCCACGGACAAAAAATATGAACGTTCTCAAAGTTAATGTGTCTAAAACTGATGCCATTGTGTTTGAAGGTAGAAGGAATGTGAAAGAAATCTTGGCTGGTCAGCTTACCTTGAACACTGAAGCATTAAGATTTAGTGAATATGTTATAAACTTGGGTCTTATCATCATCGACAAAAAACTGAACTATGCAAAACAAGTGGCGTCCCTAGGTAAGTAAATCTTCTTTTCAACATTAGAAGAACTTTAAAATTTAAAAACTATCTTCCTCAAAGTGCAAAGTTAAGACTGTGCGATTCTTTAGTACTCTCTAAATTAGACTAAGTACTGTGACACTGTTTATGGTCCGTGTTTACGTGCTAAAGATGCAAGAAGGCTACAAAAAATTCAGAATTCTTGCGCTCATTCCGCATTACAAATCCCTCGAAAAAAACATATTTCTCCATACTTGAAAGACATTCAGTGGCTGAGCATGAATGAAAGAATATGGGTGCATCTCTGCAATTTCACACACAAGGTGATTTTGGCTGAACAATCCAGATATTTGTATGAAAACTTGGAATTCCGAAATATGGCCCATGCAAGGGAACTTAGACATGCACCAGCTTCTTTAACAATTTCCTTCCATAATTCCGAACTTTCCAAAAACGGTTTTTTCTACTAGCGGATATCAAGGCTTTAATTTTACCAGTTTTTAGAAACCATATAGTAACCAAAACTCTTAATGGTGGTGATTTTGCTGTACTTTGAGATTTTTCTTTTCTTTTCTTTCTTTCTTTTTTTTTTCTTGTGTCTCTCATTACTACCATATTTGCTTCCAAGTTTTTAGTGATGTATATTTTTGATTTTTGTATGCTTAAGTACTTTCTAATTGACATTGTGGTCAACCAATTTCTTAAAAATTGTAAAAACCCCATTTGGTTTGTAAACCCTGTATTTGCACAATGAACGATTCATTATTATCATTATTATTATATTTTAGATTTTCACGATTTTCAAAATTACTGGAATTTATTTTGGAATATAAACTCCTGCTCCTATCACAAAATAAATATAGAATCTTCCTTTTTCTACTTCAAAAATTTCATAATTTCTCCTCCCTTAATTTTTGAAAAAGCATCAAATTGCAGAGGGAATTTTTATAAATTTTTCTGTCCTTACCCTGTTAAAATACCTTCATCGATCCCTCCATAATGACGACCTTCAATCAAGCAAAATTTCATTGTGATGGTAATAACAGGCCTGTGAAATGCTCCGACAATACTAGTTTTGGCCCTGCTAAAGCCAAAATTGAAGTAGAGAATTATAAAATTCCGTTATTGGATCATTCTAAAGTTAAAATTAAGCCAGAGGTCGTTTTTGAACCTTGTACAACTGAAACTCAATAAGGAAGGCCTAAAAATCTTAGAATTTGGTTTTGAAGCTGTATAAATATCCTATTATCAGCTCCTTGAGGAGCCAAAATTGAAAAAACTTCCATTACTGATCATTTTAGAATTAACATTGAGCCAGAGGGCTTATAGAACTGGAATTTAACATAAGCAGCATTAAAATATACTCCATTATAGAGATAAAATTTGAATTCTTAGAAATGCCAAAAAATCCCATTTTCCATTGAGCCAGAAATCAATTAAAAATCGATTTCTAAGGTAAAAATTGAATGTAGAAACATCATTGAACCTTGAAAGCTGAAATTCACCAGAAGAAGCTTCTAAATCCTAAAATCTACTCTCCTAAAAGTGAAATTTGAAATCGTATTCCTGGCCTTGATGAAGTCAAAATTGAACTAGAAAAATATAGAAATGCGATTGAGTCCAGTTGAAATTGAGCCAGATAATATTTTTGAAGCTTTTAAAGAGGAAATTCAACTAGAGAAATCTTAAATCAACTTTACTGGAGCTGAAATTTGAATCAGAAATACATGAAAATCCCATTCCCAGTCCTGTTGGAGCCAAAATTAAACTAGAGAAATATTGAAATTTGATTTCAGATTATTCTAGAGTTAAAATTTACATTTTTAAATCTCCTAAAGCTCAAATTCATGCCTAAAAGTCTTAAAATTTGCTCTCCTGAAGCTGAAATTTGAATTAGAAATGCTATTATTGGCCCTTCTGGAGCCAAAACTTTGGAATGATCTGCTTAATGATAGGTATTGATTGAATTGATTGATTGAACCTCGAATAATTTTGATTTCTAGTTTGCCAAAAATACTTGAACAAACTATTATCAGTATTTTTTTTATTTATGCACATTTTAATTGCCTCATTAATATTCAGTACATACAATAAAGAAATAAATAAATATAGTATTAATTTTAAATGCGATTCAGCAATCCATTTTGATAGCGCCACCTCTGTTCACTTTTACGTTGGAGTTTCCAATATAGAAAACTTAGTCATAAGATGACTCAAGCTTTGTTCAACTTGGTAGGTAGAAATTTTAGTTCCTACTCGAACGGCGGACAAACAACGGTTTTTAATGAATCGAATGGCATCGAACGTACGTAAATAAATACCCACCTAGACTAAAGTGAGACATGGTTGGTTTAAGCATGGCGACAGTACACATAGCGATGCAACTTATCGCTCTCTGACACTGACCTAGTCCAAGTCGACGTGAGAAAGCCAGAAATTGGAGAGGAGAGAGAGGGGGGAGCAAATAGGCGCCGTGCGACCACGTGATTATGCAATATGTATATAGTAGTCGCAGGCAGAGGAGGGTGTTCTTTCACTTTAGCAGCGCTCTCCTCCACAGTGTCGGTCAGGGTGCCCAGCTGGTCTGATGAATTTTAGTTTCGCTTTAGTCGGCAGCGTGCGTTCAGTTCACTAACCGAACCATGCGTTCTTTTATCTAATTTTTGGTCCTACACAGTCAGCGACATTCAGTCTAGTCTACCTCTCCGGCAGACTGCTTGGCTTGGCTTGTCTCGTGCGAACAGTGATTCCCAACCAATACATAACATCACACAGTTTTAAGCTAGAATGGTTGCAATTGTTGCCATTCTCACTTTATTTTGAATGCTGAAGGTGATGCAATTGCATTAATAATCAATCAACTTATTTTATTTATGGTTAGGCTTTATTATTATTAGCTTCAATAAAACCTAAAACCTACCAGAAGCAAATTACTTCCTACCAATTATTAGCTTATTAAATATTCATTAGATCCCTTTTAAGACTCAGTAGCTACCTGTGGTAATATAAAGTCCTACTTGCATATTGAATTATTACCTTATTTAAATTGCATTTTAGTATAATGCCACCATTAAAATCCTCATCATATGAGATTAACAGTTTTTCTATCCATGTAAGTAGGTACCAAATTTGAACAAAACTTGATTTTTTTCATGGTCTCTATTCTCTAGGTATTGAATAGAGACAAAAAAAGAGTTGACTTTTATTCTAGAAAAAAATCTTTCAATTTCAACGGGGGTAGTCAAAAAACTAAATTTAGCAAAATATTTCTCTAATATGTCCAATTTTCAAAATAAAAACTAAGAATTTATATTTTTGCTTTTAACTTCGGTTGTTATAAGAAAAATGACTAACACAATAATTTCAATATGTTTTCGAAAAATATAAAATTGGTCTATTGCGTATTTGAACAACAGTGTTGCCAGTGCTGTTGATTTTTAATCAATCAGTACCTAATCTAGCTCTGAAAAACACAATCAAAATGACCATGAAATCCATGGAATTTTTGTACTGCAATTAATAAAAATTGATAAAACAAAGTTCACTGTAAAATGTTGAAACTAGAGCAATTTTGTATCAAGTATTAATGGAATTTTCCTAAAAAAACCTGTCTTTCCAAAAAGCCTATTCAGTAGATGGACTTTCCAACACTTTAATTGAATATTAAATAAGCCAAACACATTATGTTCAATTTAAGAAACGCAAAATCAAATTATTCAAAAATTCTTACCTCAAATAAATTTGTTTCAGAGCTACAGAACCATTCACGCAAAGAGATGGCAACTTGAGGTATTGCAGGAAACTGTCCCAACAATTCTTGGAGTTGACCTGCAAAAAAAAAATAATGTTATGATATAGTAAAATATAAAAAAATACTAGAATTAATTCCTGAATTTTTTGACTGCAATAAAACCCCAATACTACCCTGGGCCATACAAGTTTGTTAATTTGCAACTCTTTGCTAAATACCTGTCACATGAATGTACTATCATTTTTTGAAGTTCCAAAAAATGGGCTTGAATCAGCTAGATGATTCATGGCAGTAGAGTGAAATGATATAATTTGAAATATATTTTGCCATATAAAGTAGATAGCTTATGTGAAGTCACGACACGACACGACAATAAAGTAAGATAAAATATTCAGTGACATTGTCCTATCATAAAAAATAAACTCGTTCCATTGTAATCTCTTTTACTGTTCAGGCTTATAAGTGTGTCCCATCTGCAAGCCTGAAACGTGCAGCAGGCACAGAATAGAAACAACAGTTTACACAACGAGTTTTTAAACTTAAACGGTCGACGAACTGAAAAGGCTGCTGCTGCTTATTGTGGCAGACAAGACAGTGTTGCCGTAATTTCCTTAAGCAATCAAGCCAGTGTATACCTAATTTTTACTTAAAAAATGCTCTAGTGGGGACCATTGTCAATGGGAAACTCGCGGATATTCGATGGAGAGTCGCCACAGCGGCACAGTAGAGGGGCAAAGGGAAAGGACAACAAAACAGTGAGTCCCTGACCTAGACCAAGTCGCGGCACGCGCCACTTTTGTGATGACTATGATGCAGTGCAGGACGACTGAGGGGGGGCCACCTTTTCCTTTTACCCAGCAGAGCATGGGTCGTCGCACGGCGCCATATCTACTACTGCTGTTAAATCCAGACTTTTTCAGTTTGTTCGAGAACGGCCGCGGGGCTGATGCTTACACGAAATTTGAACACTTTGCAGCGTACCTGTATATGTACAAAAATAAAATTCCTAACTAAAATAATTAAAAATACTCAAGTAAATGATTTGAGTTAACTCTAGCCTTTTAATTATTATTTTGTTTATACGTTAACTAAATTTCTAAAAATACAAATTGTATTGATTATATCAGTTAATGATCCTCGTCTTTATATCAGTCACACATTTGACCAAGTATTATCTACTTAATTTGGAGCTTGAAACCCAAGTTGAGCTTTCTTGTGTATAAATAAGATTTTATTCACTATTAGACTAGACTTGTTTTGGATCAACTTCTTTTCACAGAAGGAATTTTGGTTTTTTAAATAATCTAACAGTAAGCAAGACGTGTGCTCTTTTGTAAAACTAAAACATTCAACCGAACTTAAGTAATATTTAGCAAAAATAATAAAACATACTCATTAACACAATATGACTAGCAGGTCTCTCAATCTGAAACAAAAGTTTTTGAAATAGGCTGTAACATAGGTTTCAAAGCAATTGTCACAAAAAACTGTATTTTCAAAACGAACAAAGCTGTAAAAAAACGGAATAGTAAATACACAAAGTACCCAGCAAAGTTCTTAATAAAAAAAAGTCACATAGGTATGTTAAGAAAAAGACTGCAAGTATAAAAATAGACAATCACACCAAGTTTGTATACATAAACAATACACAATTTTATCAGTCAACATCCAATAACAAACAGCAATATGGGATAAAGCCTTGGATAAAACATTACATTAAAAAATATTTATTAAAATATTTCCTCTAAATATGCCGATATTTCAATATAACCTTCAAGATCCATACCTCCTTTACTTGGGATCTAAAAATCATGATTTTTTTTCGAATTTTGACTACACTTAGGAACAATTTATCAGTCGACGGTTTAGCTGTTGGTTAACCAATAATAACTATTAGTTAATCAATAGCTAAACTAAATAACCGTCCACTGATAAACTACTGGTCCTTAGTCTCTTTTAGGCACTCAAATTTTAGCTCCCTTTTTTTTTTAAATATAAAATAATCATGATTTTACTCAACTAACTTAAATTGCGAATGGAGACAGGAAAAATTGAAATTCGGGAAAAAATAAAGGAAAGCTCTCGGGAAAGCTCTCCTTCTGCTCACTGACTGACACTGATCTGATAAAAATCAGATTCGAAAGACTTTGAAAAAACTGTCTACTAGAAATTTGTAGAGGATTTACCAGGCATCAATTTGGGCCCAATTACGTTAAGATCTGATTGAAATTACCAAGGTTGTGAGGCAGAATGTATGATAGTCATTTTGAAAAAAATCAAATTTCTAAAAATCAACATTGAAAAAGGTTCCATTTATTCTTATAAAAAAATTCTGAAGGGCTTGGCTTGTTTGAAATTTTGCAAATGGAGAGAGAAAATTCAAGGAGTAAATCGCTGGGAATTATAGTGTACAAAAACAGGGAATTACTAGGAATTATTGGGAAATATGTAGGAATTGTTTGAATTATTGAGGAATTATGGTAATTGCCAAGGAATTGTTGAAATTACTAAGGATTAAGGAATTGTTGAGAAATAATTCAGGAATTGCAAAAACTTTTGGGCATTATTACATAGGTTATGAGGGGACTGAGCTATATCAGACCAGCATGCAAGATTTAAATCACTGGGATTATGATTGAAAGAGAATGACTATTTGAGTTGTTTAAAAAAAATGGACACAATGTTGATACGTTGATAGAAAAAGTATTAATCACCCGTCAAAAGATGAATGTGGAACTCTTCAAATATCATCAGAAAAAAAATAAAAACTAAATTTAAAGCAATTTTTTTTATGTTGAGATTTTGTATCTAATGTCGGTTTTCCACTAAACTATGAAAAAAGGCACTCAGAAAAATTGAAAAATTGATAAATCACCCCAAATTGCCTAACACGATTTTATCTCAAGAACTATAAGTGCGAATGAGCTGAAATTTTCAGGGATTGTAGTCCTTTGAAAGGGATAAAATTCAGTGAAAGTTTCAGCTTTCTATCTATAATAGAAAAAAAGTTATGACCTTTTAAAGTTTTTCAAAAAAATCATGAGGGGGTTCCTTCTTACTAAAAGGATGAAATTTCAATTTTTTTTTGTTGAGATTTTGTATCCTAATGGTTCTTTGGGATCCCCCAAACTCCATACACTAAATTATTCTGAGATTTTGAGCTAGATTCTATGAAAAAACGCACTCAGAAAAATTGAAAAATTGATGAATCACCCCAAATTGCTTAACACGATTTTATTTCTGGAACTATAAGTCCAAATGAGCTGAAATTTTCAGGAATTGTAGTCCTCTCTTGGGATAAGATTCGCAGAAAATTTCAGCTTTCTGTCTAAATTATAAGGTAGCTATCTCAGTACTAAAACTATGGACATTCACTTTTCTATTGTTGAGATTTTGTGTCTTAATGGTCCCTTCAGTCCCTTCTTCCTTTTGCTTGCTCTTCTTGATAATAATCCATGTCAAAAAGCTTTGTTGTTGGGAAGTTTTTGAAACTGTATTGAAACTATCCATTAGAAATTTGTAGATGATTCGTTTGGCCTGAATTTGGGTTAGTTAAGTTAGGATTTGATTGAAATTACCTCGGAAATTACCAAAGTTCTAAGGCAAAATGCATGTTGGTCATTTTGGAAAAAATCAAATTTTCAAAAAATTACATTGAGAAATCTCACAGATGAGAGCAGAAAATCCTGAAATATGGAAAAAATCTTGGGAAAAATAAAATTAAAACTTCTTTCTGCTTTCTCTTGATAAAAAATTCAAGTCAAAAATCTTTGAAGCTTTCTTGCTGGAAAACTTGGATTGAAACTATATCCATTAGAAATGTGTAGAGCATTTAAATGGCTCTAATTTGGGTCTGATTATTATTATGTTAAGATCTTATTGAAATTACCCAAGTACCTACCAAAGTTGTAAGGCAAAAATGAATGTTAGTGTCAGATATTTTGGAAAAAATTAAATTCACAAAAAATTACATTGAGGGACGTTTTATTTTATTTTTTGAAAGGATATGTTACAGGGATTTGATTCAAATTTTGCTTATGAGGGGAAAAATCTTGTAATGTAGAAACAAAAGATCAAAATTTCCTTTTTCTATTTTTAAATACACCTTACAAACACTTATAGATCAATAGATAAGTAAGGGGGCTGCTAAAACTAAAACGATAACAAAAAATAGATGAAACAAAACAGATGAATAAATAATACAAAAATAAACAAATAGGCTAGATGCCACACATAAATCACAGCAATTGGGTTCAAACATAATGGTGTGTATCATCCTATAGTCAATTTTTTGATTGAGGCAACAGTTGTGTTGAAAAAATCTATGTCATACTTCTCGAAAATATCGCTACACTCTATCAGGATATGGTTTAGCGGTGAGCATCCACTTGACCGGTTTATCACAGAAATGTTGTAGTTCCTTAGTCTAAGATCAATTTTATGAACATGAAATTTGATTAGATTAATAAATTCTCAAACTGTATATTTAGTATTATTGACTATATTATGGAAAATAAAAAAAGGATTAAACTGCTCGTCTCCTACTAAGATACTGAAGCTTGGAAGTCTCCAACATACTTTCAAATGACACTAGCAGAGGAAATATAGGATATACATGATATTGTTTGAAATACAAATATCTCAAAAATTTCTTCTGGAATCTCAATCTCTCATCTCTATTGTAGTCAGCTGTAGGTGACCAGATAATACATGTATACTCCAAGTGGGGCCTGACAAAGGCATTATAGAGCTTTATCAAGATATTAACTCTATGAAAATGTTTGGTATTTCTAGTGATGAAGCCCAAGGCTTTAAACGCCCTGTTAACAATTTTCTGATAGTGCAAATGTTGGATTGGACTTCCAGGTCCTCACAGTGGTCCCTTTTTTTTGAGCATTTCAGTATCCAAATTATAACTGTATTCTAGATATTGACGGCGCCTTGTGTAAATACAGAAGCATTTACTGACATTGAAAAAAAAATTGTTGTTGGCAAACCAGGCACTGACAATGGATAAATCGTTTTGGAGAACCTGACAATCTGCTTGCGAAGAAAGACTTTTTGTTTGCTTTTCTTGATAAAAATTAAACTCAAAAGACTTTGAAGCTTTGTAGTTCATGTAATTGGGAAACTATTGAAACTGTATGGAACTGGAAAAAAAAATTCTAGAAATTTACAGAGGATTATGGCCTCCATTTGAACCTAATAAGTTGAAGATCCAATTGAAACTATTAAAGTTGTGAGGCAAAATGTATGGTAATGTTGTTTAGCTTTTTTAATTTTCACACTTTTCATATGAGGAGCGAAGGAAGGAAGAATACAGCAAAAACAAGTGTGAGGTCAGGTCAAGATGACCATTGGCATGCTAATGTAGGGAGCCACCAACTCACATTTCTTTGGAGTATCAGATTATAAAAGTCAGACTGTAGGAACTTAATTATGGTCCTTTCTACCAACTATTTTAGAGAAGCATTACTCAATGATAAGTATTCCCTAAAATGACAGTCCTCCATAAAGAAATGTCAGTGTAGTAAGGAACACTTATTGCTAAGGCTTCCCTGAAGTATTTAATTACTTAGTGGAAATGGCCATTAGTCATTTTGGAAAAAAATCAAATTTCCAAATAAAGACATTGAGTGAGAATGTTTTATTTCTTCTTTTAGGGAAATGGTGGAGGGATTAGTTTGAAATTTTGCAGATGCAGGGAGAAAATGTTGAAATCTCGGTTGAAATATAGGAATAAAAAATTGAAATTTCCTTCTGCTTGCTCTAGTTCAAAAAATTTTGAAGCTTTGTAGGTGGAAAATTATAACAGCTGCATTGACACTATCCATCAAAAATTTGTAGAGGAATTAATTATGGGCCTAAATTGCGTTTTTTGACAATACTTTGTATTATCAAAAAGTACAATTCATTTAAATATTATTTTCTTGAGATCTGAAAGATGTTCAATTAGCAAAAACCTATAAAAAATGACACCTCATACAATTTATCCAAAATGTATAAAACTTTGAAAGTACCAATACCTGAAGTTCTGAGTACCAAGTTAAGTAATATCTCTACTTACCTAATTGTATTGTGGAAACAAAGATTCATAATTAGATTTTTTTATTTGCAAATTTTTCCTGTAAGTACTAGCCTCAGTACCCACTCCACTGTTAAAATATGTATGTACAGGGTGGGCCAACTTGGACACTTCCTTATGGAAACACCCTTTATTTTAAGAGATAGAAAAAAATGAACCCCCCACTCTGAGGCTCAAATTTCATGAAATTTTGATTGGTGCAAACCGCTTTTTGATATCTTCAACCGTTTAGCCGCTAGAGGGCGATTCTCGATTTTGAGCAATATTGTGAACCCTTCATAATTTTTTTGTGTATGAAAATAATTGATTTCCGTAAAAACTTTCTGGAAGCACTTTTTAAAACAGAATTCAGGGACGTTCTCAGTTTTTTTCTATTTGGCGCCGATTTTGAGATATTGACTAAAGTATGATTTTTTTCAATGGGACACCCTTTATATTAATAGCTCATTGTAGAGCTATGATTTTTCTGATTTTAATGATATAAAGTTCCATAGGTTTATCTCTAACCGTTTTCGAGAAAAAAAATTATTTTGGTTTTTGTCATAAGAAACAATGTATTAGAAAGAGACCTTTTTCATTTTCCTTACAGATATAAAGTCCTTTTCTAACACATTGCTTCTTATGAGAAAAACCGAAATTATTTTTTTTTCTCGAAAACGGTTAGAGATACCCCTATCGAACTTTATATCATTAAAATCAGGTTAATTTTTTTCTATCACTAAAAATAAAGGGTGTTTTCATAAGGAAGTGTCCAAATTGGCCCACCCTGTTATAATGTTAAGGATGAGAATGTAAATAATCCCATTGAAGCAAGTGAAAATATCAAGGGGTAAATCACAATCCCAGAATTGGTGCAAACAATTTTTCAAAGGGGATTCTTTTACGCATAATTCCTCAAAATTCCTGCAAATTCCTCCAGATACCTTATCACAAATTCCTCCAATTACCTCAACACGAACTTTTCCAAATATCCCACAAATTCCTCTAAGAAAAGGGAAAATTTTGAAACTTTTTGCATGTAAAGAGAAAGGTGAGAAACTCATTTTCCCCAAGTTTCAAATTTTTCCAGTGGAAAATAACAACATGAAAAATCTTGGAAATCAACTTACAAAAACGGAATTAGTTGATAATACAGTCTCACATATTTCAAAGTTTTCCTGGAAAACTAGAGAAGGGAAAATTTTGCAACTTTTTGCATGTATAAAGAAAGGTGAGAAGCCCAAACTAACCCAAGATTTCACATTTTTTTCAGTGAAAACAGCAACATGAAAAATCTTAGAAACCAGCTACAAAAACTGGATTAGTTGAAAATACAGTTTCACACATTTCAAAGTTTTCCTAGAAAACTAGTAGAGGGAAAATTTTGAAACTTTTTGCATCTAAAGAGGAAGGTGAGAAGCTCATTTTCCCAAAATTTCCAATTTTTCCAGTAGAAAACAGCAACATGAAAAATCTTGGAAATCAACTTACAAAAACTGAATTTATTGAAAATACAGTCTCACACATTTCAAAGTTTTCTTGGAAAAGTACTGAAGGGAGAGATTTGAAATTTTTTGCATGTAAAAAGGAAGGTCAGAAGCTCATTTTCTAAAAAATTTCAAATTTTTCGAGTAGAAAATTACAACATGAGGAATCTTGGAAATCAACCTACAATAACTGAATTAGTTGAAAATACAGTCTCACACATTTCAAAGTTTTCCTGGAAAATTAGTGAAGGGAGAAATTTGAAACTTTTAGCCTGTAAAGAGAAAGGTTAGAAGCTCATTTTCCCAGAATTTCAAATTTCTTCAGTGAAAAATTACAACATGAGGAATCTTGGAAATCAACCTACAATAACTGAATTAATTGAAAATACAGTCTCACACATTTCAAAGTTTTCCTGGAAAACTAGTGAAGGGAGAAATTTGAAAGTTTTTGCCTGTAAAGAGAATAGTAGATTATACCACGAGTCAATAATGATAGCTATTATTCCCGAGGATTATTACGAACTGAGCCGCATTAGCGGCGATGGAGTAACATTCCGAGGGAATAATAGTCATTATTGCGAGTAGTATACTCTACTTTATTTACGACAAATTAATTTATTTGAAATTTTCAATGAACAAATTTCATCCGTCTCATAATTTTCAATACAAATCCACAAGCACTACACGTTTGACACTGACACTTTTGTGGAATAATGACCATTAATCCCGCTACTCGTCATTAATCCCTGGAGGAATAACATATGTCATTATACTGCCAAAATCACAAATATAATACGCACATTATACATTAGTCGTAAATAAAAGTTAGAAGCTCATTTTCCCAGAATTTCAAATTTCTCCAGTGAAAAATTACAACATGGGGAATCTTGGAAATCAACCTACAATAACTGAATTAATTGAAAATACAGTCTCACATATTTCAAAGTTTTCCTAGAAAACTAGTGAAGGGAAAATTTTGAAACTTTTTTCATGTAAAGAGGAAGGTGCGATGATCATTTTCCTAAAATTTCAAATTTTTCCAGTGGAAAACAGCAACATGAAAAATCTTGGAAATCAACTTACAAAAACTGAATTTATTGAAAATACAGTCTCACACATTTCAAAGTTTTTTTGCATGTAAAAAGGAAGGTTAGAAGCTCATTTTCTCAAAATTTCAAATTTTTCGAGTAGAAAATTACAACATGAGGAATCTTGGAAATCAACGTACAATAACTGAATTAATTGAAAATACAGTCTCACACATTTCAAAGTTTTTCTGGAAAACTAGTGAAGGGAAAAATTTGAAACTTTTTGCATGTAAAGAGGAAGGTGCAAAGCTCATTTTGCTAAAATTTCAAATTTTTCCAGTAGAAAATTACAACATGAGGAATCTTGGAAATCAACCTACAAAACTGAATTAATTGAAAATACAGTCTCACACATTTCAAAGTTTTTTTGGGAGACTAGTGAAGGGAAAATTTTGAAAGTTTTTGCATGTAGAGAGGAAGGTGAGAAGCTCATTTTCCCAAAATTTCAATTTTTTTCAGCAGAAAATAACAACATGAAAAATCTTGGAAATCAGCCTACAAAAGCTGTTTTCATTATTCTTTTGAATTTTTTAAATTTGACAATTTCCTTTAAATTCTTCATAAATTCCTCACATTTTTGGCAAAGAATTCCTAGGTGGTTTGCCCCTCGGAAAATATATCGGGTCTTCAAAAAAAAAAACAATCAAAGATGCTGTTTGTTTATTGGTCAGGATTTTTGACATGACATTTTGACATTAAATTTTATTGACTGACATTGTCAAAATTAAACAAAAATACTATATAAATCTTTGATTGTTTTTTTTTTTTTGAAGACCCAATACAATGACAATGAAAAAAAAAGATTTGTTGTTAAATTCAAGAAAAGAAAAGCTGATTGAAAAATAAATTAAACTCCTGGTTGATAAATCTGAAAACTTGAAATGGTTTCGTTTCTTGACGATATATATAAATTTGTATATGGATTATTAAGACCTCATGTTTAGATCTATAATTAAGTATCCGGATTATCATATCACTATACATGACAACATGGTAACAGTTTTGCCTCATTTTATTTTATGCGTTTCAACTTTTCAACTATAGTTAATTAAAAGAACTACAGAAACAAAGCAAATAATGAAAATGTGGTATTTATAAAACAAGTTTGAATCAAAAAAACAGAAAGCTATTACAGTTGAATAAAACCTGTAGAAAAATACAATGCCATGCTTAATACAAAGGAATCAGACACTATACAAAAGAATTCACATCAAATCAATTTTTATACAGCATTAATTTTTATTATATGAAATAGCATTTTACCAGTAAAATGTGTAGAAGTGCCTGAGCTAATTTTATCAATTGAAGGCCATTAGTAAATTAGTGTAATTATTAGAAAGCGACTTACTTTTATCCATCCTCCCTCAGTTGTGACCAAAGTATAGAGAAGGTAGAGGTCGATTTCTCTACCACCCAGGGTAGGGCACCTTTTGAACGGCGTCCTATAAAAAAAGAAGCCAAATTGTTTATATGGGCTTGCTGTTTGGATCAACCGTACTTACCCTCTGGTCTCGTGGAAATGCCGCAATTCCTTCAGGAAGCACTCTTTTTCTTTCGAGTACGTGGCCTCGTCTTTTCCGAGGATTTCGGCCATCGCGGATCACTCACTGGCAAACGGGGCAACAATTACATATCCGGCGCGACTCTGTTATTATTTTGTTGATAGTGTAGGACACCCCGGAATCTTCTCCTCAGGTTCAGGTCGGTTCACCTCCCACAATTTGGGGATGCTCGGGCTCGCATTTTTTCTTATTACAGTCGTTCGTTAAACCAGGCAGTCAGTCCAGTCCAGTCGACTCCCTGCGCTAACTATCGAGACGACGTTGCACTCACTCGGTGCGCAGACGATAGATACATCGCGAGCGGCAGGCAGCTGCACTCACACTACACTCTCTAGATGCAAAAAATACTCCGGATTTCTCTATTAAAATTCAGCAATTTCCAAAATATCTGTGAAAATTGTCGCTCGTTAACCCATGATGCCCCGTTTTTCTTTACAACATGGCTGCCGGTCTCCGTTATGAACGAGCACAAACGAATCACCCAACACACACTTTCTTTCAATTTTCTCTATTATTCATCAATTCGGACAATCGAAAAAGCCAAAATCGATTACCTCATAGAAGCGATATATCACTGCACCATAAAACTACCATTAAAAATCACTATAACTGGCCGATAAGTTAAATTAAAAATACACAAACATTTGACAAGACGGACTCGGGCAAGTTCGAACGGGGGAACCTATTTTGGATTGTCCTCGAGGAGTAGGATTTACTCTAGCGCCATCTACCCACACCTGAACGGACTAATAAAAATTCAAATATTTTCGTTTTATTTACAAATTAAAAATAGCAAAATTGTTTATTCGAAATAAACAAACAACTAAAACAATGAAATAAATTAATTAGAGTTTTATGGTAAAGCAAAAATTTGTTTTAAACAGGTTTAAAATGTGTATGAGGCCTTGTTGAAATAATCGTCGTCGATAGTTGGCGCTTTTTACTTGCGTAGAGGGCGCTGTTAGTGAAACAGGCATCTGCAATTGCCATTACCGTTTTCTTTATGCTGATAAATTAGTAGGATGGAAGTATAGCATAGACGGCGCCACTAATACGCAAAAAAATTTTTGTTTATGTTATTTTGTTTTTGTTGTTTGTTTAGTGAGGTTAGTGAAAAAGTGAATGGCAAGGTAAATACTCATACTCATACTCATACTCAATATGCTTTATTGTCCAAAAAATATAAATCTTTACTGACAAAGCGGATAATATAATATACTAATTTATATATTAATCTACATTAATAGTTATACGAATTACACAAAATCACATAAAAATCTTAAAATTCCTAAAATTAACATAAGGCCAAAGAATGACTAATTAAAATGTAATAAATAAATTGAAATAATATAAAAGAAACAAATCAAAACACAAAACATAAAAAATTGTAAATATGTGTATAGGTCTATAAAAAATAAAAAACAAGACAATCATAAAACATCACCATAATATTCCTCCAAGACTCCAAGCTGTAGAATGCTTTCTCCAATAACATACTCTTAGCATTCGTTCAAAATTGGGTATAGTCCGATACTGATTTCAAATCATTACTGAGGTGATTGAAAATTTTTTTGCTTTCAAAGAATATAGAATGTTTAGTCAGAGTAGATTTTGGAATTGGTAAACGTAAGTTATTATTAGTGTGTGTTCTGGTATTGTACCTTACCTCCTCAGGTTCTAGACCACAATATTTTTTATGTATGAGACAAATAGTTTCTAAAATAAACAAAGAAGGCACAGTTAATATTTTTTCTTTTTTAAACAAAGGCTGACAGTGTGCACGGTTTTTGGCTCTACACAAATACCGCACTGCCTTTTTTTGCAGAACGAATATAGAATTCAGCAACTGCCCGTTTGTGAATCCCCAAAAAGCAATACCATACCGTACATGAGACTCGAACAAGGAGAAATACACCATTTTAGCAGTCGAGGTACTAAGCTCATTACATACAACCCTTATCGCAAAGCAACCAGCTGCCAACCTGCTACTCAATTGATTAATATGTTCATGAAACTTCAGCCTATCGTCCAACATAAGCCCCAAGAATTTTACAGTGGATTTACTTGCAATAGACCGATTCATAAGGTTCAGATTTGCAAAGTCAAAACCAAAGGTCATAATGTTTGTTTTGGACATATTAAAACAAAGTAGGTTTGTATCACACCAAACCTTTAGCTTTTGCAAATCGTTATCAATCATTACTCCTAAGTTTTCTTTACTCTTGTCATGCCACACAAGACTGGTGTCATCCGCAAATAGAGTGAATGAACCTTGAATATCTAAGAAAGCCAAATCGTTTAGGTATATCAAAAACAAAATTGGTCCCAGCACTGAGCCCTGTGGAACACCTCTTGCAACAAGGGAGTTGCTAGAATATACCTCGTCTACCTTCACGATTTGTCTTCTTTCAGAAAGATAGGATGAAAACCATTCCACTGCAATGTCACCAAAGCCATAACGAAGAAGCTTTCGCAGCAACACTCCATGATCCACGCAATCGAAAGCTTTCGAAAAATCACAGAATGTTGCCGCGACCATCTCCCCGCCATTTATATTCAGATAAATATCGTGGAGCAACGAAAAAATAGCATCATCAGTACTTTTGCCCGGGATGAAGCCAAATTGAACAGAACTAAGTAGTCTGTTACTATCCAGAAACTCCATCACTCTCCGCTTAACAATTTTTTCAATTACTGTTGAGAGTGTTGGCAAAAGAGAAATAGGTCTAAAATTAGAGGGATCATCGGAGTTGCCTCCCTTAAAGAGTGGAATCACCACTCCCTGCTTTAAACATGTTGGAAACGCTCCAGTGGCAAACGAACAATCAATACAATATACTAGCATTTGTAAGGCACAATCTGGCAAGTTTTCCAGTATTCTGACAGAAATCCCATCATATCCTGAAGAAGATTTATTTTTTATTTCTTCAAATACCTGTCTAACTTCATGCATATTTGTAAAGTCAATAAAAAACCTATCATTAACCTGAATATTTGCCAGATATTCAAGAGGATCTTTTTTAGAGTCCAAATTTAATGTCAATGTTTCCGCGATTGTGCAGTAGAAGTTATTGAGAATGTTAGGATCTATTCTATCATTATTTTTTACCATGTCTGCCTTTCCCCTTAGCCTATTTATTATTTCCCAGTTTTTTTTTTAGTTTTATTGCCTGCCTTTCTGATTTCACCCTTATAATAAATATCTTTGGCCGACTTTATGAGCCTTCTGTAAATTTTCCTATAATTAAGAAAATAATCTACAAAATATTCATTATCACTGTAGAACTTTCGGATTGTATGTAAAGATCTTAGGTTTACTGCTGAAGTCCTTGATACCAGATGTAAGCCAGGGTTTTTTTTCTTTAATTTTTATATTTTTCAGGGGAAAGGTTTTATTAAAAATATTATTTAGAATATTATAAAAACATACAAATGGTTCTCTAGAACTCAATACACTGTCCCATATTTCAGAATCACAGCTTTCATTAAATTTTTTATAATTTTGCCTGCCAAAAATTCTGCCCTGACGGGTCTTTTTATGTTTAGGAACAAGGTTATAGTTGTGGCCGAGACATTTGTAATGCGGGTTGATTCACAAACATGCATTTTAAAATTTAATGAGATTAGAAGATCACGAAGTGACTGTGTGGTTGCCAGCTCCAAATCTGCAAAATTTATATTAAAATCGCCAGCCAATATTACCTTTGAACGGACCTGGAGTTGAGACAGAAGCATTTCAAGTCGCTCCAAAAAAACATAAACATTACAGCTTGGAGGTCTATAGATACAAACAATATATAAATTATATGATTCTTCATACACAATAGAGAACTCGAACTCATTCTCCACAGTAAAATCGTCATATATATGCAAGTCGCTGATTAAGAAATTTTCATAAATACTTTTATGAGCGAGTATTAGTGTTCCTCCATGCACTGAGTTTTTCCTACAATAAATTGATACCACATAATAATCCGGAACATACAATGGTTCATTCATTTTGAGCCAGTGCTCAGTCAGCAGAACAAAACCAGATCTATTATGTAATTCCAATGTTATATACAGCTCATCCATCTTATTTCTAATAGATTGAACATTCAATAAAAAAACAGTCATTTCATTACGTTTAAAAACATTTACATTCGCCTTATCACTAACACACTTACTACCAATAAACTTATTATTACTACGTGAACTACTACTATTATTATATTCATTATTTTTATCTTTTAGATTAGTCGCTTTTCCTAGGTCATTTGAGTTCTGGATTCTATTCTTTGGGATAAAAAAGAATCATTCAATACATTTTGACTATAATCCATAACAACTGGACCATAATAATCAAAATTACAACCATTCAATCTCACATTCAATATTTCCGATTCCTCCAAGATATTTTCATATTCATTCCTATTACCTGTGTCAATAAAAATAAGGTTACGATTATAAGACAATTCCGAGTTGATAAACTGTGAAATGTCTTTGCATACGTCTTTTCGACTGTTTTTAATGCCCTTTCTCGAGTTGTAATCAATAAAGCATAATTTTCCCTCACTATAACCTGACAATTTACAAATAAGTCCGTATAACCTTTTATTGACCTCAAAAATTTTATTATTCCTAGATGCATAACCATTTATGTGAGGCACTGATAGGACTCCAACATTGGTATGGGTACAACTCTTTAATGCTGATAGAATAAGCCCAAAAGATGGTTTCCTATTCATAGCCAAATCATTTGAACCCAAAATCAAAATTACATAATCTCTGAAGGTAAATTCAACAGTCAGCATATTTATGTCTTCAATAACACTTTGTGCAGGGGTACCCGGTTTGAATATATTTAAAACATCGTACTCACAATTATTAGGACTTCGACCTAGAAATTTTTCCAAGTCCCGACCATTATCATCACTTAATATGAGTATCCTTGGCTGCTTCTTCTTCCTACAACCTCCGTCAGCTGTGTCATAATTTGGGCGCTCCTGATATTTCGCCCCTTTTTTTCCTGCTGCCTCTAATACTGGATGAGCCTCAAGGGAAACCAAACTTTCAGAGTGGCAGGATGGCTGTTGTCCTATTGCATGCTGCTTAAGCTCATCTCTCAGCCTCCCAATCTCCGCAACATAAAAATCACTCTGAGCCTCCAGTGCTCTCATGGAATCCACCATTTGTCGGTTTAGTTTGGGGTTTTCAAGAACCTCGGCCTTAAAAACAATCTCAGCTTCCTTGAGAGTTTGAAGCTTTCTTGGTGTATCCTAGAAACTTCATTCAGTGAGAGCAGCTCCTGATTAAGTTTATGAATAACCTCCCGCTGGTGGCTGATCTTTGCCTGATATTCCTTCTCTGATTCCAAAGCATCGTCATGAAAGCTCTGTGATTTTCGCATCTCTCTACGCAGGAAACTTTCTTTGGCATCGAGCTGTTGAACTAGCTCTAGGTTTTGTTTTTTCAATGTCTGATCTTTTTCTACATAGCTGTCGTGAAAACTTTCCAGGGCTTCTTTAGCGCGCTGAAGTTCCATTTGTGATTCCTGAAACTTCTGTTGCAGAGCCAGTTCAGAAGCCTTTTGGTAATCTTGCTCTTGCTCACACTTTTTCGAACATAAAATGCGATGGCCTCCTATTACTTTAACCGAATTTCGGCGATCCACACAGCTCTGATGATAAATTTCTGTGCATACAATGCAGACAAAAAATTTCAAATCTTTGTTCTTGCAACATTTAAATTTAGCATTCTCAGCCATTATTATGTGAAACGAAAATTTATTTTAAAGTTTTTGAAGCGCACCAGTATTTTCAGGACGATTCAATAAAACACCGATAAGCGCGATTGTCGATAAGGTAATTTTTTTCCTTTGGAATGTTTGTTTATTTTAGCACTAACTAAACTGAGTATTAAGTTTTTAATTTACAAGACACTACGTAAATCATTTAAACTTATTTTTTTGGTTATCAGCATACTTAAAAAATTTACAATAAAAAGACAGAAAACACGGCAATTTTTGAAAACTTTTAACACATAAAATGAGCAAAAATGATGCAGCTAACAGAACTCGTTTCCGCGCATTTTTATACTGCGTCCAGAGTCCACTGAGCCCTGTGACTGAGCCTTCCCATACAGGTAAAATAGTTATTTATATTACAAATAAACTGCTGGAACTTCGATACGCATAATGAAATTTTTTGCCTATTTTTGAAGTCAAATATCTCAGAAAGTATAAGAGATATTTGATTGCGGTTTGAAGCATATTGGGGCGCATTGTTTGGTGTTTAAGGTATATGGTATCGTGCTGATAAACAGAAACGTTATCTTCAACATACAGGGTGTACAATAAAACAGTGCAAAGTTTGATAAATTTTAGGGCGTCGCCATTTCTTTTCAAACATACTCCTGATTTTTTTCTGGGTTCAAGAAGAATCAGTAGTTCAATGGTAAAAAACAACTTGAAGGGTTTTTGAATAAATCTCGTAGTTTTGCAGAAATTTCAAATAAACTGAAAAATGACTTTCATCATCCTCATTCTTTGTCTCAGTTATTCGAAACAATGTTCTTCATTATTGTTGATGGTTCGACGTTTTCATCTTTTCTTGTTTCAAAAAGATTTCATACAGGGTGGAAAAAAAGTAAGTTTTCAATAATAATTATTGGATGGTCCGTGAAGATAATTGCGCCTCTGAGTAACTAGAGATAGTATGCGTCCAAACACGTAACATGTACCTACTGCGATTTATAGGGAGCACAGTCCTCTTTGTCAATTGATATGGTACTTACCAACCTTTCTCTGCTTTATTAGGCTATTTTTCACGAGGATAATCGAGTATAATCGATTATGCTATGCTGTATTATGTGATGTGTCAATTGTGTCATGCTCCCTAACTCTCCCACCATCAAATGCTGGAATACTCGAGGATCAAGAACACTTAATTTCTTCCGTGAGAATAGACCGGAAATCACATTTTCTACATTTGAAGGTACAGTTTCTTAGGACAGTGCGCGACGCACAACTCACAACGTAAACGTCAGCAGAATCTATTTAGCACGATGTTGACCAGTGTATGTCGCGCTCACCTGCGCAAAGCCAACAAACCGGTCTATATAACTTAGACTCGGTTGATTTTAGCAGACGTGCGTCGCGTTCGACAGAATGTGAGTTGTGCGGCGCGCAATGCCCTAACAAACCGTACCTTGAAATCGACGAAAAAATTAGCTCACTAGCACAGTCTAAATCGCAAGCATTCCATAGAGGGTGACGTCATTACTATAAGCTGCTGATAGTGATGTCACTCGCAGTACAGAGTTGGATGGAGAGAGACTAAAGCCTAGTTCTCATGATGCGGAATTCCGGATTGCGGGTGCGGAATTTTTGAAATAATTCCGTTGGCGGGAAAACGTCAACTTTTTTGCGGATCCGCAATAAAGTTGAACCATTTTCAACTTTCTTGCGATTTTTTTTCTGTCTTTGTCTAAATATTTCTCTTCTTTGTTTGATTTCTACATAAACAAATAAACTAACCTCAAACAAAAAACAATAAAACAATTAATACCTAACAAAAATAAATTGATCTGCTTGTTTGTGTGTTTGTTTTATTTTCAAATACATTATTATTACGGCAAACCCCTTGTTCATGCCTTTTCAGAAGAATATTTCTGAACAACATCTTCCTTTTTTTTAATATTCCTCTGCTATTCTGCTTCTTTGATAAAGTTTCATGCATATTATGGATTAATAGCAAACCCAATACTAACGTATATTGGGTGGTAGTCTGAATAAAAACGAAGTACTTGCTACTACTACAGGTAGTAGTATATTCTACGAAGTATTTACTTCACAACAAAGGATTTACTAATTTCCGGTAGTTTCGAAATGTAGAATCTACTTCATTTTAAAGTAAACACTACGAAGAATATACTACTACTTGTCGTAGTAGCAGATACTTTGTTTTTTTTCATACCTCCCTCTGTCTTTTCCATTGATAATAATTTAATTGTGCAATATTTATCCATCCTGGCACACAGGAAAACAAAAACAAAAAATATGTTAGGTTAAGATCACATGTATTTGACATAAAACCGCATCCGGAATTCCGTTTCATGTGAACCATCAAAAATTACGATTTTCAAAAAACTGCGATTTCCGGACCCGCAATGCGGAATCCCGCACCATGAGAACTAGGCTTAAGGGAAGTATGACACAATTGACGCATCAAATAGCTCAGACTAATCAGATTATGTTCGATTATCCTCGCGAAAAATTGCCTATTAATTGTATAACCATTCTAAGAGCAAAATATGAATATATTATGTTTCCTAGGTGAAAAAGCTATTCTGTTCTCGAAACGCCGAGATATTTGGTGAATTATTAGCACGTAGCATGTCATCAGGGAGACTATTTATACAGGGGTGGTAAAAAGTACCGGCAAAAGTTGAATCTCTTCCAAACCCGCTTAAAAAACCTGCATTCTCAAATTTATTTATCTGGGGGTTTCCGGAGATACAAAATTAAATGATTCAATGATATCGGCGCTGCTGTCAGATCTACCAGCTTTACCCTACATCATTGTTCAATTTTGTTTGCCCAGAAACCTCCAGATAATGAAATCTGGGAAAGCAGCATAAGTGGGCTTAAAGAGATTCAACGGTTCCGGTACTTTTTACCACCCCTGTATATAAGTAGCCCCCTTATGACATGGTACGTGCTAATAATTCACCAAATATCTCGACGTCGCGAGAACAGAATAGCTTTTCTACCTAGGAAACATAATACATATAATCATATTTTGTTCTCAGAATGGTTATACAATAAAGCGGAAAAAAATTGGTGCCATATCAATTAACAAATAGAACTGTGCCCCCTATAAATCGCAATTCATGTTACGTGTTACGACGTGTGCTATCTTTAGTTACTTTGAGACCCAATTATCCACATACAATTATCTTTACGGACCTCCCAATAATGAGTTATAAAAACTTAATTTTTTTTTCACCCTGTATAAAATCTTCTCAAAACCAAAAAAGACGAAAACGTTGAACCAACAATAATGAAAAAAATTGTTTTGAGTAATTGAAACGAAGAATCAGGGTGATAAAAGTCGTTTTTCAGTTAAACTGAAATTTCTGCGAAATTACGAGATTTATTCAAAAATTTTTCAAGTTGTTTTTTACCATTGAACTACTTACTGATTCTTCTTGAACCCAGAAAAAAAGCAGGAGTATGTTTGAAAAGAAATGGCGACACCCTGAAATTTGTCAGGCTTTGCACTGTTTTATTGTCCACCTTGTATGTTGAAGATAACGTTTCTGTTTATCAGTACGATACCATATACCTTGGACACCAGACAATGCGCCCCAATATGCTTCAAACCGCAATCAAATATCTCTTATACTTTCTGAGATATTTGACTTCAAAAATAGGCAAAAAATTTCTTTATGCGTATAGAAGTTCCAGCAGTTTAGTACGGTATGTTGGTATGAGTTTCATTACAGTAACGAGTGGGGAATATTGTTGTCGTAGACCGAGTCGTGGTAATCACACGAGTGGTGTAATGAGTAGGGTTGCCAACTTTATTTTTTAATTTTTCTGGACGAGGGTAATAAAAATTCAGGACATACAGTATAAATTCTGGACATTTCTATTATTGCAGAGAAAAATGCCATTTACAAACTCAAATAACAAACCATAAAACTATCCCACAAGAATTCTTCGGGTAAATAGGAACCAATAATTTAAAATTTTATTTCAAAAGTAGTACGCAAATTAACAAATTATTTGAAGAATATAAAAAGTTAAGTACCTACATAAAGTCTGTTTTTTTTTAAAAGATAAAAGTCAAAATGACATTATGTTGGCAATACAATATAAAATTGTCAATGCTTTCAAATTTTTTATGTAGAAAAGGCTTGTGTTGCCAACATAGTTACTAAATTTTTGACTTGGGAAATTATCTTTAAATAAAACACAAACTTTAGTACCTACTTATAGATACAGTAGTCAGGGCCGGCTCCAGGACCCGTGCAGCCTGTGCCCCTACACGGGGCGGCAAAATCGAAGGGCGGCAAAAATCTCGGGGAGAATTGTTGGGTAAAAAAAACCACACGACAAATTACAATAGCTTCATGATTTATTTCATCAATTATCGCGTTCGCCTGCTCTGTAAAAAATTAAATAAAACATGTTCTGGGTTTTTCAAAATCTAATCAATTCCAAACGATCTGAGCACAGTTCTAAGGACTGAATAAGTACGCAACTAGTTCTGCGCAGTTCCAGGATGGTTCGCGAACAGATCGAAGACCCGAGAACCCGAAAACACCTATCGCTAACCTAAACCGAATTTTGGCGACGAAAGTAGTTCATCAATAGTTCGCCTTCTGACGTCATAATTTTGAACGCTGGCTAGAAGCTGCTTCCATGCTTCCGGCGAACTACGTTCCGTTCAATATATGACGTCCTGAGTTTCACGCGAAAATTCGATTGTAGTTACACGCGTCCGCAAGCGATTTACAAGTTATGTTTTGGTGTTATTTGAGAGTTGCCGCCAATTGTAGGTTGCATTAAAATAGTATAGTGATAAAGTTATTCCATAAAAAACTTGAAAATAATAAAAATATAGTATATATCATATAAGGACACTGGACAATATTAAAATCAAGAGTAAGTTTAGCGAATAGGTAGTACCGAGTACCGAGGGTAGTACTGAAAGTACAAAGTAGGAAAGTAACAGTAAGAGGGGCGGCAAAAATACCATTTGCACGGGGCGCTGAAATGTCTGGAGCCGGCCCTGACAGTAGTGTTTAAAATCATATTTTTTTTTCACTTCTTGCAGCTACCTTCAACTTCTTGTTACCTCTCACTAAATCATGGAATTCTTTGCAAGTACATATAAGAATAATTAATCTTCATTTGCAGTTCTGCCTTGATGTGTTCAATGCATACAATCGACAGTATAGTCAATAATAATAAATTCCATTTTCAAGTAATGTATCTGATTTTCTTTATAAACCAGAGCCAGGTTTATAGCCGGCATAATTTGACAGAATTCTTCATTAAGTTGAAAATTAAGTACAATAGGCGTCCTGCAATAAGTTGTTACAGGATACTGGACAATGAACCCCAAATGGTGGACGTCCACCGAAATGCAGGACGGTTGGCAACCCTAGTAATGAGCGTTACCATACGTGTGATTACTGATTACAACATTTTATGTACGACCCAGATTTTTTTTGTTCATCCGAATCCGAAATAGTTTTAATTTTTCACAATAGATAATAGGTTTGTATCTGCAGTAATCATAAACTAGTCAGAGTAAATTTCATTGGTTGAAACTAGTTTTCTGACTGTTTTCAACCAATGATATTCGCTCTGACTGGTTTGTGATAATTGCAGAAACAAACCTATTATTTTATTATTTATAATTTTTTTGATTAAATGAATTTTAAAAAGTGTCGTTTTCAATAAAAATGAGTTTCGTAATGTGCTCATTACATCACTAGTGATTTATATTAAATCATTATTGATGTGATGTGATGAGCTCATTACATAACTAAGTACGATAATACAACTTATTACGTAACTGAAAATAGGCTAAAATGAGTTACGTAATAAGCTCTTACAGTGTGGCTCGTACATAAAATAGTATATTGTGCAACAAGTGTTGAAAATAGCACTTTTCACACGCGCGAGGAAGTCTGGTGACACGAGCCGCAGGCGACTGGCACAAACCGCAAGAGTGTGAAAAGTGCTTTTCACACGCGTTACACACTATACTTTTTCTACGACTGCGAAATAACTATATTCACATTGAGATTTGATTTTTTTTTGTTAAAAATTATTATTTAAGGTTATAATCAACGAACTATTTTGGTACTTACGTTGAATGCACTCAGAGTTACTTGCAAAACAAAAATTCAGTAGAAGTGTCATTTTTATTTTAGCGTGTGAAAAGTAATTTTTCACACGCAAAATCGTGTGAAAAGTTACTTTTCGCACGTTGTGCGGAATATTTGATTTTCTAGGTAAGTTAGTAATGCGTTTTTAATAGCTTTCTAGAGCAGTCGTAGAAAAATTATATTTTTTTCCCATTCTGACTCACCAACATGTAAACGTAGAGCCAGCAGTCTCCTAGTAATTAAAAAAAATCTGTAACTCAGTTAATAATTAATCAATTCTATTTTTTCTTCGACTATTTAGGAGCACCTAAAAAGCACCTAATTCTGATACAAAAGAAAATTTTGGAAAAATATTTTTCACTATAGGGGACTACTAGCTTTCATAAACCTAGCAATCCCTTAGTTTTTTTTGATTTTTTCAAAAACAAGAGGAGCACCTAATTTTTAATTAGAGGCCCTAATTAGCACCTAAAAAGCACCTAATTATTATATAGATCCCGAAGTTTTTTTTCCATTCTGACACACCAACATGTAAACGTAAAGCCAGCAGTCCCCTAATAATTAAAAAAAAATCTGTAACTCAGTTAACAATTAATCAATTCTATTTTTTCTTGGACTATTTAGGAGCACCTGAGAAGCACCTAATTCTGATACAAAGAAAAAAATTGAAAAAACATTTTTCACTATAGGGGACTGCTAGCTTTTATAAACCTAGCAGTCCCTTAGTTTTTTTTTTGGATTTTCTCAGAAACTAAAGGAGCATTTAATTTTTAATTTCGAAGTACATCGAAATACCAGGAATTCCCGTCGAAGTACGCGAAATCCCATGGAAATACCCTTGAATAACCGCGCGAAGTCCAGAAATACTAGACAATTCTCGTTAATAATGAGTCTTATTGTGGATCGCGGTAGAGAATTGTAGCTCGGATTTTTGTATCTTTTGATATGATAGATTTTATTCGGAGGACACAGAATTCAGACAATTAAATCCTCGATTAAATCAATAACTAGTGATGTGATGCAGTTGAATGTTCTACAAGGCTGTTAGATACCTACTACATACTTATTAAACTCACTGACATTGATTACTTAAACATATCAGGAATATCTTTCCACTTGTTTCAATTAATCTACAGTAAATCCAAATTCTGTTCAGCCTGTTCAAAAATGGACTATAATTTTCATTTTATAATTGTATTGCAATTTTAGGTGATAAGAAATTAACTGTTCTCGGTAGGTACATAAAAAAAAAATATTTCTAAATAGCTCGAAATACCTCGGGTCACCGCGAAATATTTCGAATTACCCCGAAATACCATAAATATCCTCGAAATCCCACAAAATACTTCGAAGTACTATGCAATACAACAAAAAACTAGGTACAAATTACCACTGAAATGCTTACCGAAAAACTTTGAATTTCACGAAGTACTAGCGAAATACGGACATTTTGGCAATACGTGTACACATTTTTACAGAGTGATTGACCTCTCGGTACTGCCTATAATTTCCAGTACCATTTGTGCCCAAAACTAGGGTGGAAATGTCCATATTTTCACAAAAACCCTTTTTTCGATGAATCGCAATAATTATTAGTTTTACCTCCTATAACAATCCTCAAAGTAATTTGCAAGGTTTATTTAGGTACCCTAAACAGTGTATATTGGTACTGCTTATACTTTCCAGTAGGTACTATTTATGCATGGTGGACCGAATTTTGCCAAAACATGTTTATTATTCGCAATAATTCATTTACCTCCCCCCCCCCCCATTTATCATAATGGGGATATTTAGTGTTTCTTTTTTATTTTATTTTCTAATTCTAGAACACAAACTAAGTCTAATAGCATTATTTTGGGGAACATTTGAGTTGTCGTTAATTTTTAATAAAAAATATAAATTCAGCAGCATTTCAAACGCCGCAGAAAACCCGCCGAATATGACGTCAGTCCCTACAACTAGCAAAAATATACTGCGAATAAGTACGTTGTCAGATTGTCGTTGCCATTGTTGATTTCCAAGATTGCCTCTAGAAACCTCGTTTTTATCCTTGCATAACATAGTTTTTTGTTGTATATTTTGGACTACAGTTATAAAATTAATCCAGTTTTTTAATTGTTAGTGGGTTTAGTTGTTGAACAACAGTTTTTCTAGTGTTGAAAAAGGATTTATGCCACGTCATGTTAGTATTAAGGAATCACGACACTCAGTTTGGCAACGTTGCACCGTCTAACTGTCAAGAGGTTATGTTGACCAGCGTTAAACGAACAAGATGCAAATAACGAATGAGGAATTTCATCATTGTCACTCTTCAGAGCTTAGACAAGGAAAGCATATAAGATGTGCGCCAGCGTTATTGTGAACGATTCTTATTGGTCGGAAAGTGTATATACGTCATACAATGGCGCCATTCCAGCACGTTTAAATATGTGGGATGAAAACAGCATTTTTGAAAATTATTTTAAACAAAATTAGGACATTTTAAGCCCAACTGGAAGCAAGGGTATTTTTATTTTGGTTAATACAATTGATTAAAAATAATAAAGCAATGAAATTCAAATATGGTGAATGTCCCCTCTGATCAATCGGCAATGTTCGGCAGTTTAGCAGCTAAACTTTAGCTGCTAACTTTTCTCTGCCAAGCTTCACATTAGTGCCAATTATCCTAATTCAGTAAAAATAATTGGCAACACCAAACCGAGTTTTGTCTTTGTTCCAAGCATTTAAACTCGCTTGCACTCTCTCTTACACCTTAAAGGTATCCTGTGATCATGATGATTATAATAGATTTTGATCTTGTTTGACCAACCTTAATCCTAAAACTGCTTCAATTCAGCTTTTCTTTTGAAACAGGTATCTTGAAGAGAAATTTGTCAAAATTAGTATTAAATTGCACATTAGAAAATTTCTCTGAAGGAAATCAAGAGCCAAGTCAGTGTTGATCCAAGTCCTTTATTTCTCAATTTTTGATATTTTTGGTTCAACTTTCAATTATTGAATTCAGTCAGGAACATCAAATGACAACTTTTTTAAAAAAAAAATATATAGAAATCACTCACTCAAAATATCAGCAATTTTTTCTAACTGGAACTGGGAAAAAACTGTACAATGAGATAGAGAAATGCCTCATTGAATCCATATTCAGGATACATGTATTTATTTTTTAAAAATAGAAAACGCATTTTTTTGTATATTTATTCAAGCGCCTTTGCTGCAACTGTACTTTCTTGATGAACCAAAATATTTTAGTTTGAATAGTACCGCGTTTTTACTAGCACGTTATTTGTTACATGATTAGTACCTACTTATATAAAAAAATTCAGAATTTACATTTTTAGTTTGTGATATCTATTTTTGCTGTAATAGATGAGGTGGGTACGTACCTACATAAATCATAATTCAAATGTTTTCAAATACCTACTAATTTTTCACCATTTGTTACAACAACGAATATATTATTACGTACTTATTTTTAAAAAAATCATCGGTGACGATTTATGGGAAACAATTTTGTAATAATTTCAACAAAAACACATTTCTTTTCACCTATTTATTGTAAATGCAAACAGAAACAGCTAGAGTGTATTGAGGATTTATTTATAAATACATACAGCTGTTTAATTTCGATGCAAGAATGTTATCTACAAAACATAATCAGTGCAAGAAATAGCATCTGGATGTAAATTCACACAACTACTCTCTTTTTCACCATAAACACTAATATCATCCCAATCCCAATCCAAACAACCATCTTGGGCACAAACAATGTAATAGGGTTGTGCTTTATTTTGCACTGTGCCTTTAATATTATACATATTCAATCCTGTTATGGGAATATTGTTTAAAGGAATAGCTCCTTTACCAGCTGACTTTGTATTAGTGTAGTTTTGTTCTACGGAAATGCCAAACTTATAACTACCTAGCATTACAATATTTCTATAAGTAACGTTAGTGACTTCTCCAACTCCGGCATCGATGTGGGTTTTTACGTGAATCCCATCCATCGCGTCGATAATTGTAGAGTTTTCAATAAGTGCATTGGTCAATGAGTTACGTGCCACACTATCATTACTGAAACCAACTGATAAGCTCAATCCGTGGCTCCCATAGCAGAGCATATTTGTTACATGAATGTTCGAGCCTGAATTCAAAACAACACAATCGTCTTGATTATACACTCTAGAATCTTTTATGACAACATTTGTGCTCATGTTCACACCAAAACCGTCAGTGTTGTGGCCGGCATGACCTAGCGGAGCCACATTTTCAGCTCCAGCTGCATTGTCGATAAGGAAATTTGTGAAAACTACATTGTGGGAATTGTTGATGGCCACTCCGTGCATCGGGGCGTGGTACAAATGGAGGTTTTTGAATACAGATGCATTTGCTTGGACTATCATGAATTTCGGTTTAAGGGTTCCCCAGCTTCCTAAATCGTCCCAGTAGAGTTCGCCTTGGCCATTGATGATGTGACCTGAAAATAATATGCATATGTTGATTGAGAAAACTACACAATAGAGGCTTATATCAATTGCCTAATTTAGAAAATTCTTACTTTAGGTATTATTAACAATTCGATCATCTTGAATTTTTAGTATGTTTTACCTCAAACTTTCAATAATAAATCCTCAAAATTTCAATTATTATTCCTCAATATCACCCTTTGATCTCACCAAAAATTAAACTAGTGAAAAGTGGCAAATGTTCAATTGATTCGTTGCCATATTATCTTCATTTATTGATAATATTAAAAATTCAATTATTTACCATCTTCTCCTTGAACTGTAACGTTATTTCCATAAACTCTCATCAAAGGGCCGACCCAATTTTCAAAACCAAAAGTAACGTTTCCAATGAAATTCACTGTGGCTCCAGGCAAAAGGTCCAAAACCAAAGTTTTTCCAGCAGGTACTGTCAAATTGCCTACTAAAATATTTTGGCAATTCTTTGTCGCATTTGCCACATCTTCAAATTTGGTGACAAAACATTGATTTCGTGCTTGAACCGTACACAAAAAAAGCAATAATGAACAAATTACTAGTAAATTATTATTCATGGTTGCTGGTCGTTGGATTACTGATTGTATAAAAAAAAATTATAACAATTTATATAATGATGTCAAACCAATTGAGATTTTTATTCTCAAAAATACACCAATAATAGTTGATAATTTACGTTACAAGTGCTTAAAAAGCGTGATTACAGACACGGGTTTGATAATACAAGTGTTTTATTTTTATGTTCTGTATGTATCTGAGACATAATAGGTTTGTTCCAACCTGCAATAATATTACTGTAATCTTATCCTCCGTAACTGCGCTAATGCAACTGCGCAATCAAAAGCAGTAATATTATACTTAATAACTTGTTGGAACGTTTTTTGAACTAGTAGTACTAACAACACAAGAAGAAAATAACAAAATCAACATAACTTGCATACTTGCAGGTGAATCATCTTCCACCACAATAAGGAATTTTTCTAATCCTAATAATTAATATAAGACAAAAATTAGATTTATTAACTCTGAGAACAAATAAAATAAAATTACTTAACTTCTATAGCAGTCATTTTCAAATAAATAATTTAAATAAACAAAAAACTGAGGTTCTGGGTTATGTATTATTATTTATGTTCGTTGCTTTTCAACCACTGACCCGTTTTCGACCTCACTACGCATGCGTCTAATTTTAGAACCAACAGTTCTTCCTTTCAAGCAAGAATCGTTTGAACCGTAATTTTACTATCCGTAACTCCGGTTGGAACGACGAACTGTCAATTATCGCCAATTCTAAATTAGTAATTTTAACTGGTTGGAACAGTGTGCCAGTAATATTACTGGAAATTACTGCCGGTTGGAACAAACCTAATATGTAATTTCAAGTTTTGAATTACTTGAAAATCTTGTTTTCCTCAACATTTGATCTATACGTTACGAAACACAAGTGGCACTTCCTACTTCATTCAACTGTTCAGGGCGCAAACCTGCTACAAATAATATCTATTATGTCAATAAGAATAAATTGAATAAGTTTGCTGCAAATTTCATATTTTGTAGGTTTTTAACATTGTTTTTCTTGCTTCCAACAGTTCCAAATAATTTCAGAAGTTCAAGTAATTTTATTTCAGTAAAATTACCTAAGAAATTTCAGAAGAATTTTTTGGAATTTCTAGTTATGCCGTAGAAAGAATTTTTTTTTTCAATTTCACGAAAATTCCAAGTAACTTTGAAGAAATTTTCTGAAATTTCAATTTTTCCACTAAAGTTCCGATTTACTCCACAGGAATATGGCTAAAATATTAAGTAATTTCACAAGAACTTTTCGGAATTTCACGAGAATTTCATATTATTTCAGAATTTCACTTGAATTTTGAGTTATTCCGTGGGAATTCAAGAATTCCGTAAGCGACAAGAATTTTTGTAGCTTACGGAAATTTTCCTTTCAATTTCACGAGAATTCCAAGCGATACCATAGAAATTCTTCAAAATTCCACTGAATTTTAAGGTTTTTTTTTTTTTTTTGGAATTTCACAAGGATTCCATGTAATTCTACATAATTTTTTTTTTTTGGAAATTTAGCAAAAATTTTACGGAAATATTTTGGAATTTCATAAGAATTTTCTGAAATTTCATGAGAATAACTTCAAATCTCGGAGGCATTGAGTCGAATACCCGGAAAATTTCGTCGTAATTCTTTCGCAGTATGACATAATTTTATCGGAATCCTACGTAATTCCACTATAATTCTAAATAATTTCACAAGAATTTTTTAAAGTTGCATGAAAATTTAATGTAATTTTTATGGGAATTTTTTGGAATTTTACGAGAATAACTTGGAATTCCGGGAGAATTAGGTGGAATTTCCAGAAAATAGATGGAACAAATAATTTCACAAGAATTATTTAAAATTTCACGAGAATTTCATGTAGTTTTTACAGGAATTTCCTAGAATTCCGGGAAAATTAATGGAATTTCATCAGAATTCCACGTAATTCTACTGAAATCCCAAATAATTTCAGCGCAACCGTAACGACAGTGTTAAGGTCTCTGAAATGTACTGAAAAAATTCTTTTTTTTTTTTAGTAAATTTAAAAAACAAATTGTACACCAGAATTCCATATAAATTCTCTGGAATTTTACAAAAAATCCATGAAATTTCAAGGAAATTTTCTGTAATTGCGAGAAATTTCACAGGAATTCCTCGGAAATGCACAGGAATTTTAAATAAAATCATATTTTTTTTTGGAATTTCACGAGAATAATTTAAGATTTCGGAGAAATTACTACTTGGAACTCCAGGAAAATTATTGGTATTTCATCGGAAATTCATCATTACCGGAATTCCACATATTCTTGTTTGGAGTATCTCTGGAATTTTAATAAATTTTTTAAATTTATTTAATTGCACACAATTTTCATGAAATTCCGCATAATTTCCACGTAATTCCGCATAATTTCATCGTAATTCCGCATAATTTTAGTAGAAGTTTGCATAGTTTTTATAGAATATTTTCTATAGAATTTCGCAGAAATTCTTTGGACTTTTGCATAGTTTCTATGAAATTTCGCATATTTTTTATGGAATTCTATACGACTCAAATTCACATAATTTTTATGGGATTTTGATTTTTTTGAAACTCAATGCTTTTTTAGAATTCTATGTCGTTTTTTATTTAATTTCACTGGAATTCCGCATAATTTCAATGGAATTCCTCCTAGTTTCTACGGGATTTCGCATAATTTTTATGGAATTATGCATAACTTTTATGGAATTCCACATAATTTCTATGAGTTATACGCGAGCCCGAAGGGCCGGAGTTATACGCGAGCCCGAAGGGCCGGAGTTATACGCGAGCCCGAAGGGCCGGAGTTATACGCGAGCCCGAAGGGCCGGAGTTATACGCGAGCCCGAAGGGCCGGAGTTATACACGAGCCCGAAGGAATGAATGGAGAGAATGGAGAGTGATCTGTTTTTACGCCACGTTTTGAGGAGGCGAAATTTGTCTGGGCACACAGGCGGCTAACACCTTAACGGTGGCCCTGGACGATAAAGAAAAATAACACCAAATTTTAATAACTAATTTAATAAATTAAAGAAAAATCTATCTACAAAAACACAAACTTCTACATATATGGCCTAACGTGAGGGTTAACCGGATATATATCTGGTGCCCTTACAGACCTTCTTCTTCTTCCATTAAGTGTTCCAAGAGGCAGCAAAATCGGATTGTGAGAGGCGGCCGCTGCCACCCCCAAAATAGCCAATCCAGCCAAAGGAAGCAGAATTTTCTTTAGAGTTAAAGACTGAAAAGATAAACAATTATCGCATTTAAGTGATTTAGCCCCGGTGTATTCATCTTCAGATAAAGTTACTGTTTACAAAATAAATTTACGAATCTATAATCCTATTAGTCGGCGGATAATTGACCGACCAATAAGATTATGGATTGCAGTTGAATAAACCAGGCCTTGGTAACCAAAATTCTACCTTGTAATTTCCCAATATTCCTCCTTGCTCTCCACCTTGGTGTTCGTTATAATAATGGTCGTCTTCGTAACCTCCTCCATGATGGTATACCGGAGGTGGTCCATAACCAGAACCGTAGCTAGGCCTACTATAACCACCACCACCAGAATGATGATAGTCGTCTTCGTAGTAAGTTGACGGTCTTCTATCTGAAAATTATTTTCATTGGTATGCTTCATTCATACTTATTTACAATAGTTTTTATATCGTTGGATAGACTTTACCTACCATCTCCATAATTTCCTAGCCCTGACGTGTGAGGATACCCACTTCCACCGTATCTGTTGGAATCATAATCTGGAATATTTTGTATGAAATTTTATTTAAATTCATAGATTGTATTTACCTCCATAATATCGTTTGCTGCTACCAGAAGCAATAGGCAAATCTCGTTTCGATTTCGAGTCGATTTCATTTATTGCACCCCTTTTATCTTCTTCAGATAAAAACTATGATAAAATAAAAATCCAACAAATATTATTTAGTTTACTTAAATAATAAATTACTTACGTTTTTATTTTGATTCCCATTAGAAACATTGATTAGTAAAAATCCTATGGTTAAAACGCACCAAAACTTGCACATTCTCGCTGCCAAACTATAAATAATAATAGATCTCATAACGATATGACTGTGTATATATATGGCCTGGATGTGCAAATGTATTTTGATAATAACGTTTATTGTTCTGCAAAAATTGGTCTTCAAAGGTGACACGTTTTCTCTATTATAGTTGTTCAACGTAGCGTAATACCAAGGCTTCTTCCACATTAGATTTGTATCGTTTCTTTTCTTCTGTAATATTTTTTTTTGAAAATATATGTATAGGATAATTGATTTGGGATGTCAATTATTTTATTTTCCATATAAAATGATGCAACACAACAGTGTGATAGAACGACCGTAATTTGCACCCTCCCCTAGAGGATTTTTCGCCATATCAGGATACTCGACGCTTTTAAGCTCCCTTTTTTGTCTTTTATTCCCGGGATTATATTTCCAGTCGTTTATTTTATATATAGGGGATGACAATATATATGTTTAGGGTTTTGTCATACATAACTAATAATTCACTTTTTATTTACAGGACAAAATGGATGCATCCAGCTTGTACGTCCAGGTAAATTACTCACAGTATAATTACTGTAATATAGTGTATCTATGAAAATTACATTCGGCCACATATCACCCAATTTGTGTCTCTGCCATTTGGGCCTGAGGCTGGAACAGGGCGAAAGGGCCTACCACCCTATATAGTAATTACGCCGATGGGCGCCACTTGCGGTCCCTCTGTGCATTTAATCTAAATACCGTGCATTTTATGGGGCCATCAAAATGTCCATGGCGAAATCGTTAGGCCGTGAAATATGCACGGGATGTGCGGCCGGCGTAGCCCTACTCGGATTTGGTCTTTTTACTAATTTTTTCGATGCGAAACATGCAGAGAATTTGTTTGAAATTTGCTTATAATATTGCTTTTTCCGAGGGGTGTGACACTTCTGAAATCAGGTGTACACTCTATAGTACAAACTCACATAAATCAATAGAAATCATTGAGATCTGTAAAATCAAGCAAAATCACATTAAATCCCTTAAAATCATTAAAATCTTGAGCAATCTAAAATCATTTGAAATTAATGCAAATCAAGTATATCCGAAAAATCAATTAAAATTAAGAATAACTTTGTAAATCACTTAAAATCATCACAAATCACATACAATTTGTTGAAATCCTGAACTAGTTGTTTTCTTTTCTAAGGCAGCGCCTCTACCAATAAAATATTCAAAATTCGCGCCTTTTTTGTTTTGTTATTTTATTTTAACCCAATTTTTTTCATGTTTGAATGCCATAAATAGAATTATGCCACCTTGTTTCGTTCCAGAGATACAGGGTGAAATAGAAACCCTGTAAGATTGAAAATTTCTGTAGATAGATATTTTTATGTGTAAAACCCAGTGTTGTATTCAAAAACTTTTTTAAACGAACCGTTTTCGCGATATAGCCCAAACTTAGTATTTTTTAAATGGGACACCCTGTGTTTTTTGGTCCCAAAAAATTCGTCGTTTTGTTTTTTTAAAACTATGCACTATGTACTTGTGACTTAAACTAACCCTTGAAAACTCAATAATAAAATAAAAACGTACAGGGTGTCCCATTGAAGATGGGAATTGGGGTTATCTGCTAAACTCGCAGAGATATATTTTTTTTTGATTGCACATGACAAATCGAATGCCGTAAACCGCAGGTCTCTATCTTGTTTCGTTTTGTAGATACAGGGTGAAACTTTGAATGTTTACTATTCGAGGGTAGTCATTATCTAGCGTATGAAAAAAGATATCAAAAAGGTAAAAATTGTATCTGACGCAGTTTTTCACGTAGATTTCATTGGCGTACTGGCATTTTCTTTCCGAGATAGTTTAAATAAAAATCTACCTCTATGAGTTTAGCAGATAGCCCCAATTCCCATCTTCAATGGGACACCCTGTACATAAGTTGGCCATGGAATTATAGGTATTAAAGTGTCTACAAGCAAAATTGAACAAAATTATTGATTTTTACATAAACATTTTTTACTCTGAACTTGATAAACTTAATAATCTTGATGACGCAATATTACCTATTGACTACGAACACTGGATTCTACGTAAAAATATCTATCTATTGCAGTTTTCACCTTTTTTCTATCTTACAAGGTGTCCGAAATATGATACCACCCCAAAAAGCACAAAATTTCTATTTTACCTTGGATTTTGGGAACGAAACAAGGTGGCACCATTCTGTTTGCGGCATTCAAAGTTTCACGAAAAATTGATACAGGGTCGCAAAAACCGCAAAGTTCTATCTCTGCTGGTTACCGAGAAACCCTGTGATTACAAGCAATTTGGAACACAGTGTACATACAGGGTGAGTCACTATATCAGGTTTTACAGCCTGTCAAAGTTGCAAAAAGTCAATTTTTAACTGTCAATAATTCCAAAACAGTTGAACTTAGGTATAGGGTATATCACATGAAATCTGCTCAGAATTTTACGTAGAATCAAAATATGTAATCACATACAGGGTATTCCATTTAAAATAGCGTTGTTGCCACTGGTTTAGAGTAGAAGCGGCAACACCGCATAAACAAACATATTTTTAAAGTGTATGGCTGTTTACTCCGGTTGCCAAATTTTCAAAATATATCGCAAATTACTGAAATAAAGATAAACAAACTATATATATTCGAAAGTAGAAAAATAGGGGCGTTTAGAAAATGGATTTAAATATAGGTTATTCCATTTAAAAAAATTACTTTTTTGATCACAGCGCTTCAACGAAAAATCTAATTAAATTTCGGAAAACGTTTTCAAATTCCAAGAAAAAAAATACATTAAATGGCTATCTTGATTTTTTTCAAAAAAAAAAATTTGTTGCGAAAAGGTAGGGGGTGTTCACTTTATACTGGATCACCCTGTACATGCTATTTCAAGTTTCAATAGTTTAATACTATTTTTTTAAGAAGCAGAAACTTTTATAAAGAATAACTTTTTTTCGTTAAATTGATAATAAAAAAGTTTCTCATATGCTGCGAACTTAAGTGGACACACTGACACTGTATAATATATTAATGTTTCTTTCAATAGTTTTGGAAATACCTGGAGTTTCGTTACCTATTCAAAAACCTATTCACGTATCAGAATGTTTAGTTAACAGGTGACAGGTAAATCAAGGTAAAATGTTAAAAAAAAATACTGTCTTTGAAGAACTAAACTCCATATTTCCAAAACTATTGAAAGTAACATTTACATATCATATAATTTGAATAAGAAAAACGAGAACTTCAAGAATTCGAAAGAAAATAAAGGGCATTCCATTTAAAAAAAGTGAACATCGACATATTTTTTTTTACTTTGCATTGCTCGTTTGTTCAATCTAATTAAAAATTTTGGCGGTTGAGATAAAATGCTATACAACTTTTATCTTTTCACCTTTTAGCTATCACCTGTAATTGGGTGTCAAAATATGTTGACTCACCCTGTACATGGGGTGCTGTTGCCCCCTTAAATATTGTGGAATTTGGCATTCGATGACCTCGGTGTACACATTTTGGGTCAGATATTCATTTCTCGCCTCAACATTTTCAGACAAACAAAATTCCCTATTTTTCCCAACCAACCAAAAGAAAAAATCCCTACAATTTCCCCACGCTTTATTTTATATGTATTGGGTTGGCTCATTTTTACTAGTTATTCGTTTTCCTGTTTCAAGTTAAAACATTAAAAAAAGATTTGTATTTGACAAAATATCATTTCTTCGTACTTTATTTGACTATATAAGACTAATCTCCGAATTTTCCTACATTTTTCCAATTCTCGAATTTCTCTTCCCTATACACCAGAAAAAAAAAACATCAATTTTTTCTTACATGTAGGGAAATTCTCTACGCGTTACCATCACTGTTATACCCAAGCAGTGTTGCCAGGCGTACCAAAATTATGTATTTGTACCATAGTTTTGCAGAAAAATACATAGTAAAATCGCTAATGCAATAATACATAATTTACCATAATTTTATAATACTCCTTCTTCTATTTTCTCATGTTTTTGCTGTTTAGAGGTTTGAGAATTATGCGTGACGTCAAAAATCCGGTTGCGTGGACGGTTGATCGGTTGCCGAACCGCAGTGGCATTGACATGCTTTTCTATCTCACTCTCACTCACGTCAGCGGACAGCATGTCACAATAAAAGAACTGTCACTACTTTCACTGTCACAGTTTGTCTGTTTGTCATTTCATTAATGTCACTACACATACTTAACCAAACCTAACCTGTACCATAATTTTTTTTCAAATAACATAATTTTGACCTCCATGTACCATAATTTCAAAATCAAAATCTGGCAACACTGTACCCAAGATTGAAATTACTCACAGCACAGCATGGTGTAATTTCTGTGAAGAAGGTAGTATTGGGACAGTAAAACTTCTCGACTTCATTATGATGCCACTAACTTGATATAGCGTTGCTAATGGCATGAGTTATTACCAATATTTTCGATCTCGATGTATAGTAAATGGTACTGAAATCATGAAATCCATCTGAATCTAGCAAAATCACATTTACTCTTGCAAAATCAATGTAAATCTGAGAAATCAATGAAATTAACAAAATCAAGTGAAATCAGCAAAATCGAGTAAAATCAATTATTTATCTCAGGAAATCCTTAAAATCAAGTGAAATCTTGAAACTTTATCAAATCTAATTTTTGATTTCCATCAGGTGTACAAAATACTTGGAAGTGTCACACCCCTCGGCTTTTTCTTATATGTATACTGTGGTCGACAATCGTTTTCAGATTTAGACTTCTAAAATGCACCCTAAAAAGGACGTTATTGTTGGGGATATCAGAAAAAGTGAAAAATTAAAAAATTCTCTCCACATTGCTTAACGCGATTTTATCCCTGTGATTGTAGTGTAGACAAAAAGTAATGATTTTTTAAAGTTAACAAAAATCTAAATCGCAATTATTATTCGTTTTACCATCTTAAACTACCCTCAAAGTTATTTGCAAGTCTCTTTAGGTACCCTAAACTGTGTATCTTGGAACTGTCTAAGTTGGGGTACTATTTGTACCCGAGACTAGGGTGGAAATGTCTATATTCTCACGAAAACCCTTTTTTCGATGAATCGCAATTATTCGTTTTACCCCCTTAAACCTTATTTGCAAGTATTCCTTTTTAGAACTGATTTTTTCTTGTATTTCTGAAAAAGATCAGAATAACCGATTGG